TAAAACATGGTGTTCCTTCAGTGAGTACCAGCGCTCAAGCAAGCCAACGATGGTGCTCTTCCCCGACCCTGAAGGACCAACTATTGCTGTGTTCTGTCCACAAGGAATGGAGAAGCTGAGTCCGTCCAGGATACGGACTCCAGGACGGCTGGGATACTCGAAGGTCACGTCGGCGAAGACAATGTCGCAAGAGGTAATGTCAGGCTTGAGGGAGCCAGAGGAGGGGACGGGAGCATCGATGACGGTAAAGAACTCGCATGCAGCAATCATGGCTTTGCTAACAGCCATGAGAGGAGTAGCGATACGCTCAAGGGAGGTGAGGATCAACATGACGGACATGAGGACGATAACGATAACTCCAGGGCTGTCAATGGCGCCAGAGATGTATCGCCGCGTTCCATACCAGAAGGCGAGACCGAAAGTTCCGAAGACTCCAAAGAACTAAGGAGCTGTTAGTATCGGACGTCCAAGGGGCAGGCATATGGGGACCTACAATCATGCCGAGATGAAGACCCATGAAGGGCGCCATCTTTTGGCCTTCCTCAATAGCCTTCTCGACCCAGACTCTGTATCTAGCCATTACGCGGGATTGAGCGCCACAAGCAGTGACTAGCCGGATTCCTTGAAGTGCTTCACTGGCAATAGCAGTACCTTGAGCGTCCGCCTGCCCAGTCGCGGTCTGACCCTTGACGAGAATGGGCATGGAAATAGACAGGATGACCATCATGTAAAGAATTAAAGAAGCAGTGACTAAGGTAATGTCCCAACTCCAAACGAAGGCGACAATGATAGCTGCCCAGATGGTGCCGTTGAACTCGAGGAACGTGCCCAGTCGCTCCGAGATTCCGACTTGAAGGGTATTCGACGTCGCAGTGATGGCGGTAGCAGGTGCGCCGGCAGGCATGGAGTCGATGACATGAATGGACTGTGAGAAGAGAGATTGAAGGTAATGCAGGCGAATAGCAGACGATAGTCGGATGCCAATCATTCGGAAGCAGTATTTGTTGATGGTGTTGAGACCCCAGCGACCCAAGAACAGAGCCATGATGTAAAGCGCCTGTCGGTTCAAGATGGATTGAAACTTATCGGTCGGGAAACTAGACGTGTCTCTGAAGTAGTCTGTGAACTGATTGACGAGCTGGCCAAAGATGATGTTCATGAGCGGCATGGTAATTCCAGCGCCAATGGATGCGAAGGAGGCAAGGGCGTAGATGAAGAAGTCCCATTTTGTAGCGTAGCTGAAGACTCGTATGTAGTCGGCAACTTTTGGTGTTCGTTGGGGTCTTTGGGTATCTTGGGTCGTGGTGGGGGATTTCTCGTCACCGTGCTCGGCGTCGTTAGGGGGTTTGGCGTCGGTTGCCATGATGGAGGAAGAGGGATAACGGAGTGGCCTGTTGAGAGAAAGGTATTAGCGAAACAGCCGAAGATTGTATTGAAGTAGAGAATGGATTCGTTACTGTGATAACGCAGACTTCCACGGTTGGAACCACGGAGATCGGGGGTGTCTACGCCAAGCAGTTCACAACTGCATGCGCTCGCTTGCTAGAAAAGAGTAGATAAAGGATAGACTGAGAAAGAAAGGGTACAATTGCAGTGGAACAGGATCAAATAAAGTTAAAAGACAAGAATGAGATTGAACACAAACCAACGCAAAAGCTCGAGTCATATCCCGTGAGCGCGTAATATCTTATGTAGCCAGCCCATGCATCTCGTCCTGGAGAACCCCTGTCTCATCGAGCTCGTTCTGCGCATGCTCGCTCCCTCGTAAGAGACGATTTCCTGTTTGGGACGTTTTACGAGCTCCACTCTTTTTTTCGCGATGGTCGAAGTGGGCCCGTATAACTCGTACCGAACTAAATCCTGACATGAGTGACAAGAATCCTCCTTTTGACGTTTCACACATTTCAGGCATCTCGGGGTCAACAGCTTCCCGATAATGAACCCGTAAACTCCCCCATCTGTAGCTCTTTTTACGGCGCAGCTGGTAATAATTGTTGATCATGGCTAGAATGAATGAGTGGATTCACCCAGGAAACGGCCATGGGCGGCCTAAGTCGAACAAAATCATCAAATCTTCGGATGCGGTTTGGGGAAAGGGGGCTGTATTGCCAAGTTCGCTGATATATAGGCTTGTACTCCTCGGCGTGGCCAGAAGGAATGATTATAAGAGGTACCGAATAACGTATCAACTCCTTTCAACAAGCTTGGATGCGAACTCTTGCCGCTCCTTGGAGAGTCTCTTATAGCCGAGTTGCCCCCGTGAGGTCCAACTGTCCTACTCTTTGGTGATGCCTGCAAGACGTTGTATTTCTATCAGGGTGTTGAGTAATGTAGTGCCCATGTTAGTAGACAATCAAGCTTTGTTCTCATAGCCTAGTTGTTGACAGAGGCCTTTCGAAGGATGAGAGGCTGCACTCAGCCCCCGAACGTGAACATCGGTTCCAACATCATAGCGATCAAATTCTTGTTAGGAAATCGCTAAATTAAATAGTGCAAGGGCAGCTGGGAACCGTTGTCTCTGTTGTGAGTGACTCGGGTTTCGAGCAAATTAAGGTTGTAGAATAACTCAGTCTGAGGTTTTCGCAGTAGCGCTGCTTATTGACCATCAGTAGTCTCGAGGTGTCTGGCGTTGTATTGGGCAGAAGAGATCAGTTGCTTCCTCGCATTCGTTGCGGCGGGCAAGGCGGTAGCCATAACAGCCATCGGTTCGGGGATCGTTACCGCAAGAGCAGTTCAAGTTCAAGTACGCGGCCAAGCACGGGTCCGTTTCGTTAGCTTGGTAGGATCGTACATCGTAATGTCTAGGTCCTGAATTCGTGAGAGGTCAGCTAGATATTCTTGGTGATATCCACCTGCCTTGATACTACAAACACACAAGAGACTCAGTGCGACATGCAGCACTTGCGATTTGCGTCCATGACCCCTGAAGTGACATGGACTCCGGATTCTGCCTTGGGAGCTCTGAGCTACTTGCAATGGCCCTTGCAGCTACCTAGTATCTTGTGACTGCGCAAATGCGCGCAGACAAGACTAAGGGTGGTCATTTCATGTCGCCATGTTTGTGACCAGTGGTTGATTGGCGAGGGTAAGCTCTGCGCAAGTGCGCAAGATTGATAGGAGTTGGATCTGTTCGTTGGCTAAGGATAGTTTGACGCGGTGAATCTCGTGCTTGCTGGCTCGTTTGTAATATGGAGGTTACACTGGCGACGGAGGGAGGGGTAGCTTTTTGCAACATTGGAAGCTTGAGAGGGCTGTTTGTGACCCCCTTCCCAAGAATCAGGCAGCAATCATATCGCATTAATCCGGAAACATAGAAACTGAAAACTTACTCTACATAGACCCCTCGATTACTCCCTGGTATTTCGAAGCTCGAATCTGGCTGATAGGGCTACGTTTGTCCCATGCTCCAATTCATCTGGTTCGGTGCTGTAGGTCGCCACGATAGGTTAGGGGCCTAAGTTTGTCATTTTTAGGCACAGCGTACCTGTAAACACAAACATTACAACAACTCGATGCAGTCCATGTACTGTGACCGTAGCTGTGAGTTGACCCCCTGTCATTCTCTTGCCTCACCCATTCACTAGAGCTTGGACTGCGCCGTCAAGGTACCTTTCACCCTCTTCCTGTCAGTATTTGCAACATGCGCTGCCGCAAGCAAGTGTCGCCCCTACAGGCCCTCATTGTCTCTGTCTTCGTTTCTTGTCTCAATCACATTGGCGGTGCCTTCAGGTCAGAATCCCCCCTCTGAAAAGCCAAATTCATGGTAACTAATTGGTGGTCTATAGATGATACTACAACTTGGAGTGCTCTTCTTACTGAGACAACGGAAATCGAGGCAACCTGGAGTGGCCTTGCAACTACAGTAGCGGCAATATCGAAGCGGCCCAGGGACCGCCTGTTGTTAATGGCAACACCGGAACTCCAGGTCAGGACTCTGACGATATCTATGGGGTCCAATTTGGGATTCATGTTCGTGTGCTCGGCGAAGATGGCTAGACTGGTAGTGACACGGCGGGGCCCGGTGCATGTGTATTCTCCCTGGTGGCGATCTAACGAGAAAGCTACATCTCAACACCGACACGGATTGTTCGACTAGTTCTGGCAGCACATCGTTATTCCTCATGCCCGGCCGAGATCCTGGTCGATAAGATGCTGATATCGGGTACTATTGACATCGGCGACCTTGATAGGGTTAAGGTAGTCTGGAAATCTGTTCCTCTGGCGTAAGAAACAAGGAGCAGCATCGTCTTTGACGGATCAACTCAAGCGAAGCCTGGCACAACCGAGACGCAATGTACTTCTGAGGTTGCATTATCCAGCCAAGCCACTACCTCGAATTCAGCTACCTCCATCGAGTCTAAGATATTCATTTTGTCTACCGAGACCAAAATAAGCACTGAGGATTCTGCACCTCCCGGTCGTCGTCCATGGTAAACTCCGAATCGGCTATCTCTTTTGGCATCCAGCCAGTTCGGAGCCTTGAATGTCAACCTCTCTATTAGTATCTGGATCACCTCTGGCTTACAAATCACCTTTGACATCACATTCAACAACCTCTACAGCTCTGGGCTCAATCTAATCTAAAACACCGGAGTAGACTTCTCTTACAGCCCTGGAGTCAACTACTTCAGAACCATTCGCGTCTATAGCTCTAAGGTCCAGTGCTAAGAGTGTTTCAGCATCAGAGTCCACTATTACCGATACCACTCCCGGCCCTACCACGTCAAACCTTTTCTCGACATGGTGTCTACAGAAACATCATCTACTACACGCTGGACTCTTACTGCATCCTCCACTGCCACGCCGACATCGATCACGCCAACCACTGCGAAGGCCCAGGTCAACTCCCAACCTCGATTGGTGATCTGTCACCCGCGAGTAAGGACATGGTCACCAGACAACAGAAACCTTGATGTTCTTGCGCCAGATCAATCTGATGCCGACACTCTCATCTCAGGAAATTGAGGATATCCCTACCTTGTCCACAATACACAGTAACTATGAGTAACGGGTTCCTTGATTACCTAGTCCCTTGTGTTCGAGGTGGCCATGCTGCTCCCGTCCGAAAAGCGAACAATATCATCTTTGGCACTCCTGCTAACAACACCAACACATATAGCTCTGAAGCCCTCTACTATCAAAAGGCCCCCAACGATGTCTGCTCTGGTGTGCTCTACTGTAGCATGGATACTAAAAATGGCCTTTCATTTGCGACAGCAAAGCTCGACTGGTACCGCAAGGACACCGACCCCCGCTTCTACAACGACTTCAGGCCAATGAGTTTTGGCGTATCCAGCCTCACTCCGATGTATTCTCCCCTCGGGTAATGATTTTGTCGATGGTGTTACTGTTGCGTCTCACCTTTTCGCGCCGACCTCAATTGATTACTCCATGACTGCGCTATGGCTTTAGCATACAATAGACCGGCTTACTTAGGCTCCCGTTCGAAAGAAATGACGCTATCTCCAGCAAGGTACCGATCTGCCTGCGGCTTTAAACGCTTTGACTTCACGATAGGCTATATCATCCGTGCGTTCCGTTGTTACCAATGAGAATCCTCAAGACATTCTAAGGAGCGAGTTTAAAGCCGGGGACGAGATATGATTAGACAAACTGCGTAGCAGATCGTCGCATTTCGCTTTTTACTCGCCTTTTCGGTGCCGAAGAAGATAAAAAATATCAAGTTTCTCCTTCAACTGGAATTTTCCTTGAACCTAGGATCGCGGATAGCAAGTGCCGGACTTCCAGTCAGTTCCTTGCATCTGAGCAACGTTTAACGAGATGCAACCTCGAAAGACCCGCTTCTAAAAATACACAGCTTCTGTCACATGCGGACAACTTGGATATGGAACTGGAATACCAAGAAAGTCACGCTTGTCTGAACGCTTTGGACGGAGTTCTGAACCAGACAGCACATGGTATTTGTTATGACATTTGTTTGGGAGGCGAAGCAACATAAGAGCTGTGTATAGGTACGTTGTAATTAGGTTGGAAGCCTCGAAGGCTGAGTAATGCAAGTGCCGAACATCCGTCGGCTTTTGATGCCAAGATAATCCCGGGCCTCTCGTGCCGTTCCGTGCGACTCTGAGAATGTGAATCGACGAATTCTACTGGTTCGGGGACGTCGACATCATTACTAAGAAGCGTGGATATCATTAACAATTTCGCTATTCGGGTATAACGAGCATCGACCCTCATGCATGTCAGTTCTTACGTCCATCATCAAATCTGGCAATTGGGCAGTGCTGACGGTACTTTTGTCTTGTGTTACACATGCTACCTATCCGAATGCTCCGTCGGGACCGAATGCTTCCATGATGACTTCGGGATCTCGGTGATCTCGGAGTTAACCCTACATCACAGTAAATGTGATTGATCAACCATGAGAGGATGTTAATCGTCCATTACAGGCAATACTATCGACCATGATATCCCATGGAAGAGGTTGAGAGCCCAAAGTCTATAAGAGGCAGCAGCCTGCTACCATCGTCGACTTCTGGAACCACAGTTCGCATCTTTAGATTCAAATCATCAAAGCAAACAGCACTTTGAATTCCCGAGGCTATAGTCAACATGGTACACCGCAGCATCTTCTTCAGAGTCTTGGTGGCTTCACTTTCTGTTGCTCCAGGCTCAGCCCTTCCTGCCCCTCAGTGAGTACACACTTCATCCTGATGCCATACCTAAAGCTAAGAAGTATTAGAATCGGCGATTATGGGGAGAATAAGGGGCCCGTAGGGGGAGTCAAACCTCCAACGCCAACAGTCACTTCGACCAGCGGCTCGCTGTACGGTGACTCTAGCTTGCTTGGCGGCAACGCTCCCCTCCGAGACCCTGAGCAAGATTCTGCGATCGTCAAGGACCCAAAGCTCGTCAATGGCCAGAAAGCAGACCCTAAGCTCGGACTCTACCTGGATTTTGATGGTGTAGATGTACCCCAGCCAATCCGTGGCGAGCTAGGTGCCACAGATCCTGGTCCTCGAACTTATGACTATGAGAGACTCAACCCCGATCTTTTCGCTCCTCCAGGAACAGATGCCGGAGATGTCCCCAATGCCATGTGGCCGCTTGGACTTTCTCACAACCGTCTTGGTAGTGATGCTGGCGCTGGATGGGCTCGACAGCAGAACCAGGATGTCCTTCCTGCTGCTACTGCCATGGCTGGAGTCGACATGCGTCTCGCTCCGAACGCGTACCGCGAGCTGCACTGGCACACTGCCAATGAATGGGCGTTGGTCACAAAAGGCTGTCTTCGTGTCGCTGCTGTCAACGATGAGGGTAAAAGCTTTGTCGATGATCTCTGTGAAGGCGACGTCTGGTTCTTCCCTGCTGGTATACCCCACAGCCTCCAAGCTTTTGACAGGGCGTTGAGTTCCTGCTGGTATTTGATCAGGGCACCTTTTCTGAAGATGAGACATTCCTTGTATCTGAGTTGTTCTTGCGAAACCCCGTCTCCGTTCTGGCAAAGAACTTTGAGACCGAGACAACGGCCTTTGATAACATCCCCAAGGATGAGCTCTATGTGAGTACATTACCCTGGTATATATCTACATTCTAACATGGGAATTGCCAGATTTTCAACGGAACACCAGCGCCGAAAGATATCGAAAAACAGAACGTGACGGGCTCAGCCGGAGCGCTGACAGGCAATGGTTCATACACATACCATTGGTCTCAGCAGAAGCCCCATACCGTACCCGGAGGCTCTGTCAAGATCATTGATCCTACCACCTTCCCGATCGCCAAAGGTTTCTCTGCCGCTCTTGTTGTCGTACAGCCTGGTGCACTCCGCGAGATCCACTGGCATACTACCTCCGATGAATGGAGTTACTTCCTCCAGGGCAGCGGTAGAATCACCGTTTTCAAAGCAGCCTCATCCGCCCGCACCTTCGACTTCACTGCCGGTGGCGTTGGATATATCCCTGCTGCAAACTCTCACTACGTCGAGAATACTGGAACAGAGGACTTGATCTTCCTTGAGGTTCTTCAGGCGCCCAAGTTTTCAGATGTTTCGGTGGCACAATGGTTGGCTTTGACTCCCAAACAGATTGTGAAGGATCATCTCAAGGTTTCAGATAAGTTTTTGGATTCGTTGCCCAAGGAGAAGCAGTTCATCAAGACGGGAGACGTGAACATGACGGCCATTGCAGACGAGGCTTAGAGTCCATTGGTTAGAGCGACCTGGTTCAAATGACGCGCAAGCTGTTTAGATTCGACCTATATAGCTAATGGTGGCTTGACATATTGAGTTTCGCACGATGTTGTTGTTGAGAAAACTGAGTGGCCTGTGAAAGCGGATTATCTTGGCTTAAACGTCGGCCTTTGAGTTTTACTTGAATGTGCCAACCGTCTGTTCCGCTTAGCTAAAAGACATTACTATTCACCTGCAAATGGTTTCATTCGTGCTCAACATCAGCGGAAAGCACTCTAAGAACAGGAGTTTATTGAGTCCTTGATTGTACCGTCATCGAGAAGTTCGACTGGAAGTTCCACTGGTTTAGGTTAAGGAAATCAGTAATATCTACTCTTCTTGTCTGTAATAACTAATCAAGCCAATCTTAGCATCTCGATGAGAGAAAACAAGCTCATGCCCGGCTCTTGTCTGCCCAATGACGTGAGATCGAGCCCCAGGCATGATCAAAGCCAAGTTTGAAGAGCACATGTTTGCCCCACCAATCTCCAGGATAGCTTTACCCTCATTGGTGGACAATCACTGGCAACCGAGGCTGGTCTCACGATGACAGCTACAAGTTGTTCCGGCAAACTTTCGGCTGGGAAACAAGTATTCTTGATCTAGCAGTTCTCCAAGCTAAACTCAACAGAGGAGCCGAGAGTAAGATCCTGCGCCACACAAGTGATCGACATACCCAATTACCCTGTCGATGAGGCCGGAAAATCGATCCCGCATGAAAAACCTGGGTTCTGGTAGCACTAGCTACGTAGTCGATACATCACTGTGGCGTAAGCTCCCCACTATGACCACTAAAAAGGCGAGAATGACAGGGCATCTGAGACTTAGAGTGACAGAATTAAGAATGGCCAAGGATCAAAACCATCGATAGATCTGGCAGTTTCAGGCACAGAAAAGTCGAAATTGATTGCATGTTTAAACGCATCGTCATCGATCTTACATCGTAGAAAATCGTGCAAATAATGACGAGCGATGACAGCATTAGACACACGCACTGCCAAGGACTGTGGCATTAACTCGTTGATCTGCCAGAGCTATTAAGAGAGAGCTCTACAGCTGATTTGAACCACAAATATTCTGACATCTGACTTTAATCTTCTCACACACCACTCAAAACACAACAAAGCCCTCACATACTCATAATGGCTTCTGAACTCCCTCCCAACGCCCTCGGCAAATTGGCCTCATCTGTCAAGAACATCGTAACTGGTGTCCCTCTGGAGAACCAAACCGAGGCCGATGCGCCAGCCACCAAGCAAGTCGACAAGAGCCTCGACAAGACCGTTGACAAGACCGTCGAGACTACTGACGATGCCACCATTCACAAGGAGAAGCAAGCTCCCGTCGTCCACGAAGACGTCAAGTCTCACGAGCATGAGCGAGTTGATACTGAAGTCGATCACGAGGTCCACCAGGATCATTACCATACCACCATCCAGCCAGTCAAGGACAAGAATGTCCTGCCTACCAAGCATGTCTACAAGGAGAATGAATTCGAGGAAGAGATCGACCATCGCAACAACGAGGCTAAGATGAAGGCCAAGGAAGAAGCGGCCAAGATCAAGAACGAGAAGAACGTCGAGGACACTACTCACTCAAGAGAGTATGCTCCCGCAAAGGAGAATGAGCACATTCACCAGTAAGTACCAAATTTCCACTCCCTTCAAGTACCGTAATCTTACATATTGTCTCAGCCATCTCCACGAGAACATTCAGCCCGTGATTGAGAGAGAAACCGTCCAACAGAAGGTCATCCACACTACAAATCGCATCCACGAGAAGGAGCAACTCAACGACGAGTACCATGAGGCCACTGTTGCCCCCGCGATCTCAATGGACGACTTCAAGAACGGTGGTGCCAAGACAGGAACTACCGTCACCAAGGACATTGAGATGCCAATGTCTGGCGTCAAGGCCACAGCAAAGAAGAGGGAAGCTCTCGGAGACGTCGATGTCGAGGAAGCCTCCAAAGTTGGTAAGTCGAAATCTCCCCTAAGCCAAAAGCCTATGAAATAACAAGTTACTTAGAATCAATCTAGTGAAAAGGAAAAGAGGTTCTTCCTGTACAGTACTTGACTGTAAATGCTCATGCCATCGATGAATAAGGTAATGAGAAGAAGAATTGTATTAATAGGACGGAGTTAGGATATCTTTGGTAGCGAATGGACAGTGTCTGACTGAAACAAGTTCTCTTTTTGCTATGATGTGATATGTTACTTCGTCAAACCAATTCGTGAACTGTAACTCGGCACAATTGTATCAGTGAATGTTGGGGTGACTTAGAATTCAGAGGGTTTGCGCCTTTGTTATCAGTGTTACTGAAATCGAAGTTTATGGGTCAATGTTTTCTTTTTCCGAACAGCACCAGGGGATTAATTAGGCACTAAGCGAAATGATACTCGTTTCTGTGACCCAGCAGGCCTGCCATCTTAAAAGTCAACTGCGAGCGGCATACCGGCTGATGCAACCGTTGGAGCAATATTTATAAATGAGGTTAGATTCTGCTATACATAACAAGATCTTCGTCCTTGATGCCTAGAGAAGCGGCGATGGCCCATGAAGCGGTAGCGATTGCTTTGACCGGTTTTGAGGCTTCCCTGTTGAGGCGGAAGACCATGCCCAGAGAGGCAAGGTCCCATACGTTAACAGACATAAGTGGTTGGGAGGGGATATGAAGAGAATTTAATGTTCGTGCGAGCTTGTTTGACTCCATGGTTGAAAGATGATTCTATGACTGCTGTGTTTCTTCTGATTCAATGGTTCATCCCATCACTCACTAGTAAGATTGGCAATACTAAAGGAATGTAGTCTCGTCACCTTTCAGGCGATGTAGAACTTGTACACGAGCTCCTGAAAGTCCCATAAACTCTTCATAAGCTTGTCTGACTTCAGAGTCATCTTGGTGGAAGACCTTGACGATGTCAGATCCGATACCGGCCACCATCCTCGATCCAAATATCTGGTATCAATCACGGAACAGGCTGTGGATCCAAGCTACAAAAATAACTTCAAGGCAATACTTCAAACAAATCAGGACGCAAGAGGAAACGATACGAACCTCCACGTGTGGCCGGTGAAGACATACTGGTAATTTGTAAGTCACCTTACCAGCGCCTGACGACAACTAACATCCCTGGGGTTAGCAACTAATATATGCTCAGGCATTCACAGACTGGCGCGGAAAAGCAACTCGCTGTGTGCCTTTCCAGCGATGTTGCCGACGAAGATACGAGAAGTCGACCTTGCCTACTCGATGCAAGCAACGATGAAGCACAACAGTGGGATATTGCCGAATGGAAGTCGGACAACACTTATAGGCTGACCAACGTATAAAATAGAACCAAGTTTCATTTAGACTGCATTCCTAAAGGGCCGGTGTTTATGAGTCCAAATGTCGAAGACACTCCATACCAGAGTGGACAACACTGGCTTATGGCAAGTGCGTCAAGTGTAAACGACAAGGCGTTCATCACAACGGTTTCAGAGGTAAGCCAATTTCCAAAACTCTCCAGCGAATACTGTGTACCCCTGCTGACAAGAAACATAGGTGTCTTCAACTTCTTCTGGGGGCGGCCCAACTTCGAAGGCCAAATCAGGGTCATCATCCTCAAACGGAAAGAATCTTTCATCTGGAAAGATAACTAGACTCAGCGTTGGAGTGGTCCTTGGTGTCATTTCTCTGGTCATATCCCTCGCAGCTTTCTTTATATGGAGGGCCAGAAACAGGAGGAACAGCAAAGGTTCGTCTCCTGTAGGACGACGAAAAGTGACAGAGGCCGAGGTGAAGGCTGCTCGGTGGCTCAGGCGTATCGGCACTTCAGTCCAGAGGAAGTAGGAAGCTTTACAAAATGTACCGAACTCGATGGAGATTCTGTTGTTGCTAAGGTTCCTTCAAGTCAGAGATATGAGCTCCATGAGCAATGCTATTAATTGGCTTCTACAAGACGTGAAACCTGATCTTTGTTATCCCGCAACATTCACTGCCTCGAACTGATACTAAAGGCAAGATCAGGAGATTGAAAGTTGAAGCGCAGTTCAAGTAGAAGCTAGACAAAATGTCCAAGTATATACTCAGGTGCTGCTACTTAGTAGCACAGCGATGTTTCCATACTGGCCATTTCGGGTCTTCCTGATATGATCTTCCTCGTAATCACGGACTGTTCAATGGCTCCTCGTAATGCTTGCCTGGGGAAGCCAGGGCCTTTCATCAAGCAAACCGCGATCTTTGTCAAGTTTGCGATGAGTAAGTTCAGACTGACCCGTACTCTCGGCGCGCCTATCTGCGGTCGTGAATCTCTTGACGGGAAAAGGTTGACAAAACTCCAACTCTCTGGCTGCGCGCAGCTAGGCTCTAGGCGATTTCCTGACAATATCGCCAAGGCACTCGAGTCCAGCTCGATGGTTTCTTTATCCACCAAGCGAGCGCCAAGCGCCATGAGCTGTTTCTCGACACCAAGGACACTGAGGAACTGGGGGGCAGATGAGTCAACCATGGCGGCATTTGTGGCATAGTTCGCAAGGTCGCTACCGGAAAACTCTTGGTCCCACCACCGCCCTCCCCATGGTAACTCTGCCAAGGTCTGAAGTTCATGCTTGCCTGGGCCAAGTAGCCACCGCATTCTCAATATCATCTCATCCCTTTCGCGGTAGCGAAGGGTCGAGCCAAACATACGGCTCTCTTCTGAGAGGGGAAATGGCGCATCGATCGATCTGCTGAGAACAAGGCAGCCAGCCTTGAAGCATGAATATGTGAGGCGACAAATGAAAGAATTGAGGGATAGAGGCGGCAGTGAGGATGTCCATAAAAGAGGGCTGAGAGGTGCTGGGATCCTAGATGGTGGGTAATTCGCTTGGGGGTAGATCGTTGGAGTTACCGGTAGCGGCACCATTGTGTCTTCAAACAAGGGCATATTTATGGGGGAGTCGTCTGCAAGGGGCAGTAGGGAACTGGCAGTCATCGAGTCGTCGGTAGTGGCGGTGACAGTATTACTGGGGGTTGAATCAGGAAGCTCATGTTCGGAGTCTTTGGGAGAATGATACTGTGTTTCGGTGGCTTTCCCTCGAGCCTTACGAGCCTTGGAGTCTTGCTCGGGGTCCCCGGCTTCATTGGCCAATGCAAGGATATCGGCGATAACGCTTTGAATGCTCGCTATCATGCCAGGGCTCTGTTGGACTACTTCTTGCTGTAAGAGGCCATCTGTAAAGTCGACTAATACAGTGCTCATTTTCTCCACCACGCTTTCAAGGTGCTTTATCCGGTTGCAGCGTGTCTCATCGACTTCTTGCTTCTTCTTACGAAACTTTAGCTGCGCTGCCCTATTACGTGCGCGACGTTCCTAAGTCTATTGTTAGGTGACTCGGCAGATTTGACATAAGAGACCCGAATAGCCTTTTACCTTGGCCTCTGGGCTGGGTGGCTCATTGGAGCGAAGAGACATTGTGACAGAAGAGCTGCACGTTTGTAAGCTGGCTTTGTTTTTGCTGGTTCAGAGAAGAGTAGTAGTTATAAGCTGTGACAAATTACAATCAGTGCTTCAGAGAAGATGAGAAGAAGTGACGTTTAGTGGATCTGAACAGAAAGGGTTCGAGACACAGAGTGCAAGGCATAAGATGATGTTTAGTGAACGACGGGGAGATAATCTGGGCGATCGGACCCTTCACTGAGGAAAATGACATAAACTGGACCGACTGGGCCCGCTTTTGGTGCCAGAGTCTAGCAGCTAACCCAATTAGGACAGGTTTCAACGATTGGCAGACCTCAACCCGTATTGATACTTGTATTAAAGAACCTCGGCTAAATCATGTCTCTGCGGGCATCAGTTGTAAGAACAGAAAAAATAAACATGGCATCTCGTCCGTTGATAACCCTCTTCGATATTCCAAGCATAACACGAAAATCGTGGTCTCCAAATGTCTGGAAAGGTTTGACAGCTTCACACCGAGGCCGCGCCTTAGACTGACTGCTCAATGGTAGCCCGGCTCGTCCTCAATTACAAGGCATTGCCATATACCACTGAATGGCTTGACTTCTCCAACCTCAGTACCCATATACAGCCTCGGTTAGTCTCTAAGGCCCCAAAACTCATTTACATCAATCATTGACACTAGCCTAGTGTGAAACCGAATGAGCCGCCTTTGAGTCCGCATACCATGCCATGCATCCTATTGCAGGAGGGGGAGACCACAAGGGGTATCATGGGGTCAAGGTCTATTGCTGAGGAATTAGAGAAGCATTTCAGCACGCCGTCACTTCAATTCGACTCAGAAGAATCCGACAGGGTTGAAGAATTGGCAGAGAAGCTACTGATAAGCAGCAGACCATTATGGGCACATTTATTACCCAAGAAGGTTCTTGTGCCATCAGATCGGCAGTATTATGCAGACACACGAGCAAGGAGATTTGGAATGAGTCTCGATTCGTATTACAGTGAGCACGTCAGCCAGCAGCTTTGGTACCAGCTTGATGCGATGTGTCATGAGATCGGCAAGGCACTGGCTGAGACCCCAGGGCCGTTTTTGATGAATTACCACCGTAAGAACCAAGTCGGACAGACCATTCAATGATGTGCTCGCTAACGTTTGAAGCCTCATATGCTGACTTTACTGTCGTTGCCCTTCTTCGATTCTTCAGCTGTGTTGATCAGACCATGTCAGATCACTTCTACAATGCTGAACCACAGCTTCTCAAGTTGTATGAGGCCTGCCACCAGTGGCTTGAACGTGATCATTAATTGCTTTCATGTAATTAACTACGTTGGGAAGAACTTTTGAGTCGAAAGTCATAGGGAAGAGTCAGCCAAGTATGTCCGGATAACCCGGGCTTTGGCTTGGCTCCAATTCCGTGATTTTGCAAACAAGAAAGGGGCAGCAAGAATCGAGATTGAGACATAGGACCTCTTTTCTTAAGTGACAAAAAGCTTAGTTAAAGTTTTGCAAGTTATGTTATAGATTCCCTGAGTCTTAGATGATATATTTCTGACACTCAAGTCCAACGTCTGATGGTAAGTGATACGGCAGCTGCTTTGCCCTGCATGATCTTTGCCAGTGACTCACAGGTCCCCCCTCTCACGCGAGGAGGCAGGCGCGCTCAAAACAACACCTCGACATCGCCCAAGGTACTCCGCACACGCTCATTTTGCATCCTCACCCATCTCGTTTGCAAAATGTCGGGAACCAAGAGAACCGCACCCCCATCGCCTCAGGCGACTTCCGCCTCGTCAAAGAGACACCGTAATGGAATCGACGAGCCCGGTGTTCATGTCATCTTTGTTTCCATCAGCCACCACAAAGATATCGGTGAAGAGGGCCACGATGTCAGAATCCCCTGTGACCCAGCTCTTGGCTCATTCGAAGCGGGCGACGTCCTGGGCACGTTGACTCTTGAAAAGCTTCAGCAGCTGGAAGTTGATCTCGGTCCTGGACTTGTCAGCAACATCGGCTCCAGAGAGAAACAGAAACATGGTCCAGTCGACTTGGCTGGCCGCATCGCGAGATCACAAAAGTCCAAGCCCAAGATGATTCAGCCCACCTGGAACGAACGCGTCGTTCTCCTTCATCAGCAGGTTGTTACCATGCTTTGGGCCGAAAGATCTCAACGCATGACGATTGAGCACTGCAATCTTGATTGGATCCTGAGCCTCATCAAAGAAGGAGCCAATGCTCTCGCTAATCAGTTTTGCGATCACAACCGGCCCATCATCTTCTATATCCCACTTCACCCAAAGGATTGGAATCTGCATCCTAAAGTTCGCTCTCTTTATGAAGCCATCGATGCACTCCAGCATCTGGTCAACAACATCAGCGTTTATCCGACATACCACGAGAGCTGGAACTACGGATACAAGGTTGCGGACATCAAGGCACTGGATGCTATCGCAGTCAAAGAGTCCACACCTGAGCCATACCGCCACAGGCCCGAGACATGCTTGGGCACCGGACCCTGCAGACTTGATGAACTCCAGGGGTCACAATTTGTCAGGTTCGCGTTTAGTGGTCGCGACGACTACGTGCATCATACCACAAACCCGAGCTATAACATGTTTGTTCACAGCCAACCCTACACGCAGGGATCTGCCATGAGAGTCATTCACCAGCAGTGCTTTTCGTCTGTTCCCGGATGGGGATACATCCGCGTTTATATGGTCGGCAATCAGATCATTGCCCGCAGCTTCTCCTCAAGCGACCAGCGAACAAAAGTACACAACACCTCGACTCTTCGCTCTGATTGCCACTTCGACTTTCGCCCTGAAGGTTCTCGACACCCGGATCCGGACCCTGAAGTGACCGAGCGACAGGAAGCAAAGCTGGAAGAACTCGACAGCTTTTGCAAGTGGTGGCAGCATCAACTCGCCACGCATGATCCTGAACTATTTGACTCTCTCAAGGTCGGATGTGTCATGAGAATCGGCCTCTCGGAAGCAAGCCTTGATGGAAAGTTCTTTATTCTCTCGGTTCAGAGATGGTATGCTTCCAACTTTTTCAGTCTGGACTTGACAGCCAAGCCGTTCGATCAGCTTTGCAAGGCATTTGGGGAGCAGTTTGCGCGAGTTTATGGATCCTTTGCTGCGATTGATGCTATGGACGATTGAATGAGAGGAGAGTTGGTTGATGGTTAACGAGGGCGATTCTTTGTAACTTCCGGCATTTTTGGGGCGAATACTGTTTGAGACCTTTGCTTTGACGCAATCTGTAAGCCTTGGGGGGGAAAGGCGTTACTTCAGAAACTTGACGATAGGTGTCAGAATAAACTCATGAAAACGCTCCCTATGATTGTGCCAAGTGATCCGATCATTTTTGTCACTTGAGGTCAATACCCGAAATTATTCTGCCTCCACCAAGACTCCCGTCCTTCAAGAGGGGGAGAGAAATAGCGCTTCGATCCTAAATGACTCAAAGACCAAGGCAATATAGTATAAGTTTAGGTAAAGTCTAGGTCAAGTTTAGTATACCTTTTGCTAAGTTTATTTTTACACCTTGTATCAAGGTCTGATGTTTTCTTACTCCCTGAGGTCATCCAAGGTAAGGTACCTACTTATGTACTCGTGGCTAAGGTACGTGGTTTTTGGCGGGTCATCCATGCCCCGCATCCATGATTCCCCATCACGCTGCCCTCGGCATCGTCAATACAGCACACTTTCCCAATGTGAGCAACGTGATAGGCCTGCTTGGTTCAGAGACGTCGTGACATTATTCCCGGTGAGTTTAATAAGGCTGATGTGTTGACTAAGTCCCTGGACCCTGGCATGATTGCCGCTACCCCAGGTTCACAAGCCGGGGACCCCCGGGTCAATTAATGAGGTACCCTAGAGCTTGGTCTACGATTGAGCTGTCTCGGTCATTGTCGCTTTTGAAGATGAGATCTCCTGTGATGCAACATGGCCTGATGTTTTTGAATTGATTTGATCTGGATATTGTCTTGTCCAGCTGAGAGTACCGTGAATCTTTGCCGTGAGCTCTAGAATGGCCTTTCAAGGTTGATGTAATCAGGTATGCACGTGAAATGGTTCGCGACAGCAAACCAGTCAGAAAACGGTAATAAATCGTACGAGAACCATATCCGGTAAGAAGAATCGGCAATCTATTCATCCAGAAGGTGGAAAAGTTGGAGAAACAAAGATCCGCTTGGTGAGGAATCGGCATCTTGGTACGGCACCTGCGGGTAAGAATATTTCCCCCAGTTCGGATCTCTTACCCCAAGATTGTGCTAGGGGAGATGGACCAATGGAGAGGCAGTATTTGCAATGGTCATTCTGACGTGGAGAGCCGACTTGAATTGCCGCTACCTTACCGTTGGCGTCCATGATCGATCCACGGCCCCGCCCCCTCCAAAGTCTCCCGGCTACGGAAACGGCAAACGACAATTCATTTTCATACTTAACGGCGCAGCCTCCACGTTCGGTCCCAAACGTCTTTTCCCTCATCATCACTCATCCCCAGATACCCCAGACCGTTCAAGTTCTTCTTTTTTCCTTCCCCAGACAGACACTTCCCGTCCAATCACCATCAACAATGGCTTCCAACGGTACAAACGGCACCAACGGCGCCACGGCGCAATCAAAGTTCGACCCCAACTTCACAGACCATGTCATCGGCCTCATGAGCCCCGAGACCGACCCTCGCCAGCGTGTCATCCTCACTTCTCTTATTCGTCACATGCACGATTTCTGCAGAGAGGTCGAGCTCACTCAGGACGAGTGGATCATGGGCGTCAACTACATCAACTCTCTTGGCCAGGCTTATAAGAAGAACCGCAACGAGACATGGCGCGTCTGCGACATCCTCGGAATTGAGTCGTAAGTTCCCCAATCAATTGCGCCCGCCATATCAATCGCTCACAGTCGCAGCCTCGTCGACGAGATTAACCACAAGGTCGTCACTGACGGCGGCAAGGCCCCTACCTCCTCCAGCATTCTCGGCCCCTTCTGGTCTCCCGAGACCCCCTTCCGCGACCTCGGCGCCAGCGTCGTCCAAGACATGCCCAAGGACGGCCAACTCACATTCTTCCACGGCGTCATCCGCGACGTTGATACCGGAAAGGGAATCCCCAACGCCGTTTTCGACATGTGGCAAGCCAGCACCAACGGCAAATACGACGCCCACGACCCCGAGAACCAATCGCGCCACAACCTTCGCGGCAAGTTCCGCACTGACGCTGACGGCAAGTTCTGGTTCTACTGCCTCAAGCCCACCGAGTACGCCATCGACACATCTGGTCCCTCCGCCGAGCTCCTCAAGATCATGGGCCGTCATCCTTACCGCCCCGCTCACATTCACATCATGGTCACCCATGATGATTACCTCGGTGTCACCGCTCAGCTGTACCCCAACGACGATCCTTATCTCGAGACCGACACTGCTTGCGCTGTCAAGGACGATCTCCTCCTCGATTTCAAGCCTGTCAAGGATGAGCCCAAGGGCGCTGTTCTCGATGTCGAGTACAATGTCAACCTTGCTTCCAAGAAGTACAAGCCTGACAACACCATGTTGATGCAGAACGCCAACCAAGACAAGTTCTAGGAAAATAAAATGAAAGAGAAGGAAAACCAAAAAAGAGAACGAAGCATGAGGATGTATATACATAGCATTGAATGAGTGGACTTTAGCGTTTGATTCATGTATTCGATGACTACTATGGCACTAAATAGTAAGATATGAAAATTACTGCATTTCAAAACCATTTGCTCTCAATATAGCTTTGCTCACCTCGGCTTGTTGTGATGTAAAATCAGTAGTTTCACCCGCAGCTTGAGCCAACATGGTCGAGGATAAGGTTTGTTTCGTGACCACCAAACCTATGATTTCACCGGATGGCGTGAGGTGCGTGATGTAGGCATGATGGCCAACCAACTGAGAATAGCAATCTCAGTATCATGTCACTGCAAGCTTCGACCCGATAAAGATGTTCTCAATTTATAATAGACTTTTATGAACACAGAATGATAAGACTTCTCCGCGTTGAGGCTTCCTTGGAGTTCCTGTGTTGAAACTATAGCATCTTAAACCGCAAGCCAAATCAAACAACCCGAATCATCATGCTCCTTCTAAAACCAGTATTGGCCACACTACCAATACCAAACGAAGGTAAAACTCGTATCATGCGTAAAGGTGTAGCAAAGCCAGTGTAGCGCCGAATTACACTAATCCGATCTTTGATCGTCATGCGAACTTGACGAGCATGGACATCCAGACCAAGCAGATGAATCGGTGTGCTGACTATCTGCGAGGCAGCTGGCATAAAAAGCTGAGCCATCTTAAGCCTTGCATCATCGGACTGAAAAATGTTGGCAAACGGGGTAATCGACGCGAAGGGGAGCTCGGCAAGTTTGGGAGCAATCATAGGAGGCAGGTTGAACGAAGCGTATATAGTCACCGCATCTCGCAGGGTAAACAGTGCATAGCTCAGCAGAGGAGTCGACATGCCACATGACATTCTCGAAAAGTACGCGTCTTTGAATATACTCAGCCCTGAACTGACGGTCGTGGTAGCGGCGAACTTAGCGGGAGATGAGCAGACGATGGAGGGGTCACAGTCGTATTGGACGGCGTTGAAGGAATCGAACATGTTGGCAGTAGCGTAGGTTCCGAAGTAGACGAGGAATGGTATGAAGAGAGAAGCAAATGTTGCCTTGGGCTTGGAAGCCCACTTTCGCATGGATGATTTGATGGAGGTGTTGCTGGTTGCTTTGTTGAAGACGAGCCTAACGGCATTTGTTAGTATTCACAGGACCTCGAGGACAGGAAGATGGGCTTGGATATCTGCTGAGAAGGTAACTCACTTATCAATGGCTGTCACCCAGGGAGTGACCAAAGCAGAAGCGAAAGCCGCAGCTGCAAGGTCAACAGCAAAGTACTGCAGTGTACAGCGCTGCTGCTCCCTAATACTCATAACATCCGTCATTTTGACAATCCGCAATCAATTAAGAGTACTAGAAAACTTAAAGAATCAGATTGGAAGACCATTGAGTTCTAAGTTATGACTCTTATTATAGTCTACGGCATTCGATACCGAGACACCGAAACACCGTGAAACCAGCCATGCAGGGCGGCCTATCACAACACTTTGGCGTGCACAAGCGCTGAACTACCGCTGTAGGTACTATAGTACAGCAGCACGCAGCCCGTCATCATCCGACAAGGCATTCCTCAACAAAATCACCCAATGCTTGCGATCATCACGAAAACAAGCAAGTCCCATATCCAATAAGACCTTGCGTAAGCTCACCTTGTGGGTCAAGACGGTGAGCGGTGCGGCTGCGCTAATCTCAGCCGTCTTGCGTCGGGTTAACCAGGAGGTCTTGGTTTGACTCACCTAGGTGACAATTACGTGGCAGGAATTCGGCTACGCTCGGGATTTGTTGAGACTGCACGGCAAGTTGGTGTCTAGACCGACATTCTGCTCTTATTCGGCTTCTGGATGACTCCGCGTTTTCCCCCATCTCGGCATAAGAATTGAGTTGAGTTGAGTTGACTTGTTGAAGCGCTAGAGCTAACCCCGGATTCCTCTTCAGGGGCCGGGCACGGACCTTGTTGTCAGCCCTCTTCGTCAACGTTCATCATCTACGGACTCAGTCAAAGTGATGACAGGAATCCTCATTTTTAAGATAAAGAAGCATCCAGGGAACATTCAAGACTAGAGTGAATAATACCCTTTCAGGCGGCGACGAAGTCTAAAGTCTTTCGAGGTTACTGTACTCGTCTTACTCATGGGCAGTAATGGGAGCTCAATGCCAGCTACTCCCAGTCCCTTGTTATTCGTTGGGTCCTTACATTTACATGGCCTATAGCTCTGATGACTGACTCTCCACCCGCGACATTCGCCATCTTGACAATGCTATACCTCTTATGAGTTGCGTTGCTCGGCTTCAGACGGTTTATACAATGAATACGTTGGAGACCTGCACTCCACTTCAAAGGTGAAGCATAGAATAGATTCATGAATGGCATAGCCGATAGATCCCGGCACAGGACATCAGCCCTACTTCTGGTCAGTGCGATCTAGTGGGATCAAGTGACTTGGAAGAAGACAAGATAAGTCGTCGCAGCATGAGCCATACCATACCGACTCTCAATCTTGGTTGATGCTGTACAGTTCATCCTCAATTTAGCTGAGCGGTCGCTTACCATCGCTTTGTCCATATGCTGATTGGACCCCTGTCATCCGCTTCCGCTAGCTCAAGAACGATCCAGTCCGTCATACAAAGCGTATCCGTAATCGGGGTCAAGGCCTGCGTATCTTTGACTTTGACCCAACGTCAATCTTGTTCGACCGTTTTCTCATTTTTGCCGGGGTAGTCTACTTCCCCGGATACGAACCTCCCTCCAATGAGGTTCGTTAGTGCACTCGGGACCTAATAGTTCTTCACCTATCACCCATAGGTATCGGAATCCCTGTAGTAAGTTCAAGCGCTTGAGAAGATAGACTTACGATCCTGGGTAGTAGGTCTCTCCCTTAAACGGGAGATATCTTCAGGTGCTCGAGACCTTTCAACTCTGTTATTGGTGAGTTTCTTCGCGTGCATCTGGATACCCATCACGGATGAGATCATGACGGCTTCTTCATCTAGTTCCGTGGGTTGATCTGATCGATCGGACCCTCATGCATTGCATCCGCAATGCTCTTGTACTCTCTTCCTGTGCAAGAAGGATAAGTTTGGATCCAATGTCCCTGATGGCTTCCCCAAGACTTTGAACTCAACACTGGCGTGGAGATGCGAAAACATCCAAGACAAAGAGGCTCAGTGGAAGGGGAGGCTCTCTGACGAGGGAAAATTCTGCCATCCATAGCGCCGTGAAAGGTTTCGACGGTTAGTTGTCGAATACACGGTTATGATGACTGGTAAATTTATCTAAGCTGACTATAGCGAGTGGGCTCCCAGAATTTTGCCCAGATCTCTACCGCCACCTTGCCACTCCCCATCGACATATCGCAATACTTGAGGCACCTGTCGAGTAACTTCTATAACGGCACTGGATTCCGGATACTCGCTGGCCTTGACCCTTCGAAATACCCTGCCAGACACAACGTGCTTCTGCAAGCGGGCATCAGTGCTCATATGTGCCCCGAGGGAGGTTTCTTGGACGTCTTTGCCAAGCGGCCGGTTGGCATGGCTTCCTGAGTTTAAAAATTTAAGAAGGCCGCTTTATGCTAAGTTACCATAAGTCATGTAGTCAATGTGCCAAGGGGCGGTGATGGGCAAGCATCCATAGCCCCAGCATTTAATGATGCCCCCCTGGCAAGTTGCGTCGCCCGCTCATCATGTCGGGTTTAGAGCTTCACTGAACCCGATCAATCGTTCCATAGGACCATTGCGAGAAACTCTCATTTTATTACCAAGAGATGTCTCCAACAGGCGGCGGACAAACAATCTTGAGTAGCTCATGGCAAGTCTACAATGAGCTAGCCGCCCACTCTCCCGAGATACTACATACACTCGCTGTGCTATGGGTGATGGACTCGTTAGTATAACTCGTCAGTTGTGGATCAAACATGAAAAAACCGCTAGAGTCGAATCTTATTCGTTACAACCAACACGAGGTGTGTCTCCTCTCCAATCTCGGCTTCGAGAATATACCAACGATGCTCGTCCGATATCCTAGCTCGCATATGCTTGGTTAGCAGCGAGAACGAAACTCGGAATTGCCAGAACCAAGTCAAGATCAGATGAGAACTATGAACGCTGTGCAATTCATCGCACAAAAGAACGCCATGAACTTGCCAATTTCACGAGTTGGTATGGCCTTCATCAACGGCATGGCAGTGTTTCATGCTCGCGGTGAGTTTAATGGCGGTGACGCAAGTATGAAGAGACACCTCCTCAGAATGTATATCTGTGATCCCGAGCAGGTTGAGTAGTACCTCAATCTCTTCAGGAGACCTTTGAGGCGAGATACACTCGTAAGCCTGGCGACCTGAGTCCCGAGGTCTGGGGCATTGACCACGAACCTGTTTTGGAAGAGCTTTCATTCGTCAATGGTTAGAAGGAAAGCGATTCATCGAAGTCTGTAGCAGCAAGTTCCCGTTTCCATTTGTCTCGGTACCACCAACGTTTCTGACCCAATGGGTCAGCCCAATCAGCGGAAGGTCTTTGATAGCTATTAGCCGTGCTTGTCTTGCATAAGGGCTGTTTTTGAAAAGTTTAACGCCCCTCACTTGCGTCTAGAACCTAGCTCCCAGCATCACCGCCTACCCGTCAAGAAGACTCACGAGGCGGAGAGATGGAAGAGCCTGGAAGGCTCTCAAGACTTTTTGTCTACCTGTGTCTGTCTGCCCATGTTGAATCTCATTTGGAGCTCATAAAGAGTTGCGTAATCTAACAACCCTTGATCTTATAAACGCTTGATTCTCATCATCTCGAAGGTCCACCATGACGACCTTTCAGCTGCTTCAGCCACTTCAGACTCGTTTAGAGCTAAAATCATTCAGAGAATCTCATTCGAGGAAAAGCAACGTGGCTATCAAGCTTCTCAGCCCTAATCTCCAACAATAGGGCCCTAAGCCAAGCCTCCATAGCGAATCGAGACGTTACAATTTTAAGCTCGAATGGTCTCATCGCAAAGAGACTGTGATTCGATGTGGTTGCATACCACGTAACAAATGACCAGTGACGTCTGTCTCTAGAGAAAGCACCACATATGACTGGCGTTGTTGGTGTTCTGAAACTCAGCTCCTGATTGGGTGCTAGCGAGTAGCCACGGCGTTGACGCACGAACGCGGATTCAGCGTGGCTTATTCGTTGCTAGCTTTGACGCGTTTGTGAGGCATTTCTATGGTGCTAAAATTCCAGTTCTTCAGATGTGGCTTATCGGCTAGAGCTTGATTCGAAGCCATCACGGCGTTTGCCGTTGCACTGTCTGGAGGAACTTGGATTTATATAAGGTCTGGATACAGGTGCTACTTGAGACAATTCACACAATCAGCCTCTCAGTTCCTCAGCTACAAATATCATCTTGAATAATCCGCTATCATGGACACGCCCAAATCTTATTATCTCTACAACCCCTCCGAGACGTTGGCAGGAGTTGTCGCAGGTCTTTATGGAGTGAGCTTTTGCATCACGCTCTGGCAAATCATTCGGAAGAAGGCCTGGGTATGGCTCTTCATGTTGCTTGCTATTGCGAGTAAGTCGAGTGTTTGATATATGCGAGGCCTGTCAGTATCTGCTACCAAGCCGACAGAAAAGGGACCTTACGTGGTTCAGTTCACACTTGTGATTTTACCTCCAGTTTTGATGGCCGGTGTCATCTACGTTATCTTCGCTAGAGTCGTCTTCTGGGTTGTTCCTCCAGAGTCGAGAACTCTTCGCTTTCTCTGGGTGCCTGGTAAGTATTCTCGTAATGAGAGTCGATGAAAGAGACGCTAACAGTTTACGACGCAGCTCGCTTCATCACTCTCCTCTTTGTTGGCTTCGATATCATCTCGCTCCTCCTCCAACTTGTCGCGGCAGTTCTCATTGCGGGCACCGACCCAACCGATCCTGATGCGAAGAGTAAACTCAACCTGGGCAAGACACTTGGTATTGTCGGTGTGAGCACTCAAATTGCTGGCTTCGGTCTTTTCACTGTTTCCGCCATCCGATTCCACTTCGCTGCGAGACGACTTAGCCCCGACTTTGCCAAAGATAATCAGGAGAAGCATGGTATTGTGAAGAAATGGCAGACCCTACTCATTGTGGTTAATGTCTCGTGCCTCCTCATTCTCGTAAGTCAAAATGTCTATTTATCTGTGGCCCAGTTGCTTATCAAGAATAGGTCCGTTCAATCTATCGTGAGATTGACTTTGCTGGCGGCAAGGATGGCACTACCCACCAAAAGGAGTGGTAGTAAGTAGAGCTTGTCCTGCATCCTCGAAAAAAAAACACTAACATGTATACCGCAGTTTATATGTTTTCGACACTCTTACCATCTTGCTCGTCGTCTTCCTCTACAATGTCTTCTTTCCAGGCGGCTATCTCAAGCATCTTGGTTTCAAAGTGCCCAAACACCAAGGCGCGGTTCTGGACACGGAGGCTGCCGACAAGCAGGTCTCAACGACTGCGGAGTCTGTATGACACATATCATCTGTCCCATGGGCAACTCAGGTGCCCAGCCGCTCCTGGTTGGTATTGAGGGGTTTATGCCTATGTTTCATAAGATGTCTTCTTAGGGTTTGTTACTTCATCACAATATGCTCTGGGTTTTAGCGAAGGATTTATGTTTATGTATACATATAGAATCACAATTAAGTATATTTTGATCATCAGTGATCCTCAACTCACCCTACGCGCTTAACAGTCTGTCTGTGTTGATGCCCCATGTGGGACGGTGAAGTGGTAATGTGGGGTAAATGATCAAAGCCCAAGTACTTCTCACACGCGATATCCAACCAAGGTTCGCGACCTTGGATATACTCCAATCAAGAGCCGCCGTAATCTGCGCTGTACTTCCGCTGGATAACGTTGCGGAGGAAGCGGTTTACCCCACAAGTGCCATGACGATATCCCGGGACGTCATCTCCGCACACTTTGCCGAGTTGGGAATGTTGAAACGACCCGGTCCCGACGTGGCCGCCGGCCAAAGCGAGGGTTGCCGTATCCAGAGGAACGTGATTAACGATTCTCATAATTCTACGATATCGGAGGCGCGGGGTGATTTACCAAGCCTGGACCACCCTGCCTGAGAGACTCACTTTATGCTCTCCTTTAAGATCTGGAGCCTCCGCATCTAAAAAAGCTAATCGTAACCTTACTCATTTGCCCTTCGGTCACCACTAAAATGACGTCCGATACTTACAAAGTTGCTGTCCTTACCGTATGTTACCGCAGATACCGTCATGCCTGGCACTGAATGCTAATCCCAACAGTCATCACAGGAGCACAATGCCAAGCCCACGTTTGAGATCAAGCAGCTCCCAAGACCCGTTCCTGGTCCCAATGAAGTCCTTATCCGCCTTTCACTCACCAGTCTTTGCGGCTCTGATCTAGGTATGGCCCTGGGTCATATGGGACCGGTGGGGAAGATTCTCGGTCATGAGGGTGTCGGCAAAGTCGCAGAGCTTGGCTCAAATATTGCCAACTTGGACCCCAGTGTTAAGGTCGGCCAGAGAGTTGGAATAGCATGGATCCGTGATATTTGCGGAACCTGCAGCATGTGCGTTGACATCGCCAACGAGGGCGAGACGCGATGCGTTGAAGCTTTGCACTCTGCAAAGGCATACGATGGTACCTTTGCCGAATATACGCTTGTGCCATTACGATACCTGGCTCGTATTCCACCAGCATTCGATGACATCCCCGACGAAGAGATCGCGCCTATTCTCTGCGGAGGTGTCACAGCTTACAAAGCCATCAAGAACTGCAACCTTACACCAGGACAATGGGTTGTCATATCTGGCGCTGGCGGCGGTGTAGGAGCTTTGGGCGTTGCGTATGCTCACGCAATGGGCTATCGAGTTATTGCTGTTGACGCAGGTCCCGGAAAAGAACAATACTGCAAAGCTCAAGGCGCTGAGCATTATGTAGATGCTTTGTCTAGTGTAGACGCCGGAAAGCAAGTAAAGGATCTGACTGATGGCCAAGGAGCTAAGGCCGTTGTCGTCACCGCAACTGCTGCTGCTGCGTATCAAAAGGCGTTCGACATGCTGGGACCGTTCGGCACATTGATGTGCGTGTCGATTCTACCAGAAGAGGCCAAGATTTCCTTCCACCCGCTCTGGTTCATTGATAATGGCTGGACTGTGAAAGGGTCGGCAGTTGGGACAAGAGCTGATATCCTTGAGGCTCTGCAATTTGTCAAGCGAAGGCTCGTGATCCCCAAGATCAAGTGGGCCAATCTCGAGGATATTGAGGGTCTGATGGAGCAGATGTCCAAAGGACAGGTAAGTTCAGAACCATTAAGTTGATTATGACTAGCTAACACGAATGTAGTTGGAGGGAAAGTATGTCATGAAGTTGTAGAGTTGGAGGGCAGAGAGTGTGTGTGTGGAGTTGGGGAGAGCTGAGAATTTGTGTTTGTGGTTCGTGGAAATTGTTGAATATCGCTTTATGCAGCTCAATACATGAGTAAATAAATTGTTCTATTTACGCAAGATTGTCAACCATTCTAGCAAGATAAAAACATTGCTCAGCGACTGCGAATTATCATGATCTTGAATTCTTTATCACGGCTTACTCTATCTGTCACAGTTGTGAAACGCACTGGGATGAAAAGTCACAGACTCAAGCTTTCTTGTAGACTAAGTACAGCTTGCTAGAAATAATACGTCTCGTCCAGATCAAATCCACTTTCATCCAAGTGTATAACGTTGCTTCTACTGATCCTCGCCCTCTAGACCGATCTGAGGTCCAGTGAACGTCTTTCGGAGACCACCGAACCATAGGGCAGTTGTAAATACGAGCCCGACTGCCATAACTACAATAAGGTAGTTCATTGAAGATGCAGTGACAGGCATGAAGGCAGGGAAGCAAAAGCTGACAGAGAACAATGCAACAAAGAGTGTCGCCGCAACGTTTACGGCATATCCTGCTTTCCCAAGCGAGAAAGACCTCTCAGGAAGACAGCTACGCCCACGAACAAGCAGCGCAGCCTGGGGGAGAGTGACAGTGATGTTGAGCGCAAAGAGTGTCAGGCCAATAAAGCTGTTGTAAGCAGTGCTTGAAGCTACGTACAGAACTCCGATGATGATCTGCAGAGCAAGCATGACTGCAGTAGCTCGGACAGGACTGGCCCAGTTGAGATGCGACAGGAATGCCGAGAAAGGGACACCTCCGTCTCTGGAGAAGGACCATATGGTTCGACCAGAGAAGATGAACAAGTTCAGAACGATGTCGTAGAACATGACGATGTAGTAGACAGACCAGATGGTGGTAGCAACTCTGTTGTTGAGAGCTTGATTGTAGACCTCGAGAATAGGTACTGTCGACTCAATGATGGCATCGACATCCTTGATGGAGAACATGAGGGCGATAGTCCAGGCGATGACAGTGGAGATACCGAGGCCAATGGTCAAGAAGATAGCCCGAGGGACATTCTTACTTGGGTTCGGCACTTCTTCTGCCAAGTGGGTAGGACCATCAACGCCACTGTATGCCCATAAGCAGGCAGTGATGGAGGTGATCATGGCCCAGCCATCTCCCCATCCACTGACATTCTTGTACTCCTTGAAAACAGTAGAAGCCGACTGCTTGTGATCACTAACAGCAAGAAGGGTGACCATGGAAGCGATGAAGCCCACCAATGACAACCAGAAAATGGTAGTAGTCAAACGGCCGATGGCAGCAGGGAACCGCGAAGTGGCGGCAAATGCGATAATGCATAGCAAGATATGCATCAAGTACGTATGCCAAGCCTCGATGCTGTATGACGGATGCCACAGCTGGACAAGGTCTAGAACAGAGCTAGCTGCGAAGAAGTTGCAGGACGCTGTCGCAGCCATCAGGTAGATGATGGAGATCCAACCAGTATAAAAGGCAGCGACGCGTCGGGTAGACGCGGGAAAGGCCATGAAGACAATATGATACTGTCCACCAGCCGAAGGGAACGCTGAGGCCAGTTCAGCAAAGCCAATGTTGATGGTAGCCATGATGATGCCACCAGCGATCAAGCCATAGATGATCGAGGGTCCTCCACCACAAGCAAGCGGTATCGCAATGCCTGAAGCAAAGGCCATCCACGAATTGGTGGTGGTAAAGGCAAAAGCGAGGACAGAAAGAGGACTGTATCGCTTCTCAAGTTGTTCACCGCCGTGGAGGTGACGGGTGGCGAATGTCTTGCCAGCAGCTTGGGAGGGCGTCAAGGACGCATTATCGGGAGTATCGTGTTTCTCGGTCATTCTGACAGTGTTCAGGCTCGAAGATCAAGGCGGGACGCGAGGATGAAGGTCCGGTGCTCCTGTTTGAGGAGGATGTTTGTGTATTGCTGGGGGCTATTTGTGGTCATTCGCTACTGTCGGTAAAGCCGTCGATATCTTGCGGCCACGAAAAAGAAATGGAGTCGGGAGAAAGAAGATAGAGGGTCTAAAGGCGTTATCGGAGTGAGAAGAGGCGATATCGCATGGGTGCAGTCGCATTCTTAAGAACAAACGCGTTCCCATGGCCTAGCCTTGATCTGCACCACCAAAGATAGGGCGCAGCACGACCTCCGTTGTCGCGTGGCACCTCCAATCTTTAGTCAAACTATATGGCAATCAATAATCGCAATTTCTCAGTCATATCTCCCCCTTCCCACTCGTCTTATCTTCAACTTCCGGGGTTTCTGGGGAACCTGGGGCGCGCGCAAAGATTAGGCGAACCTTGCTAGAGCCGAGGACGTGGTTCACTCTCATTTTAGAGCCGCCCTTGTTATCAAGTCTGAGACTCTTACTCGATGACTCGGTAGATGTCGCCTGGTCATTCCAAGTACGGTTTAGTTCTAAGGAGGCGGATGGAGAGGTTACGGCCGGTTAGTAGCCGGTTAGTGGGGCTTATGTGCCGAAGTCCCGTGGAAATCATGATAATGATTTTTCTACGGATATCGTTATTCTGGGAGAACATGCTCGGACTTGGCCGCCGGCGAAGAATTAAGCACGGAAAAGAGATGGGGATGATGGTGTCCTTGCGCCCTTGCTACAGATACCCCGATACCCCGGCCTTGGTTCATCTGAGGTACTCACGAGACCCTGTCTATTTATCATGTTCGAATATTGTAAAAGGCAGGGCTTAGCCACGCAAAGACATCTGTCCATGATGGCACCTTATTCCCCCCAAGCAACAAACATCTTGAACAGCTCACCCAGCATCTCCAGCGTTCCGGATATGGCCACAATGGCCATTACTCAGCGTAGGCCCATTCTCAGGGAGTAATTTCTTTAATGTGGTAAAGCTCGTATCAAATGTATGGCCTGGAAGACAGGCAGTACCAATGATAAGGTAACACTTGTGATGATAGGCAGCTGAAAAGATGCAATTTGGCCGCTTTTGGCACTCGACACAACAGTCGTAAGGAGCGACTAGTGGGAGAACATTGTAAATGTTCTTTCCGATATTGACTGCATTGATCCCATGTCCGCCGTTTGCCGCATTGATGAGATTTTCAGCGTTGCAAGCAGCCCAGGAACTTTCGGCTGGGGCGAGATCTGTTCGAGTCACTAGATGGTAACAGCGGTTAATAAATGGTTTATAACTACAGAACCAACACCCAAGACGTACCAGTTTCAACTTCCCCGGTGATGTCCGTTCTAGTTTCTTTAGTGAGTGTCGAGGTTTCCGTTACAGTGTCATCCGCCGTCATTGTGGTATCAGCTTCTGTAATTGTACTCGTGACCCATCCTCCAGTAACTTCATGCTTTACAACGGTTTTTTGATCAAGTGTTATTGTTTTCGTCCAAGCTATACAACTTTTGAAGAGCACGGTTTTGGTAATCTGGACGGATTTATAGCACAGGACCATGCCCCGGGATTGAGTTGGCTGGACGGGATGGTTTTTATCGCCCGGTTCGATTTTGATGGTACAAGGGTCCTCTAGGTACTTGGGTTCATCCTTGGGCTTAAGTTTGCGAGGAAAGACTAGCGAGGGGAAAACTCGAATAATGTCCTCCCAAGCATTCCCCCTGGGCAAGTCTCGTTTAGATAGACTTCTCTGGCGGGGGACAAAACCTGATGTCGAGATAATAGGGACAAATCCGGAGATCGTTGGGACTGTGATAGTCGATGTTAGAGTTGAAGTGGTAGTAACAGCTGTCGTATCAGTTTTGTGGAAAGTGGGAGTCGTCACCGCTGTTTCAGTGACTGTGATCGGTTAGTCTAGACAATGAGATGTAACGACAATGACCATATCTTACTCACGGGTCTTTGTGATGGTGAGTGTCTTAAGCTTTTGGGGAGCGGTAACCGAAACGGTAAAGATAGACCTGGTAAAGACCGTGCTAGTGACAGTAGCTTGGCTGATCGTGATGGTTTCATGCTCATGTTTCCTTTTGCAATATGGTTTTCTCGCGGTTAATTTGACCTTCGTACTGATAGTGACTCTAGGTGCATGAGCAACCGGCGTTCTGCTCATGCTCGTTTCACAGAATTCTTTAATATGCGTTTGAGGCTCTTGAGCAAGGGCAGCGCCCTGTAGAGCATAGAGGAGTAGAATCAGACGCATTGCAATCAATACGATCCACAGTCGTGTATATAACTCAATTTTGAGCGGTATTATTTTGGCTGAGGAATTGGGTTCACCTTATATTCCTTGAGGAGGTAAAACCCTGAAAGCCACAATCTAGCTAGGTTTTCCCATCAGCATTCGCAACACGTGAATTGCCAAACTCTGTGGTGCAACCTGTAAACTACGGGCAACAGCTCCTATTTATAGTTGAGTCCTGCCGCTAGCATTCATAACTATCGGTTCTACGATTACGGTATTGAATTGTGCGCGGTTACTCGGGAGGATCTCGCTCAAGGTGAAGCCAGCCACCTTTACGTGCATCACGAATCCGCCCCTGCATATTTTCCGACGCAGTGATTATTTTGAGTTCTGGGCGTCAAAGTTCAAAGCCAATGGCATGATGATAAAGCTCAGGGCGGTAGAAATGTCTTGTGGTACTTTTTAAACCCAGTTAGTTGATCAGATCTTGCAAGGTTTCGGCGGATATCGACAGCATGACCTGTAATTCAATGGAAAAGAAACTGATAGTTTGGAGCAAAACAAAATCATGGTTAGGACCAACCTACGTCATGTGTTCGATTATGTTCCTTATGCAGGTCCTCGTATATTCACCCGCAGAGCCTATGCGTCATGACCTTATTGCTACACCGACACGTTTGCGTTCCGTCAGCCTCGCCTCACGTTTCGCTAAAAAAGGATCCCAGCACATCATACGAAATATTTATGCAACTCCACTACCATTACTGTCCTATCTCAGCGATATCCAGCTGGATTCGTGCTATCGTGATGGAAAGTTTGAAGCTCATTCAAGGCTGAATACCGCGTGTTAGAAGAAGGCGAGTACGCCTTTGGCTCGGGCGAGATACCCGACACCAGAGGCTGATAGTTCGCCTCACCCTGGGCGTGGGTGACAGGCTGTTGTTGATAATAGGGGACGACTGGAGGCTGATCGATTGTCGCGGCCGCATGAGATCCAGTACCTGATTGACGCTTTTTGTGGCGTATGAACCAGAGACCAAAACCAATCAAGGCGAGTAAAGCAAGCCCCCCAAGAACACCGCCCACAATGGCTCCTACAGGGGCAGAAGAGTTTGAAGATGAGTCTGGTTCAGATGACGAACTCGATTCGGTAGATGAGGTGGTCTCTTGGGTGTTGCTCTCTCCTGTCGTTCCTGTTTTTGCGGTCAAGTCGCCATCTGAAGTCGTAGGCTCAGAAGTAGACTCTATAGACGACGTTTCGATGCTAGCCGAGACACCCTCCAGCTCCCTGTACATGGCCACTTCCATATCCTTTGTCGTACAAAACGGGTAGAGAGTAAGCTCATCACCGTCACTATCAGTCGAAATCGCAGTCACGCATCCCGAAGGACTGGTCCAGCGTTAGTCGATACCACACGTGACACGAGAATTTGTTGAGTAGCTCACCAGCATAGCTCATCCGATGACGTGGAAGTGCAAGTCAACGAAGTAAAGCATCTTGTCTTGATGTATCCATCACATCCAATGTGACTACTGCTGGTTGCACAGGTCGTCGTTGTCACGCCAGAGTAATAGCAGTAGTTCACGACCCAGACTTGAGTCCCATAGTTAGCCGGGCTTGCTTTTAGAAGTATTGAGAGTACTTACACTGCCCGGGGATAGAATAGTAGCCACAAACATCATAAGTGCCTGCATTCTGTCGCTTGAGGATGTCTCTGTTGTAAGCTTCTGGTGGCTCTGTGATTGCGGGGTCAGGAGGGGAGCCTGTCGAGCCACCGCCATTCAACGCGTAATAGACGTCAGCCATCGGATCGCTGATGAGTAAAGATACTGGTAGATTTTTCTTATCGCTGCGTTTAAATTACAGTGCATACGTGTACAGAAGTCTTGAGAGAGAGGTTTGAGTTGCGGAGAGAACAGGAACAAACCGAAAACACGATCCGGAGAAATGTAGGACAAAAAGGAATCTGAGGCGGCCCTCATTTTCAGGCTCTTCCTTGGGCTTCATCCATAAATAGATAGGTGGCGTTACAAGGAATTACAAACATGCATGAGCTTTCACAAGCAGAACGCACTCAGTACCCTGAAGACCCAATGATAATGTCACTCGGAGGTATGCCGCAGTATGCGGTTGGAGCAGGGGGGCTGCTATTGGTGATATGCCAAAGCCTGATCTACAAGCTGAAAAATGTGTATCTTGTCTTGGCTTCGAGGCCTGCTGGAACCAGTTAAAACAAGGCCCAGGGGGGAAGGAATGTCTCTTTTCTCTCTCGATATCACAATTCTGACCAATGGTTGAAGTTTCCTCGCAGCCATATTTATAAAAGACGAGCTAATGTAGTTGGGATGATGCCAAGCATATTTCTTCCAGTAGGACAGAACCAACCTGCATGTGGCGTACGCAGACGACGTGTTCCTTGTTCGAATCCTCAGCCGCTTGTCACAAGCTTCGGGAAGAGACAGCGCCGACGATTGACACTTCCTATCTTCCGACTTTCCAAGCTCTGACCATATCATCGGTAATGAGCGTGGCGTTGACGATGGTAGTCGACTGGGACAAGCCCTTGATCGGGGTGGCTGCAATTATTAGCTGCATGGGAACGTTTGACTGACCGGACTAACCTTTGAGAGGTGCGGTTTTTTGTGCATCCGCTATATTTGCAAGATAGCGAAAACGGTTTCGACTCTCATAGGATGTCACTTAGAATATCATGACAGTGGGTAGGTATCTCACATCTCTTCTTTTAAGGCGTCTAATCCAGCACTATATAATTCTCAACTGTTCGAACTGAACTGCAACTCGGTCAATTATGTTCAAATCTCAGCTGTCTCCTTCCATAATCCCCTGACCGTTATGAATTCTGTATAAGCCGCCAAAAACGAAGCTATCGTCTCGGGGAACAGTCCCCCGTCTCGTATCCAATGAACCGTCAGTGGGCCATAAAGAAAAAGGTGAACAAAATTCCTCCGCCATTCTGTCTTTGCCTCTTCATCTTGCTCTTCCCCGGTACTTCGGCTTTCATATCGGTCGTATAGCAGTTGTGCCATCCCAGACATGACAAAAACACCCCAAGACTTGAGAGACCAGATCATGAGCTTCGACTCAGTCTTCTCTGACCATTTAAATACGCCTCTTCTTGTAAGCCATGCTAGATTCTCTGTTCCATAGTATCCAAACAGTCCAAGGATATATGTAGCTCTTATGGCTGCCAGAGCAAAGTACCTCCGCGGGTTGCTTTTCCTTTCTTCGCTTTCCTTTTCGGATGCGAGACTGTTTAGAAATTCTTTTGCATCCGCCCATGTCGCCAGTAAACCCCATAATCTGGTGATGATCTGCCAGTCGTCCAGAATATTCGATAGAGCCCTGAATCGTTCGGCGACAAGAGGTTTCTTGGCGGACCATGAGCCTATCACTGGAGAAACCCTGAACGTTGATAAGAGTGACAAGAATCCTGACGGTGCAAGCCTCAATAAGATTTTGCTAACTTTGAGAAGCCAGCTTTTCAGCCTATCGGGAATTGGCGTTTCGAGTGCAGTCGCCACGAAATGTGCTGCGTAGGCCAGGAAGAGGATGAGGGCATCATGGCTCTCCCGGGTATGCATCAATCGATTTAGGCGTGAAATGAATGCATCAAGCTTTTTGATGGGCCAAAGTGCTTTGCTGCCACTAACGGTTTGGTTTCCTATCGAGGGATTCTTGACAGATACATGGCTGTCCTTGTCGGGTGCATCTACGCCTTCAATCACTGGTTCAGGTAGGATTGTTCTTGACTTTGTCAGCTGGATACTTTCTAGAATGAATGCTAGACGTTACTTCATGTCAGCCATGCTGCGCGTGAGAGAGAATGATTAATTTCAAAAATGTTTCCAGGCATGAGAATTGGATTCCTGATATTTCTTTCTTCAAGATTGAGGTTGATATGATGTTGGTGAGATAGATAAGTTTTGATCAAAATCCAAGGACCCGGGGGTTCAGGGTATCAATAGGAAACGAATCTGCGGGGATCTATTGGCACTTATCTTGTTAAGGGCAATACTGGGTACACGCTGTGCAGATACCGGCTGCACTTACTCAATGAAGATTGACGCCATGTGTGAAGTTTGTGATGGGGATGATATTGTCACTAACAGTTTACGACGCTAGCTACCTTTTCTTTGAGACCTACTCTACAATTTACAAGGCTGATCGGCCTGAGAGATATTATATAGACTAATATTACCTTTAAAGCAGTAGTATAGACTACAAAGATCTCATCTTTCCAAGGTATCTCCAAAAGTCTGTCGTTGGATTGTTAGCCCGTATAAAATTGCTTGGTGCGACAGGCGGATCATTCCTCTCTCAGCCCCACATTCACTTCTGCACGCGTGCTATTCCCTAAAACGGGTAAAGCTGTGCATCGCTGCAGACCGACTTCCAGCAGGGATCTTAATGACAGCGAGAAGATCCCTTGTTCGTGATTTGTGCATGCTTCCATTATCGAAACGTCGAATTCGAATAGAAGACAGCTGAAGTCGACAGAAAATAGACTTTCAGCGGCAGTGGCGCTTGGAATAAATTACGCCCGTAAAAGTTAAAACATTTCGATCCTAGGGGTTCCTCTCTTGCTAAGGTGCCTTCGAAAGGGTTGTCTTCTTTGCCTGGAAGAATCGAGCTTTATGGAACAGTCGTGACTACATCGCCGTTGATTAGTGATTTCAGCATCAGACACCAGGCGGGAGAAGGAGTATTGTCTTCGTGCTATATTACACATCACTTGTAAAGATACGGAGCAAATATGACTGATGTCCAGAAAGGAAAATCCAGGCATCATGTACCATATATCGCTCATTCCTACTAAGTCAATTTGAACATCCTCATTGGATGAGCTCACTCTTTGAAGCTTCACGGGCGTAGTGTAACTTGAGTCCTTCATAACAACCCAAGAACAGTCCGTTCCCCACAGCAGCTGCTATACAAGTAACAGTTGCGCCTCTAAACAGCCCTGAAATCCCATCTCTTATCAATATGCCCTTGGCAATAGAAATGGGGCCTCTCGCTGCGGGCTTCCTAGCTTTCTCGCGGATTAGCGAAGACGTGAATAATGCTTCTGGCTGTAGAAGATGGCTGGGAGGAGCGACTTCCGGCAGCCGCATCCTGGTTTTCACGACGTCAATAGGGACAAAGAGAAGCGAAGCTATTGAGCCGCCGATACCAGCTGTGATTCCGCTCACTTTGACTTGTTCCGCTATGCTCTCAGATTTCTTTGACCCCCGGAGCCAGGCGCCTTTCAGGTACTCGTAAATGGAGAATGTGAGACTGGTACGTGGCAGATTCCCAGCTACCAAGACCGTATATCCTGTCCATAGTTTCAAAGGATGCCTTGCGAAGTGCTTGAGCGAGGCCAACATCGGGTTACGCTGGACGCCACCCTCTGAGAATCTGGCAACTTGGGCGTTCTGTTTGAGGACTTCCGACGGGTTGATGATAGCGCACGCGACCATGTCAGCCAGCGCGCTGCTAGCGGCATGAACAGCTGTTTGAGATAGACTCCCAGGCTTGAGATCCTCCTTCGGCTGAAGAGCAGTCTTGGCCGTTTCGTAGATGGTGAAGAAAGTGACAGAGGCCGGGATGGTCGTGACAACGGTTGGTGTCAAGCCGCGATAAAGGCCTCGGAACAGCGTCGCTTGGAGTTTGCCCTCGTGGCTCCGGTATTTCGGTACATACTCGGGGGATTGAATGCGTGTTATGAGAGTATCGAATGGGTGCACTACAAACTCAACGCTCAGTGCCGCGAAAGCGGCGGCCTGTTGCCGTTAGTATCGCTGATGCCTACAGGGATTTCGGGATGCTCACCAAGGATATGTCCGTAGCATCCGCGCTGGTTGGGGCGGACATCAATCAGAGTGCCAGAGCTGATTGACCAAGAAAAAGACTCAATTGAAGTGAACCCGACAACAAGGAAATGGTGGTTTAGGAGCGATGAACAGATTTCCAGGTCCCGACCAATATTTCTCAGGGCCAAGCGTTTGGCCCAAGATCAACGACGTCAACATCGAAGGTTGGAAGAACGCGCTAGGCTATCGCCCCGACAGCGGAGAGGCCAGAACGATGGACAGAATACCAGTATTCTTTTTGCTATGACACATAAAGTGTCTTTAGCAAGGTAGTGTCTTACCATTCGCAGTTCATTACTGATTTTTGAAAGAATTTGGACGATGCTGGCTTCGAACGAGCATCCATCCTCATGCTCTCAGGCTCACAGTTGCCTCCAGGCTTAGGCTCCAGGCGCTCAGCGCTGAAAGGCAGAAATCGGATTAGCTAATCACAACGCACCCTTTCGATAAGCAGCAAACAGAGCCAGCGCTTGACTTCAATTCATCTCACGCTCATCATGACTCGACTTCATTGAAACGAGAGCGCATCGCTCTCCGATGGCCACCTTTTCTCTTCGAACTCATATCAACGCCTCTGGATATTTTTCCAGATTCAATTTTATTGCTTATGAGTGAACCAGGCCCTCGAGCGACTGAAGCTCACCAAACACTCGCGTTTGTTAGGCGGAAGCGAAAGCAAGTTGGCAGAGCCTGTGATGGCTGTCGACTCCAACGGATAAAATGCGACAACAGCGTTCCATGCCTCAACTGTCGAACGCGCGGCCGTGAGTGCAGCAACAATAACGCCCCTACCGTGTCGACTCTTCCTCAAGCGCAAGATGAGATCGACAAATTGAAGCGACGGGTGAAAGAGCTTGAAGCACAACTTTCGCAGGCGCGGAATAGCGAGACACCCGCTTCACAACAACAGGAACCGACGCCGCCTGGCGGATCACCAGCTCTCCCAAGACCAGCGACTCAGGAAAACATCAAGACGAAATTCTGGGATGGCGTATACCTTCGCCCAGCACGATCGCCACACAGCGCTTGGTTCGGGCCTTCATCACTTTACTTCTTCATTCATCGACTCAGCACATTTCTCAGCGCTCAAGCCGACCACATGCTCATTCACCTCGCCAGCAACCTGGAACAGTTGGGCCAGGCGGCCGTGCCACAAGACTCTTCACGACTGTTGGCGCCACTCACGCGAGTCAACGAGGAAGGCTTCTATCTGACCCCAGTTCAGGAAGGGTTCTTCATCAATCTGTACTGGGAGACCTACCATACATGCATCTATGCCGTGGTCGATGAGGCGAGCTTCAAGGCGCATTACCAATCGCTCTACGTCGATGTGCCGGCCGGATCGCCGAGGAAGCCATCCGCATTGGTGGACATCATACTCGCCATGTGTATGCAATATCATACATCCGCGCTCCCATGTGGCCAGCAAGGCAACATTCTTGAAGACAACGACGCTACCATGGCCGGCCGATGGTACTATAGAAGGGCACAGACCCTCTTGGCTTGTGAAGTCGAGAGTCCATCCATCTCAACTCTTCAATGCCATTTGCTCTGCGCTTTGTACGTCTGCGGGGGATCCTTTCACAACATGGCCGACACAACCATTTCCCTTGCGATCCGAACAGCCTACATGCTAGGCCTACACTTGAATCCACCGCCCGCAATGCCACAACGCGAGCGCGAATTCCGGCGACGACTATGGTGGTCCGTTTTTGAGGCTGATTCGAAGGTCGGTATGAAAGTCGGCCGCCCGTTCCTCATCCGCGACTCGTATGTCATGCCCGAACTACCCAGCGATACCCTTGAAGTAGCTATTGAGTCAGGCTCGGCATTTCCTCCCATCGGAGATAACGCTACGTGGCTCAGTCTCAATCTGCAGCGCACAAAGTTATATCAAACCGCGAGAACTCTCAATCAAGCATTTTACGGGTACGCGCTCAACATTGCCGATGGGAACTCCGTCTATGATGACCCAAACACGATGGAGGATCTTGCAAACGCCTGGGGCCCACGAACAATAGCTCTGACAGAGTGGACGAAACAGATTCCCCGAGCCCTCAAGACAAGCCGGAAAAACGGCAGCCCCTACGCCCTTGATGACTCCATTCTCGACATCGAGCCGTTTGCACCACAGTGGCTTCAGCGACAGCGCTTCCAATTGGAACTCGAGTATCACCACCTTTGCATCGGCCTCCATCGCCCGTTTCTATCTTTCGCTCTACAACAGGGAAGTTTGGCAACCGCAATGGCAGCCAAGTGCGCCCAACATGCGATGCAGCTCACAAACATAACCCGACAAGTCCTATCCAAGACTTCAACACTCAACGGCTGGCATGAAGCTTTCCAGTGGCAGTGGAGCGCTGCAATGACCTTGGTAGGGTTTGCTGTTGCGTACCTCAATCACCCATTCGCGCCAGCTGTACGCTCATCAATAAAGGTCGCTGTCTCCGTTCTCGACATCTTCGCCCGTAGCTTTGATGCTGCTTCTAAAGCCGCCGTCATCGTCCGTACCCTCCACACGAACATCGAGTCCGTCATGGCCCAGCTCGAGATGCAATCGAGCCCGGCGACTGTGACAGCCATGGAAAATCCCCTCTTGTATAATGTCCCTGTTCAGGGAGGCATAACGAACACGGTGGTCAATCAGTTTGATGCGATCAGTGGAGATTTCGATCTTCTAGATATGGCGATGAATGTGGACTTTTGGGCCGATCTCGACATGCTTCTACCAGGGATTTCAGGGTCTACAACTGATACAACTGCGACTTAGTATCTGGGCTACGATCAATGCGAATCATGCGCTTTTGCACAAATGATTACGAACGAACTAATTAATGACACATATCAATTGCATTCGCGATTCACACTGTTCTCCTCAGTGATCTAGTAAATACTTGATACCGGCCATGCGACCCTTCTCAATCGACAAGCTTCGACAACCAGCCTGCCCCTCCTATCTGTCGCACATTGTGACTCAAAGCTGTTCAAAAACAGCTACAGCCGCCTCAGCAGTCGAAGTAGCGCTAGCAGGGTTCTGACCAGTGACCAAACGACCATCAACAACATGGAAGTCATCCCAAATACCAGGGGCACGCTCATCTTCAAGCTGTCAGTAAAGCTTCAGTCATCGACCGGAAAGGGAACTTACAGGTTGCACCAAGACGAGCGGCAACTTCCTCGACCATCTCGGAGCCCCAGCTTCGAAGCTCGCCCATGATCTTCATCGTGTTCTCTGCCTCGGTAGTGAAGCCGGTGATCTTCTTTCCCTTGATCAGAGGCTCATTGGTGGTAGGGTCAATGAGATTGGCAAAGATAGCTGGGCCGTGACAGACAGTCGAGACGACTCCGCCGCTAGCCCAGACCTGAGCAGCGATGTTCTGGAGAGAAGATGCAGTGGGGTAGTCAATCAGGGCCGCATGTCCAGCTGAGGCGTAGAACAGACCATACTTGGATGGGTCAAGTTCAGAAGCCTTGGGCATGTTATCAAGCTTCTTGCGGAATTCGCTGTTGGTGTCGTTCCAAATCTCGAGGTCATCGCCGTTAAGGAAATCAGGCTGCTGAGAGAGCCAGTCGGGTGTATAAGTGCCAGTCTCCGAGGCAAGGTCGACCTCAAATCCGGCAGCTCTCAAGACCTTGTACGGATGAAGAGCTTCACTGATGAAGAGGCCAGTGGTTTCCTTGCCGTCGAAGAGAGTGGCAGAAGCGGATGTGATGCTGATGAGGGCACGGCGAGCAGGAGACATCTTGTGTAAGTGTGAGCCTGTCGAGTGGGAATAGAGGATGTACTGCTGATTGTTTGTTCGGAAGGTGTTGGGAGTTGCTGCTGAATTGCTGAATTGTTTGGATTGATCTTCTATTTACTGATAGGATCATCTCACTCATATATACTCGTGGTGATTGAGTGCATGCGAGATGCTTACGAAGGCCATGACCATGCAGTCTGGGCTTACGGCCTCACATTCTGGCATTGTCTCACGATGTTGGCACAGAAGAATGAGCCATTCCTATTGGTCAGGCTTGCATCACGGTAAGCAGGAGTCCATTTATGGATGGTGTTGACCCTGCCATACATGAGCGACCCCAGCTTCGTCATACCCTTAGATCCCGAGAATTGCTCTTGATAAGCCAAAAGATCATCGCCTCGAATCGGAGTTTTGCATTCGCGATTGTCGACACTCCGAGGTTCCTGAAGGATCGAAACGAGGTGGGGAGCAGTTTGTTTGGAGATGTTCCCATTCGCCACAAGATTAGCGGCCTAGGGGAGCTTGTCCCATTGGATCGGATAAGACTGAACGGGTCTGCCAACATCGGAGTCCCGGAGTTGGAAATCAACGAGGCAGTGAGAAAATGACATAATCGCATGTCGCGACCCTCAAGGCGACCAAGATAATAACGTTGATCTTCAATCTAATTTTTCACTTGATCAGGGTATAAGAATACGCCATGGCTCCAGCTAGCTCCTCCACCATGATCCCAACTCTAAGTCATAGAACTCGTTGTACTTCAAGCATCACTTTTGCCTTTTCTTCATCATCTTGTACTTGACCAGCATCCACATCCAAAATGACAGTCACAAAGACAACCACCACAATCTCTCCCAACAGCAGGCTATTCAAGCCAATCCAAGTCGGCAATGTCCAACTCGAACACCGCATGGTCATGGCCCCTCTGACCCGTTACCGCAATGACGACAACCACGTCGCAAAGCCCTTTGTCGAGCGGTACTACTCCGAGCGAGGTTCAGCGCCCGGCACTCTCATCATCTCAGAAGCTACCGGCGTCTCGATGCAGGACACCGGCATGCGCCAAGGTCCCGCCTTCGTCACAGACGAGCAAGTCGCTGCGTGGAAAAAGGTCATTGGTGGCGTTCACGCAAACAAGTCACTCTGGTCGCAACAAATTTGGGGCCAAGGTCGAGCTGCTGATCCCGAGTACCAGAAGGAGCGCGGCTTCAAGTATCGCTCTTCCAGTGCTGTGCCTATTGAAGAGGGTGCACCTGCGCCCGAGGCTATGACCGAGGAAGAGATCCAGGGCTTCATCAAGGACTTCGTCGCTACTGCTCGCCGTGTCATCGACGCTGGTGGTGATATGATTGAGATCCATGGCGCTCACGGATATCTCATCGACCAATTCACATCCGACTCAGTAAACAAGCGAACCGACAAGTGGGGAGGCTCTGTTGAGAACCGAGCGCGTCTTCTGCTCGAGATTGTCAAGGCTGTCTCAGCTGAGATTGGCTCCAAGCGCGTTGCCCTTCGCCTCTCACCATATGCTTCCTTCCAGGGTGCCGAGTCATCCGACGTCAAGGAGCAATATTCCTACATCGTCAACGAAGTCAAGAAGATTGGCCCTCTGGCTTATCTCTCTCTTGTCGAGGCCCGCGGTGACCCCGCCAAGCTGCTCGCTCCCGATACCGACTCTTCACTTGACGTGCAAACCCTTGACTTCATCCTCGACATCTGGGACAATAACTCACCTGTGATTGTTGCCGGTAACTATAGCCCTGCGTCAGCGGCTGAGGTACTCGACGGGCACTACAGCAAGTGGGATGTTCTGGTTGCTTTTGGCCGCCACTTCATTGCAAACCCTGACTTCGTCTGGAGGGTCAAGCATGGCGTTGAGTTGACCAAGTACGACCGCACTACTTTCTACGTCCGAGGATCAGAGATTGGATACAATGATTATCCTTTCTCCCAGGAATACGTTGATGCACAGCGAGCTTGGGCTGTAGAGAACCTTCCAATGCACGCCAAATAAAGACATAGAGCACGAATTACATGATTGATGAAACTACAGAGTAGAGCATACAATTAGATCAAGATAGAAAAATACCATTCGATTTTACAATTAGCATATCTGTTATGTGTAAACTGCACAACCTTCTACCGGCACCTTATCAGTGTGACGTGACGAGTCGAAGGGGAAGGGCGCTGTTGACATGCTCTCCGCTTCACGTGTCGTCATGGTTGCGAGCGGTGACTTACAAACGTAATGATCATTTATCGCCTTTCATCTTCAACTTCAACTCTCAATACTTCATACTTTCACGACTCTTATTACAAACATAAGTTACCATGGCGTTGTCAGCAAGCTCATCATCCAAGATCCTCGAAGGCGGGTGTCTATGCGAAGCCGTCCGCTACAAGATTTCCTTCCCCAAGGATCACGACCTTTCCAAAGACTCTTTGGGGTGCATTTGCCTCTGCACCCAGTGTCGCAAGCAAACAGGAAGCTTTTTCCTCGCGACCTTGACAGTCCCCATCTCCGCCATCGAGTGGCAGGGCGACTCGGAGGACAAGATCAAAAGATATCGCAAGTCCGAGAATATCGCTCGGGGCTTTTGCGGCAACTGTGGCTCCTTTTTGTTCTGGCATCCCGATGGGGGAGACATTAGCATCGCGACTGGAAGTCTGGACCCTTTGTATCTTTTCGGCGAAGGATTTGAGGACAAGAAGGGCGGGGTTCCCTCGGATGGGTTTGCAAAGGAGATCTTCAGTGGAAATTTCAAGGTCGAGTATTGTGAGAGTGAGATCAAGGGCGTCACGGATGATATGCCAATTCTTCACAGGGGAAAGCGATATCAAGGCGAAACTCGTAATTCTTGAGGGCCAAGGGAACCGCGAATGTTTCCAAGGTCGTGTAGCTAGTCTCTGTCCCTATAATTCTTCTCTCGAATATCCTCCCTTCTTGGGGGCGACAAAGAGCGCGGGCGAGGTTGTGGTACCGGAATGCCGCCCTGTGCATTGATGCGACGTATCATAACGCCGACCTCGGGGTAATCAGGCTCATCTTTCGGTCTTCTGTCAAATATCCTCATCTCTATGATAGTCAATGGTCTTCTTTCCCAGATATCTCTGTAAATATGATGATGCGTGAGTGCTCTCGGTGCGTCGACTCTCACGCGATTCTGCTTGTCGCCGAGAATCGGCAGAGGTGATGGTAATGATCCCGGCTCCTCCTGGAGAAGGAAGTCAAAGAGAGCCTGTTGCTGCTCATCTCGTAGTTGGTACACCCTTATCGTCTGACTCTTGCGGCATGAGTGAAAGTAGATGTTGGGGATCTCATCCAGATTTTCAGGGCGCCGATTGAACACAGTCACACCGCCCAGAATACGGTCCTCAGCCCAGTAGCCAACCATATCTGCTACCCCTTCTGGATATATATCGTCGTCAAGATAATCGTGGTGACTGAAAAGAGTTGGTCCGGGTGGGAATCGAGCCATCGTCTCAGATAGCGGCATCTCCCAGTATGTGACGGCGTCGATATCTCCTTGGTGAAGATGAGGTTCGAGCTTATGCAGCCAAACTGCTATTTGATGCAAAGCAACAGCTACCAACTCAACTAGGCGCATATTGAAAGATTTTGAGCCAGGTTCGGCCTTTTGAAAGGCTTTTAGAGTCTGAATGGATTGTTAGTGAGGGACTTCAAAATGATCAAGCTGATGATGATATCGTAGCCAGATCTTTGTATTTGTAGAAAAGACAGGATGACTTACTTCAGGGTCAAACTTGAGACTCGAAGGGTCCCATTCTTTGTAGTATTCATGCGCTTTCTCCAAAGCCCCAGGACACAAAGTCTCATGGTCATCAATGATGTGTTCTCCCATGATACCGGGAAGTCGACGGTCCCAAGCAACATCGGCAATGGGGAGGCCATCTATAATTTGAGCGTATGTGACCTGTGCTAATTTTGTTGACAGAACATTTCTGATGGCGCGGTCCAATATTTGGAGATGAGGTTCGGAGGTGATATTTTTGAAGGGCACGCGGTTGTCGTAGGCGGTGCGCGCAATGTCTCGGAGCTTTTCCTTGTGCGCTTCCAACTGGTCGGGATCCATGGGTAGATTATCAAGTGTATCGCTTGGAAATAGTTATGTTGATAGTTGAGATCGCGCATGTGAATGAGAAACTTTGACGGAAACGTGGAGATTCGAGATGTGGGAGAAGATGAATCTGAGAGATGCGGGCAACAACAGAGCAGAGCTGGCGAAAGTAAATGCCTAACTTCCAAGGCGCCCCATGGTTGAACGGGCCCTGTCCAATCGGCACCAAGCAGAGGTGATAAGCGCCGGGCTTTAGCGCTGATGCCACTAGAATATCGCTCTTGGCAGGGGTTTGGCTTCTACACCTCAAACACTGGAAGTTGTCGCGGAGCACGACTTCGAACGCCAACCATTGGGCGACCTTTGAAATCGTATCCCAGCCAGTATCCGAGAATGAAATCACATTGGCTTTCGTGTTTCGGGTCCCTATGCACCGCCGCTGGACGCTTGCTGTGGTCTCTGGTGTGCGCGAAGGCTGACCAACATTTGGATGAAATTGGTAGTCGGAACAAAGCACTGCAAGTCCCAGTCATGCAAACCAGTTGTAGAACTGTGGCAGGATTGTTTTCTTTCTTCAAGAGTTAGCCTCAAATCTCAATAAAGATCCATCGCAGTTTCTCTAGGCCCACGAACGGGAAGGCGAAAATTGGCCGATGAGAACTGACCGAATGAGAGCTGCCAGGCACTCCGCGAGGTCCAAGAGCAGGCGAATCTGGGCGGTACTGGGAAGCGAAGTTCTTCGGCTGCGTCGTTGAAGCCCATCGGGACCCCCGTGATCCTCGAGGCAGCAATCAGGCTGGGACTTTCTTCGGTACCTTGGACGGCCGCCGTAGCTTCCCAATGCAACACCAGATCATCCTGAGATATGTTCAACTGGGTGAGACACGAGATACTTCATATCGTTCTCAGCTAACACAATTCCCTTCCAGATTTCACCGTTCCAATTTACAGTTCCAACATTGCAACATCTCGAATATCCACCGGTGCGGTCGCCATGCAAGATATGCGGCGACCTTCTAGGTTTCCTGACGTAGGTGGTGATCTCACACCATATTTCGAAATGATCAACTCTCTACCGAGACAAAGAGTTAGCCGTGATGGGCTTGAGGAGATCATGCACATGGCAACCAGGCCTGAGTTTGTTCGGCCGGTTTCAGTACGGGTTTAGTCGATGGTGTCCAGGACTAAATGGCATCACCGTGAAACAAAAACTTCACAAACCAGTTTCTGCCAGGTTTAGATGTCTCTAGGCAATCTCCAAGGAATTATTTCATGTCATTGAAATCTGGCAACTTGCAATATATATTGCTTTACACTCGTCATTATTTCTAACTATCCTAAAAAGCCAAGTCAGGCGTGTGTAGTGACGAAAAAGTCTGTACCTTCCGAATAAGGGCCTCAGTAAGAGGATATGGTTTGTCAAAGATCTGACAAGAAGCATCAGCTGAGACCATACACTGTCATTGATTTGTAGAAGATATCAAAGATTTCCCATTCGCGATTTGCGTAATTGCCACTCCGGAAAGCGCGGTCCACCAAGGAATCAGATGAGGGGACTGTCATCGGAGTATCTGTGGTGACCTCACTACAAGACAGGATAATTCCATACTCAAACTTGCGGTGATTCAACATCACCGCTATGTATCTCTCGATAGCAGGCATCAGATGATCAAGAATGAACATCTGTCTGTGCCTGACCCTAGAATGGCGGTGCATGTTTTCACATCAAAGCTCACTCCATTCTCATTCGACAAGCATGTCCCTCGGGTGGCATGGTTTCTGGAAGGATTCATATTGACATTTGTTGTCATCTGTTCTCTTTCTTGCTCGGGATCAAGGGTTGATTCACGTTGATAGTCGAGCGTCGCGGTGATGTTGGCGCTCGACCTAAGGAAGTTAAGTTGATTAAGGTAAAAAAGGAAGGGTTTCGGTCGAAGCAGAAACAATATGCGCCCTTAAGTTAATGACAGATTTGTGTACATCGGGGCGGAAAACAGACTGAACAGGGGGTTAATTCTAACGAGATATGATATGGGCGGTCTGTGGAATTCCTGAATTTACCTGTGGGTTGGGAGGCACAAAACTTGAAAGTAGACAGTGAAGAAGAGCGTAATCTGATTCGGCATCGCGCTCTGGCCACCGAAGACCTCATTTTGGCTGGATTAGTACAAATAAAAAGGATGGCGTCACTTACCACCACTTACTCAAAGTGCGTCTCTGCATTGGCTCTGGTCAACAGGTTCCCAGGCGGCACCACGTGGAGGTTGCAGAGTCCGTCTTCTCCGCCCACTAGCACCTCTTCCTGTAAACAAGGAACGAGGGCCAGCCCCAAACTTTATTGTGAATAAAGATTAATGGGTTGAGATGCTATAAGGACAAGCCTATTCCAACCGGAGACGGACGTGCCTGTCTGTCTCCTTCAGACCTAGCTCCTGGATAGGACACTCAGGCACGCGTTGAACCGAATAAACGTAGCATATTGCGGCCAACCACAACTATGACAAACTAAGAGTGTCAATCATATTCGTTAGCTCACCAACTCGCTCGTCGTTTAACACCGATGAGTCCGCGAGCTCGGGATCATCGTCTGTCAATATCGACTCGTTGTCAGGCTTGGGATCATCGTATGTCCATATCCACTCGTTGACGGGCTCGAGGGCGTTGACTAACTCTTCGTCCTCAAAGTCTGGATCTCGCACATCGAGGCCAGGTGGCATGAAGTCATCATCATCGAAGGAACACAAATCGGGACAGCCTGCCCCACCGACAAGCGCGACGATATTGATAGAGACCCATTGCAACCTCATCATGTTGTAGAAGTGCTCTGCTTCATCTATGTCCATATCGATGGAGAACCAGTGCCCTGTCGCAAGGCGTTCGCCGGACCGCAAGAAGGCTTGGACAATTGGGCTCCCGTGGCAAGTGTGGGGTTTGACCGAAAGTGTCGGGTCTGACTTCAGACTCTCTTCCACTTGCTCTGCGATGGACTTGTAGGAGGTTGTGGCGTTGCTGATAACCTTGGGCATCCAATGGAATTGCAAGTCAACCCTGGCTTTCTGCACACCCACTAATTTCTGGGGAAGGCCTGGCTCGAACGCAAAATAGGCCTTCTCCCACCAGGAGTGCAGTTGCGGACTGAGGCATATCATGTTCCAGGTCTTGTCCGACTGTCCTCTTGGGTCTCCGGCTTGGATAGGGGGGGCGAGTATGCTCTCGTAAGAGCCTCCATCCCTTACTCCAAGCATGCTGCTGATTCCGGCGCTGAACTGTCTCATTGACATGATGTTCCTGAGGGACTTGTTCAGACTCCAGGGGACGATATGGCAAACATGAGGATCTGTCGCTGCCGTCACAACACACCTATGCATATCCCGCTCGCGGCACAGATCTTTTTCGTTACCGTCGCGGGCTTTTGCCGCGTCGTTAGCTGCTTGGAGCTGCTGCTGAGTGACGGTTTGCGGCACGTCTGCTGGGATCGCCACCTGCATGACTGTATGTGATTAGCCGGATCGGACATTTTACTGGTCAGATTGTTGTTACTCACTATGGCACATCATTGCGTAGGTATTGTTGAGCGCTTTCCACAAAGTCCAGCCATCATGGTCCATAGGTGACAGGTTTCCTCCACGGTCCAGAGAGCTCAATGGTACCGACATGATCACAGCGCGGTGACGTTGGTCGAAGCGGAGGGCAGAACTAAACGTGAAGATCTTGGATTGAATCTGTATGCCCCAGAGGGCCCTTTTTTCGACCTCAATTTCAGGAAGAAACGACCGGACTTTGCTGAAGACCTGAATGAACCTGTCGTCGAATGCTTCCTTGTAGCGACTGTGACAGCGATCTTGGGCGAGGAGTGGTGTCACCCGGTCCAGGTCCTTCAGGAGGCTCTCCTTTCGAACTTGAGAGCGGCTTGTACTCATTGTGAATTTGAAGTTTCGCTAGAGATGTGAGAAGAGAACATATGCTGGGATCATTATGGGAAAGCACAAACCGAGAATAGTAACAATGAATTTGACTTGTAAAAGAAGTTATGTTGTGAAAAGCTCTGATGAAAATTCTGAATCTTTTAGGAGAAGACACGAGTCTGAGGGGGTTAGTCAGAGTGCTAACTTCTGAAGGCAGACGAAGCACTGCCCAGCACTGTCAGGTTCCCTTTCAATACTGCTACTTTGAATCGACATCGTTTCTTGAAAAATCTTTAACCATCCTTGCCAACCCGTTCAGAGCAACTTTCTTCCTCTGATGGCTTTTCATTGTCTCGAGTCATAAGATCATCCTTTACGTGCATGATGTTATTATTTGGCTCTTACTTTACTGAACCGATCGTCAAAAAAGGTGACTGAGAATGTAATCGCCGTTTTTCGACCGTGTTCTGACTTGCGAAGTGAGAGTTTTTCGATATAAGTAATCTTGAATGAGTACAGCATCCAATTGGTATCTCTCACACCGACAATCCACTCAGGAATCCTTCCACATAATCTCCCCAAGTCCGACAGTACGATCGAGCCTACGGTCCAACCTGATTCAATCCTCCCTGCCCCCTCCTCAAAATTCGGTCGATTGGAGTTTGATTCAAGATTCTAGATGCGACATTGTCGAGTTCAGACCGGTTGGCCAATCAATAGAAATAACTTCGTCTTCTGTATAGGCCCTGACTTGGCAGTCAGCATTGGTTCAGCATATTCAGGGGCTACCAATTTGTACCTTGACAGATGTCAAATCTTGGTTACCCTCAGCTTTGAGGTGCATAATCTCAATCTCTCGATTTCTTCGCAACTTGGACCGGGCCAAAACGTCCTTTGTGGTTCCTCATACGAGGGTTTCGGAGGCAAATGCTTGAGGTTTGTTGAAGTATGTCGAGAAATCCTCTTGCTTTGGTGGTACAAAAGGAATGAGAGCTCCTAATCTGAGACACTAAGTCAGCCAATTGAGAACAGTCGACAGAAATTACATACCCTTGAAGTAATCCTGGAATTCCATTTCGTAGCTTGCTGAGTTACCTTCCTGCGTTGAGGTCACGATCTAGTTTGTCAGTTCATCACATGTCACTATGGAGTAGGTTCCCTATGCATTCTGTCAACCAAGGGGGCCGGGCCCCAACTCCCGTTTCGTCTCTGTACCAGTGTTAGTTGCTGAACCCATGAAACAGTGCCTCTTGGAGTATTTTTTGAAGTTACCTCATTTTCTATGGTACTACTGAAAAGAGTTAGCATTTGGTACTAAAGAATTGGGCTCAAGATCTGACTCACTCATCTTAAGAGTGAAGCTAGACAAATGTGTCAGTTCTAGTTCGATGTTTTCAGTGCAACTTTGAACTCGAAAGGATGCTTGCCTCACTTGAGGCAGATTAGCAAAAACTTTCGAGATATTGAAGTAATGAAACCCTTACACATGGAAAAAAGGAATTACTAAATGATGTTAGCTTCTTCGGCTTGAAAGGACAGGCATATGGCAACTCACGGTCTGGGCATCAGAGGCCCCATCATCAAACTTGGCCTTGATCTGTGTCAGTCATACAACTCTTCTCTGGCAGGCAATTACGTACCTCCTTCTCCGCATCAGCATCCTTCTTTGCAACCACCTATGTTAGTAGTTTATTCACTGGCGCCGTTTAGGCATGTTCCACTTACGCGGCCATTGGTGAGGTAGTCCTGGATCATGTTAGTGTGAGTTAAAAACATTCGGGTATCGACTTACCTCCAGGGACGGCGTGGGAACAGAGGCCGAGTTGTTCTCCATCTATCTTTCTCAGCTGACCATTGAATACATTCAGAATCAGTAATACATACCTCCTTGATCTCATCATCGAGGAGCTACACCACCAACACGGGTTAGAACAGCGACTGGGACAGCATAAACAGGCATTTACTCACGGCAATCGTCTTGCAGTCTTCCTATATTTTGTGTAAGTCTCTGTAGTTCCACACTATTTGGGGTGACAACTGTAGCACTTGCCTTGCACCGGGAGTCGTAGACCGCGCGTTCGGTCTGGAGACGACCGATTTCGACGTCCAGCCACTATTGGTGTGATCAGTATTTCCCTTTTGATTCAATACCATCCAGAGTCTCAAAAAGAGTCAAGGATGCTGCGATAACCCATACAGAAACGACGGCGTGGTTGTACTATGATAGCCTTGGTGTCAGTCTTGTTTCAAGTCGTGTCGAGGGTGTTTAATCTCACAGCGAAACGGGCTTTGTGAAACTAAATAACTGTCAACTCTTATCCAAGTAGCCGGGAATTGTATGATTACTCACGTCCATCGCAATTTTTTTGTTCTATGGTGAAAGCTTATTAGTATACATTTTATCTGGGATTGCTGTCTGTCAGAACTTACGCCAAGGAGCTCCTTGGCGGCACCTCCCATCGCCTTTTTGCTTTAGCCGTAGCACAATACAATAGAGTTACCAAGTACTCACATGTTTGGGCTATGAGAAATTAGCTAATTCCAAGATCGTGTATGATGAGGACAGCTGTGACTTACTGCTTTGGGCTTGGTAGGCCCCTCCCAAGGGGCCGCGACCGTGTCGAGATGGGGACCGGCAGCCCCAGAGGCGCCGGAACGGCGACCCATTGTCGAATTCGGCTATTTAAACTGGTCAATTAAACATCAATGCATTTGAACATGTTTTTTCTTACCTTCTCTGCCTCAGGGGCAGGAGTGGCCTGATCGGCCGTGATATCATCCTAACATGTTAGAGACACTATAACTGGAACTCGATGGTTGCTCAACCTACGGCCTTTCGTTTCTAGAGGAACAGTTGGGGTCAGAGTTGAATATCCTGTGAGGGGATTCTTTGGAGACTTACCTGAACCCGATTAAGGGCTGCCTCGCTCTTAAGCCGAGCCGTCAGCACATTGTCAATGACCTTGATGAGTGATGTTGCTTACAGAGGACTTCTTCTGTATTGAAGTTAGCAACATGAAATGGTCTCAGGTATCATTCTTTGACACAAGTGTGGCGGGCAGGGGTCGGGCGATGGAATACTTACCGAGGCCTTTCTACCAGTCATGCTATTGTAATGTAAGGGAACCAGAACGTTAACGACTTCGTACTTGAGGTTGAATCTTACGTTGCAGTGATGTTGGACTGCACGAAGGATTAGTTGGCCAAGCACTTTGAGGAGCTGAGTGACGCCTTGGAGTTGCAAGTCAGTCGAGGGAGGGAACTTACAGTTTCTTTGGTTGTAATCGTCTACGAAAGTCAATTATGTTAGCGAGCCACTCATCTCATTCAAGTCAACACTGAATAAACCTACGGGCTTTGATGGCGGGAACTCCTATCGTGAATCACTACGCGTCAGCGGCCAAGGTCTAAACCACGCGGGGGGGCGAGAATAATGGGCTACGTACGCTATTTTCAATAGTTAGTAGGAGAACATCGATATCTTGATCATTCCGTTCGAAATGTCATGGGGAAGGGGATACTTACCGGCGGCGAAAGTTGGCGGCGGCGATGTTGAGGGAGAGAAAAGAGGTCAGAATAATTTCAAAGGCAGGATAGAAAACCATCGCGTGGGCACGGACCATCGTTACACAAACCACAACAGCTGCACTCTGGGCTGCCCTGGTAAAAGTTTCTAACAATATGGATGAAGAGCTCATTAGCTGAGAATACGGAAACGTTTAGTAATCTCCATCACTGCTACTCTTGCTGCAGCGAAATATCATTTCTGTTACATTTTATTATATATCTCTTATAATTCTATACAAGAAGCACCAAGAGGATCTTCAATCCCTAAGTGTTCCGTCCCATAAAGCTGAGCACTTGATAAATTCGACAATCTCAACTCTCCCTGACCAAATTCTGTGGCTCTTGCGAACGTTAACCCCACATTAGGCATAGCGCGCTATGCAAACATCAGAGGTCAAGTACCAGCAGTTTTCTTAACCCGTTGGGTTGAGATGGCATCGTTAAGGCAACAATTGGTGAAGCAATTGGCCACCACATCATAAGCTTATCCACTCTAAACACTCGGTGATGCGGCGGCAAAAGCCAACATTGATGAGGGCGTTTCACATCCAAAACTTTGCCGTCTTCGCCATGAGAAGCGAGTTGAGTGTGCCTCAGTCGAAGGTCATGACAAGGCGTTTCCGCCCAGCCTTGGCCCAGTTGTTCAAGATATCGGTAGAAAGAACAAGATGACTTGAATCTCCTGATTATAATGACCAGGTGATAGAAATTTTCCATGTCCTACACTGCCCCGGGCCATTAATAACTTGGTCCAGATCACCAAGTTCATCGGCCACCCACTGCTGCTTTTCTGGATTGACGGTCGCGTGGGCGATGAATGATACGAACCTGGGTAGTGAAATGTCATGTCTGACCTTTTTTGGCCACTGTGGTCTTCAATGAACTATGGTTGTGGCTGTGGCATCTGTCACAGAGGATGCGAAGTTCGGGGCTAAATTTGCCTTACTCGCTTTCTACATGGTCCAAAGCCTCTGCAACAGATGCCTTTTTGATTGTGAAAGTGGTGAAATTAATACTGACCTGACGCTTTTCTTGTTAAACGCCTGAAGAAATTAACCTGGCAAAAGCTGCAGGCAATGAGGAAGGGATCAGGGCGGCTTCTTATACCCCAGCTGCTGCTAATAAGGTTACTGATTGAGTTATTATAAAAGTATATTATTCTATTTTTTATTGAGAGACTTATCTTTGTTGAGGCTATGCGTATATTGCCTTCTAAAAGCTAAAGTTAAATAGGATTTTTTAGTGTGTTGGCTTGATATGCTTCGTGGAGGCATCATAAGCTTTAGGCATCAATCAGCAAAAGCTGCAGGCAAAGGACTACGTGTATCAAATGTTATGTGTTGTCTGCATTTGAGACTTGTCACCGATAGCTTAAATCAGCACAGAGAACTTATTGTTGCATAGATTATATTGTGGAGGAAATAGTTTAAATTAATCTATATCATATATATAAATGCATTTCGCTTGAACATCTGCCGCCATGCCGAGTCAGTTTAGCTTGATCGGCAAGTGAAAGGAGCATGAGCAGAGCCATCGGAAGTAATGTCGATCTGATAAATGTTAGTTTGTCGAGTAGAAAACTTATGGCAAAGACAGCTTACGATATCCTTGATGGTGGCATATGTGCCAGCCCCAAGTGTGACAATTCCGATGATGAAGGCCAGGATGCTTCCCAAGCTCATCAACATGTTCTTCTTAGAAAACCAGTGGCCCTCGCAGAGCAAGACGAACCACATGACACCCGGAATCCAGAAAGAGAAACCGGAGACGAAGAGAGCAGAGGCCAGAGAGAGCAAGTCAGAGAAAATGGGGATAGCCTCAGCGATGACCCAAGCGATGATGGTGAAGATGGTCACAAGCGTGATCCAGCTGACCCAGCCCATAGGGGTGTTGACATATCGCAGAATTGAGTCCTTGAACATACGGCCATGAAGATACCGAAGGGCAACCGTAGAATTGATTGAACCGGAGATAAAGATGACGGGCAACGCGACTCCAAAAGCGATCTTGGAAATAAGTGGTCCGGCGGAGAGAAGCGCGGGTGATTGCACCGAGGGTCCGATAAAAGCGTAGCATAGAGCTCCAGTTAGAGTGTAGATCGAAATTTGAATGAAGCAGGAGGCGTAGATGGACTTCATATAATCGGTCGGTGTATGCATCTCGTCCATGAAGGAGAATTGACCAATTGCGAAACTGAAGGCAAAGATGATGTTACTGACAGCGACGAATGCCTCGGCGAAGTTGAGGTCCTCCTTAGGCCAAGCAGACCACTCAACGCCAGAGAGCCCACCAGCTGAATCGCTAGCCTGAATACCGGTAGCAATGACGGTGATGCCAATGGCAGCAACGATAGACACGAAATCGATGTATCCAAGAATGGCGACTTCGGTGAAGGATGGAGGGATGGCGAGGATGAGAAGGATGATAGCCGAAACAGCAGAGAAGACGATGGAGCAGACGTGTCCGCCATTGATGTCGATGAGCGCAATGCTACCAGTCAAAGCATGCGAACCAACAACCATAACAAGCTCGAGAACGAGGGCAGCACCGAAAATCTCGTAGCCAAAGCGACCGAGAAGAAGACGTCCTGCATCAGCATAGTGCGCCACGTGGGGGAATTTCAGCTTGACCTGGCCGACGATGTAGCTGGTGAAGATGGAGACGAGACCAAGAGTGATTGTGAGGAAGACACCGGGGAACATGCCGAGTGTGTGATAGGCTGAAGGAAGACTGAGGGCGCCGAGGGCAATAGCCTCGACGATTGTGACGACAGCGAGACGCTTCCATCCCAGGCGGTGGAAGTGAGCATTTCCTTGGGTAGCAAGCTGCTTCTGCTGGGAGACTTGGATGTCATCCGCTGTCTCAGGATCATCCATCATGTTGGCGGGTTTTGAGGACTTGGCCTTGGGTGAGGTGGTAGCCATTGTGTCGTGGGTGAGTAGAGGAGTATGTTCGGTAGGAGGATGGGTAGAAGAGTGGCTACTCATATGACCAAGGAACGGTCAGTGTAGACTTGGAATAACTGCGGCCTACAAGGTTAAGCTTTAGGCTGCGAACAAAGTGTAGAAGAGTCGAGAAATGTACGGAATAGGTAACCGACGAACGATGGAGAGGGATAACAAGAGATGAGGCAGGGCCTTCGGGGGAAGTGAGACAGGACAAATGTATTTAAGAGGAACGAAAATAACCGGCTAGAAGAGCTTTAAGACGGGAAAAACGGCGCAAGACAAGCCATGGCGCATGCTCGGTGTATCCGGGGTATCCACCTCCGAAAGATCGGACCCGGCACCATGTCGCGGTTAACGTGACGATTAGATAACAGCACCTTTCTCCAGGTTTTTATTCCATTTAAACTCGTAATTCATTCATGTCATGCCGACTCCGGCGTCAACGGTCCCTTGTACCATCTGATCTCAGAAACTCCATCGTTCCTGGTGAGAATTCCAGCTTCTGAGAGAAAAGGCCCGAAGTGAGTTTGCAAGCCGCGCTCGGAGTGGCGTACGAAAAACCCGTAAAAAGCTTCCAAAAGGAAGACGCTTGGCCCAAAGTCGTAAGGTGGTGGAAAGAATCTGCCGGTTGTGGGTCTGTATGGCATGAGACCCTTGATGTTATTTTTACGTGCATGAAACGTGTCATTGGTGAGAAGTCCCGTGAGGCTCCGTCACCGAAAAGGCGCGTGTGGATATCATCACGTTATGATATCCTAACAATAACTCTCTACGCGTCGAGATCAAATCTCGACCGACCCGGACAACGAGATCACTCCGGGGCCCCAAACTCTGTTTCTGATGAGCGAAAAACATGTTCTCTCCATTCAGAGATAATGCGAGAGATGTTGTCTGTCTTGGTCGAGCTAACTGCCGTCTTGGCTTGCAGCAATCTCCACCAAAAAAACTCTGGGGTGAGAAGCTCTTTTATACATCGAGTCAGCCTCATAAAAATCTGCATCAAATTTTACTCCACGACGCCCTCATCTCCGCCATCAATCGCTTATCTGTGGGGTTCTTCACCTCGTTGACTAATATGAATAATAAGTTTGCGTGAATTGTTCTGGGGTCTTGAACCGTACCCCAGAAACCGTCGTTGACCTCAATCACAGCATTCCGGTTTGGCGGCGAGTTTACCCGCACCACACCCCAGAGATCAGGTATTGTGTCGGGATGGGGAAGACGCGTTTAAGCTTGTTTAAACGGGCCGTACTGGAGGGTAACTGGATGGGTAGTAGGGTAAGGTGACTTGAGAGGAGTTGCTTGTTTTGACTGTTTTTATCCTGCTGACCGTTGCGCCATACCCTAGAGGATGCTCCGTTGTCGTTTCGCCAGAGTATCAGGGATGGTACTGAGGCTCGGGGGCTGCATCCCGGATGAGCTATTGCCATGTGTTCTTTTCTGAATATTGCGTTGAATATCGTAAGTTTTGGCTGGAATGGTAGCCTTCTCCATCTATCGGAAGTACCGCCCAAAACACCATGGTACCGATATCCAGTGTAGAGCCCCCAGCGCGAAAAGGCACTCACGAGTTGCTAAACTTTATAGGCTAGACACTAAGTTCAGGCATTTCATCTTCAGAGCCTGCCATGCATGGCCAGTCAAACTATGCAACAAGATAAGAAAACAGCTACATAGAGTGCACGTCTCAGAAGTTTAAACTTCCTAGGTATGAAAATTCTGCGTTCCAGCCAATCCGCCGCAGCTCCATGACCAACCTTACTCTTAGGCCCAAGATTGGAGCAATCTGTCTTTCGCTAGCACGAAAACCAGGTTGCTTCTGTATTTCTCGAGTCGCATCTTCTTCGCTCCCAACTCCTCCTATCCTCCTTTTTATAAACATACGTTGCTAACTCCCCTGACCACTTTGACTCGATAGGTATCACGCCGCGCGTGTTGTCCTTGGCCGTCTGTACACGATGAAAAGTATCCATTTGACGATGTTTATCGTGGCCTCAATTGTCTCTGAAAGCATATCTGCGTAAAACTTTGAGGAGAGAGTTTGGACCACAAAGTCACATAAAACGAGTAAAGATATTTAAATCACACCATTGCTCTGACATTCTGTATTACTCACCTCTTGCAACGCAACACCATCCCAAATACTCACTCCTGTGCTCGAGTGAATCCTTATAACAACATCAAAATGAGACCGGTAGTACCAGAAGAAATCGGTGATTTGCTGAAGTGGCGGCCACTCATGCTTCTCAACAGGACACTCTTAGGACCCGCCTGTGTCGAAAGCATGGTGTCTTACTCGCCGGCGGTCATCGCCTCTCAAGGAGGTAGACGACTGCCACTTGAGATCTGGTACATGATTATCGACTTCTCAAAATGCTCTCCAGAGAATCACCGGTATTCTCTCGTGCGACCCAAGACAAGCGCGCGAGGCGACGAACTTGTCTGCAAGAGGTATCGACGCTGGTCGCCTTTCGGTAACATCAAACAACACGAAGACATCGAAATGTATCGCTTCTACTTGGCACATCCCGACAAACTGCATCATCCCAACTTGGACTCATCCTGCCCCAACCCCTTCTACCTTCCATCCCCCAGCTTCGGTTCGCCCTGCGCCTTTCCCACGGCTCTGCTCGCGTCAAAGACTAAGTTTCTCTATGTGGCTCTTACGGTTCCAGATGTCATCAAGAATCTCGAGGATGGCTATTGCACTTGCTGCTCCGGAAAACACGTGGTTGGGTCCGATTTTGTAGTGGGTTCTGCTCCTCAGTGGTCCAGGTTTTGGGAGTTGCTTGGTCGACCTGTCTCAGCCTTATTGGCAGGATTCTTTATTTGCCCGCTCTGTGTCGGGCCGGAACATACGTGGGATAGCATTGATAGACATAGAACTACACCTTTGTCTCGGAGGAAGTATAACTCCTGGCTGCTTGACCGGATCGAAAGCTTGGGTTTAAAAAGACCACGTTGGGAAGATGTGCCACATTCGATCGAACACCTTACCAGATCAATCTAAAGCTCTTGATCTCGAACCGAATTTCGGAAGCGCAACGGTGGTCAAATCGTAAGCGCTTGGGGGCAGGTCCGTGGCCTTGCACGAGGAGAAGATCGGGGAAGTGGCAGTAGAGGAGGATTGGCGAAGATGGCGCGATGTAGCGCATGAGAGGGAGACCGGCGGAGGTTGATTCAAACCGAACCCACAGAGCCTTTCTCGCCTGTGAAAGACCTCAATATTGTACGACAACCTAGAAATAGTAGCGTGAGACCAAAACGGGCTGTGTTAAAAATATTGACCTCATTGTGGCAAGATTAGGCATAAGTTCATGGTATCCTTGGGTAAAATGTTGCTTGGATTTGTGTAACAATTGTCAATATTCTTTGAAGTGAGCTCTAGGCAACGTTGCGTTACTTGATACAAGCTATCGTGAATAGATGGCTATTAATCTCGATCTAAATGAACCGAAGTAAATTATACCGGCTCTGTCAAACATTGAACATCGGCCGAATTTGGGGGTTTACGATTCGTGGTACAGCCAAGGGCCGATGACGATGCCGGAGACGGATATCACGCAACCGCATGCACCCTTATCAATGCTCGGCGATCTAACTTGATCGAAACAACCACCATCACCGATCGAGGGGCTGATTTAAATAGTCTATCTTGGTCCCTGTCATCATTGCTGGGGTTGAGTGGTGTCATTCTTTTATCCCGACTACTTTATCTTGACGCTTCGCCGCTCTTCAATATCAGTTATCATCTCCTCTTTAGCTGCATTCAAGTCGCACAACATTCGGCAAATCTCTTGAGTTGCCCGGCACTTGGAACCTTCGCCAAAATGTCGGAATCAGAGGAAAAGCACACGCCGGACGCCGCAAATGCTGAGGCGCTCAATGAGGCTCCGATCAAGCGTGAGTTCACCAATCTCTACCTCAATGCTTATGCTAATGTTGACCAGCGAAATGGAATCGCTCTCCAATTTACAATGCAACCATCCTCGGCCTTTGCAGTTTCGCCGCTCCCGGTCTCTGGGGTGCAATGAACTCCCTCGGCGCAGGCGGCGCTCAGAAGCCCTACCTCGTCAACACCGGCAACGCGCTCACCTTCTGCCTCATGATCATCTCATGCTGGTTCACCAGCGGTATCGTTAAATATGTTGGGATCAAAGGCGCTCTCGTCATCGGAACCATCGGCTTTGCTCCCTACAGCGCGGGTCTCTACCTGAACAACCGTTACGGTGTTGAGTGGCTTGTCATCTTTGGCGCCGCGTGCTGTGGTGTTTCGGCCGGTATATTTTGGGCGGCTGAGGCGGCGATCGCGATTGGATATCCGGAGCCCAGAAATCGAGGGCGGTTGGTGGCGTATTGGCTTTCATTCACAAGATTGGGACAGATTTTGGGCGGCGCGATTAACCTTGGTCTCAACGCTGATCGGAGCGAGGCGGGCAAGGTCTCGTACAAGGTCTATCTCATCTTCATCGCTCTGCAATGCCTGGGGCCGTTTGTCGCATTCCTTCTCAACAAACCCTCCCAAGTCCAGCGCGCAGACGGGAAGAAGGTCGATATGAGCATCCTCGACCATCCTTGGAAAGAATTCAAGGCCACCACCCGAACATTCCTCAAGAAAGAATTTTTATTGCTAATCTTCTGGATCGGCCAAGGAGTCTACTCTGAGTCGGTCTTCTTCACTTACATCGCCCTTTGGTTCAGCGTGAGAGCTCGAGCTCTCGGCTCGTTCGTGTCTGGCATCGTTGCGGTCATTGCGGGGAATCTTCTAGGTGTCTGGCTTGATCAGAACCAAATCGCTCTCAAGAAGCGCGCCCGATATGCTTACGCTGTCATCATGACTCTCCAAGGAGGATGGTGGATCTGGCTCACCATCAACGTTACCAAGTTCAAGCGCGATGGACCCATCTACGACTGGAGTGATCCTGGCTTTGGTGCCGCCTTCGGTGTTTTTGTCTTCCTTGTCACTGGGTTCCAGCTCAACTACAACTTTGCCTTCTTCATCATTGGTCAGATCTCGAATAATTCGCAGGAGACGGTGCGGTTGTCTGCATTGTTGAGAGGTACGGAGTCGGCATGGCAGGCGCTCAGCTATGGTCTCAATGCGCTACCGATCATGGCAACAGTGGGAAGCACGTATATGAACTTTGGCATTTGGGCGGTTGCGATCTTTCCAGCTTGGTTGGTAATCCGGCAGCTGGGGACAGCGGAGAGACAAGCAAACAGTGACACGGACGAGACGGTAGTAGAAAAAGCGTAGTTTAGACAGGCTCTCCATAGCGACTTTGAGTCTCTGGCACTCTTAGATTTTGCGCACAACTGATACTGAAGTCTTATATTTATCCTTGGCTGCAAGTCACCCGACGTCACTCAGCTATTCTTGCAATGTGTTGCGCTCCACATGACGTACTCCGGTGTTGAAACTGGCCGCGACTATTGAGCTGGGGTCTGGGCTATGCGTGGTTAGTGTTGAAATACTCAGTCTGGGAAGGTTACTTACACATGGCGTTGGCCTGTGAAGCCATGAATTTGACCGTTTCGTCCATTAAACCCATTTCAGCTTGCAAACTGATTGCGATTTCGATACGACCTGTTGAGCTCACAGCATTTCACTGGTCGTCAGGCTACCTGCAGTTTCCCCATTGTACCAGGGGTGGAGCCCCGGTTGCGATCATTCATCTGTATCAATATCAGTTTCCGAACAGAAGACTGTTTCGGTTCAAGAATCTTACTCAGATCTATGGCTAAGCGACTATTGGAAGAAGGTTAGCATCAAGCTCATGACTATTGGGCATAGTGTCTGACTCACGTCCGGCTTCATGTTTGTTGTGTGAAGTGCAAGAAGCAGATTCACTTCTTGGAACGTGTTGGCTTTCATTCCGCGCTGAAGATCATACCTAACGAACTGGTGAATGAATGCGGCGGCATGATATTGTGGTGGAAATGGGAAAGGTGGCGGAGGAGAATGTGTGAGGAGGGGAATCGAGTGTGTGGTGATGATATTAAGAGACTCGTGGGAGCTGATGGGAGTGAGTTGGTAGAAGGGCTAAGATTGTGCTAGCTTCACTACGGCATCACAGATCAAAACATTTTGTGGGCACGGGCCAACTCGATTTTACAGGGCACGAACACGGAGGCGAACGCCTGCTCGCTGCACTGTCAAGATTCAGGCCAGCTCATAGCCTCTCAAGTTCGATCAGCTGAGTCGTGCCCTCGTGCCAGGCATTCTTTCTGCAAATACAGTGATCCTAAGTCGACTCTTAGGTATTTTTAGGCAAGTTTAGGTAAATTTATGAGGCCTTAGGCGAGTTTAGGATATTTTAGGGTCCATCCTTATGATAATTTAGGATAAGTTTAGGGAGCACCCTGGCAAGTCTTCTTTGGCCCCCTTCAGTAAAATCTGAGTTTTTTGCTTACTCCATGAAGATGCCCTTGATTTGTTTACTTTAGTATCAGGATCCATTCTGCTTGATATGGCACGAGAAGCATACTCAGTAGGTAGTTGAAATCGGTCTTGCCAAGTCGGTGGATCTTCAGATCAACCAGTTTAATGGTTGGTTCACTCGCACTCACTGGTTAACCGATGTTTAGCTTAGCCACAAAATGAAGAATTCTTTTAATATAAATATCTAACAATGGACATATTTGAGAACTTAAGGACAGTCGGTTGGATCCCTGTGTAGACGTCAGTTTACAGAACCAATGATTCATAGGCTACCAATACTCACCAATCTGTAACCAAATGCTCATCCAAGCCATCCAGCTCCTTCATATCAGCTTCCAAAATCTCAAACCCATCAACGCTTGCGTTCTCGATCATACGCTTCTGCTTGGTACTCTTGGGGAGTGTGATGAATTCATGTTGAAGCCCCCACCTAGACAACGTCAGTACACAAAACGCGGTGCAGGTTGGAAGTCATACTTGACAAATATTTGTGCAGGTGTGACGGAGTACTTCTTGGCCATGTTGACAATGGCAGGGTGATCCATGCGCTCGGCGCGAGCGAGAGGAGCGTAGGCCTCGATGGCGATGTTGTGTTTGGCACAAGTAGCGCGGATTCCTTCTTGGGTGTTGAAGGGGTGAACTTCAATCTGGTTGAGTACGGGAGGGATGAGAGGGTTGGAAGCCATGAGTTCCTCGATCTTGAGAGTGTCAGTGTCTTCAACGCGCAGCAGGAGACATGAAACTTACATGAGCGGAGCCAAAGTTGCTCACGCCAGCAGCACGAATCTCACCCGCATCAACAGCATCCTCTAGCGCCTTCCAACTCGTAAGTCTGGCTGTCTTTCCACCATACGGACTGTGAAGAAGGAACAGGTCAATGTATCCCAAGCCTGAAGCCTCAACAGATTTCTTGACAGATCGTCGCACAGCATCATATGATTCGTCGCAGTTGGCGAGCTTGGACGTGTACCAAATATCCTCGCGCTTCAAACCAGCCGCGTTCTCACTACTAGCGAGAAAGTCGCTGATGGCTTTACCGGCTTGGCGTTCATTGTGGTACATTTGCGCGCAGTCGAAACCGCGGTAGCCGGTGAGAAGGCCTTGGCGCACTGCGTCGGTGGCTTCTTTGGTGGACATCATGTAGAGACCGAGTTGGATGCGGGGAATGATGAGGCCATTGTTGAGCTGCGAATATTAGCGAGCGCATTGCGCGATTGATTGGACGGAACGTACCTTGGCCGTGGCGGCGAGGAGTGACGGCTGAGACGCCATTTTTGCGAAACTTTTGGTGGGTGAAAGAAGCGAGAATCTGAGATGGTGATGATGTCAGGACGTTGCGATCTGATAAGAAATCGATGGGGCCGACATCGCTGGGTCCCTCAGTGGGGGTGACGTAAGAATAACGACGTCGCATCATGCGAATCCCGAGTTGAGCTAAGAATAATTATTCCAAAAGAAGAAGCAATGCCTCAACTGTAATTGTCTATCTGCGACGATGCCACAACGAAAGCCGGGCTTGGTAGTCACACGAAGGTGCGGGTGCACGACATGCAGAAGTGCGCTGTTCTCTGACCCCGTTGGCGCCCGATTCAACAGCCTCATACCCAAGGCGGATCAGATAAGCTCAACTGCCGAGCTTGAGGATTTTCTTGCCCTCAAGCCGTTGCCGAAACCGGTGCCTGGGTTCACTTGGAAACTTCAAAAGCGGTTCAACATGCGCCCGCTCCACCGGCCACGGTCAAATTACATACTTCAAAAGTTTGTTGTTTGCATTTTTTGACCTGATATGAAAATCAAGAAAGCATTCTCCGGATAATGCAAAACGCATAAATGCAGTACTCTACATGTCACCGCCGTCAATCACCCGATTGTCCTGTCATTCCCCTCTTTTGTTTACCAAACTTCACAGTAACGTCACCCCAGCTCAGTCCTCTGAAAGCATCTTCTCCACTCTTCTTCCAACCGTCACACTCCAAATATCAATCTTCTTGTTCCACAGATCCGTCAGGTAAAACGTGATGGCCAGCAGAACAACCCAACCGATCGCGTATCCGCCCGTCTTTCCGAAGCTGTCGAACAGTCTCGGCATAATCCAGAAGCCCAAGCTATGCAACACAGGTCCGTGAACGAGATACAGCGAGAAGCTGACCTTGCCGAGATATTGCGGGAGGCGGCTTTCAAGCAAGCGAACGAGCACCGGACTTCGCAGGATGCACGCAACCAAGAGCACGGCACCCATCGCCTCGTAGAACATCCATCCAGACAACGGCGTGTAGTACTTGGGTACCCAGGTCGAGAGATATGCGAAACCCGGCGTGTACTCAGCACCAGAGTCAGGATATGACAAGAAATACAATGCCAAGACGATACCAGCCCAGCGCAGCGCCGTTCCCTTTGTTGTTTTTTGGAAGTCGCCTCCACGACCCTTCGCACCAGCAGCCGACGGCGGCAGATCTGACGAACGTCGAACATCATGTTCTGAAAGCAACATACCACCCAAGAAAGTCGCCATGTCCCATCTTCCGATGAAGAGACTGTACGCAGAGAGGAAACATCCGATTCTCGTTCGCCATTTGGCCTTGATCGCAGCTGTACCAAGGAGGAAGATGTAGATGACCATCGAGCCCCGGAATTCCATTGGGATTGTGAAAGTATGCGGATCATAGCGTGTATGGTAGTGACCGAAGTTGAAGGGGTTAGCCCACTCAGCGTAGGATCTGGTAAAGTTCTTCATCGCGTATGTCAAGTTCGGATGGATGAAGGGATGCTCCTCCCATGAGCCTCCCATCTGGACCCAAGTAAGGTTCAGTGGGTTGGTGGCGTTGGTGGCATTACCGAAGGTGAGATCCAAATCATCTTCGTCATCCAGGTAGCTGAGAGCTGTGAGTCGCTCCATACTAGTGGTGTCCTTGACAGGTTTGGTGGAGTTGGTATCATTCTTAGGGAACTGGGCCTCGTACTCGGATTCCAAGGTGTAGAGTTGAGATGGTCCGTACGATCGTGTTGTATGATTGACACAAAGGAGCATGTCTGTCCATTCTGTCGTGTTTCCTTCAGGATATCCGGTAGTATTGCGGAGATACGCAGTGGTTTCTATTCCCAAGTAATTCGCGATACCTGTCGCTCCTCTCACAGCGGTGCCGTTAGCACAGAAGTGACCCTCGGCCAAGTCGGCATGAGTAATTGTCGCATTGATGTAATGAGAGTCAGGACCCTTGTAAATGGCAAACTCAGACTTGAAGACACCGATTTGAGCTAACACAGCGACAAGGAACATGCTGATGGTGGGAGGAATATAGAGACGAAAGACACGTCGGAAAACAGATGAGGCAAGCTTCTGATAAGCAGTATCAAGCTTGCGCTCATGGATCAAGCGAAGGATATGGCGGCAAATAACATAACCAGAGATGGCGAAGAAAATGGCAACCATAGCACGTCCACGATGCAAAAGGCAAATGATAGGTAGCGACTGCAATCCCCAATACGGCTCAGGCGCACGCGGAGGGAACGCGCCATAACCTAACATGATAGCGGGCGTCCATGGCCAGAAGAAATGATAGTTGAAGACAAGAAGACATGCGATTCCGCGCAAGCCGTCGAGGCATCTGATCTTGTCTCTGTTGAAGCGCGAGGCTGGAGCTGACGATGAGGGCTTATCCTCATGCTCGGAGCGAGGCAGCAGGTCCGGCTGTTGCCCGCCCATGCTGACGGATTGTCGTGATCTAGCGATTGGAAGCATTCATGCGCGCGCAATGATGAGACGTTCAATTGGCGCGTGATGAGGGGGAATGTTGTGTGAGAGTTTGAAATGACGAGGTGAATCAAGGGAGGCTGAAGTCGTACAGAGTGTCCTTGATACGATCCATGTTCACGATTACTAAAGTGAGGTAAGATCTGCAAACGGTCTAGCCCGTTGTGGTCACGACGCCACAAGAGAGATGCGCCGCAGCAGCCACACCATGGTTTATTCTTGTAGGGTAAGCTGCCACGCGACAGTTTAGACTTTGCAACGCGTCGTCAATAAAGTTCAAAACATCTCGACTGAACATGGGGAGATTATATCGTAAACAACAAATGGCAAAAAGATGTACAAACAGCAAAAGAAATGCGTAATCAGGGAATCGAACCCTGGGCTCCCCGACGCTGTCGAATGGCAACGGAGAAGGCAACGGAGAATTTTACCACTAAACCAATTACGCTTAGCTGACTTGTTTCGAGTCGGCGATGTTAGGGCTCTTGGAGGTGGCGGCATGTTTCAACATTCTGACATACAGCTGTATCGCAACACCATCTTCCGTATCTCATGTCCAAAAAGGCATGGAGGATCAATGGAGAAAGTGTCAATTAATAATTAGATTTCCTTCCGTGATTTTTTCTCAGCTCAAGTAAGTCTTCTGCGTTGACATCTATGTTAAGAACTCAAGATCACGAACAGATCACCAGTATTCTCATCACTTACCCGGCACCATAATGGGACTCTTATTCCTGAGAGTCAATTAGATGTGATATTTGGAGATACAGTGAATCATTTTACCCCCCGGTTTACTGAGAATACTTATTGCTCTGAATCGAGAGAAAGTGAATTATTTCTCTCACAGCTGCGACCCAAGAGCAATGGCATGCCAATTCAACAAACGCCTGGATCGAGAAAATAATCAGGAGCGGCCAGTTGACCAAAGTCCAAGATGCGTAATACGAGCTCGGCCAAACAGTCATCAATCGGCCATGACAATTAATTTCGCTGTTTTCTAGGTCCGACACGCTGAGGCATTTCTGGACGAACACAAAAGTCAACAGACTTGACGCGAAGCCATTCCAGGTGACGAGAAACAAAAAGAAGAGGTTTGCCGTCAGCAAGACTCGAACTTGCGTTTTCAGTGCTTTCAATAGCCACAAACTGATGTACTGACCCCTATACGATGACGGCTTCGCTGGTTGTTGATGGGACCCGGCCGCTAATTTGGCAACTTGATGCTCCACGACCCACAGCCCCATTCACCATTCAGGACCAAGCAGCTTCACGATGGCGCATCTCCCTTGTCTCTATTCGCATCCACTCGATCTTTGCCTATTGCGTTGAAGCGGCAGTGAAAAGTAATTAGCACATTCTGCTGTCAAACCCATTGCCATAATCATTCCGATCTCCACGTCCTTGAGCACGCTTCATCTCGTCTTCCCTGCGTATACTTGTGACATAACTGCGGAACCGACTGCACATCTCCAACACCTTCTGGAAATGGGCTTTAGTGACAACTGTCACCAATAAAGCATCATAGTCCGGGTCCTCTTCGCTTTCGAATTCTGCCAACGTGATGGCTGTCTGCAATGCCTTGCGAATGTCTCTCCCGTTGAGGCTCGTCTCGCCGGCGGTGTCAAGAACCCATTTCTTCGCGTCTGATGCAATCTGTACTTTGCCAGCGCGTTCGCGCACCGGCTTGCGGAAAAAGCCATTCCGGACCTTTCACCTGGTCTCTTCGTCGAGGGCCTGATATCCTATGGCGACGTGGACCCGTGAGATGAAAGCGTCATCGATCTGTCCGACGCGATTTGTTGTCAGGAACAGAAGACCTTTGAAGTATTCCATCCGTCGGAGGAAGGCTGTGGATGGACTGTTACCTCGTATCTGTCAGAAAATGGTTTGAACAGCAGCTTACCTGATACAAGTCCGTTTTGGGCGAGGTCTCGGTTTTACCGCCGTTCGAGGAAGATGTCGGCTTCATCGACGAGAAGCGCTGTGTTCCAGGCTTCCGCAAGATCAAACCACTTCATAAGCTCAGCTTCAATGAGCGTCTCAACAGTGCCGATATGAGCCACTGCGAGAGAAAGAAGTGGCCGGTGTAGCCATTCAGAAATAGCTTCTTCGTTTCGTTAGCGAGTGTTCATTCTGGATAGTCACCATTGACGCACGACAGTATAAGTTTTGCCGACTCCAGGAGGCCCTAGGGTGAGAGTTTTAGTTGAGAACGTAGCTAACATATTATTCTTTCAAGGGGAGATACCATGTAGCAGTATGAGTTGCCCCGGTCCCTTCCCCTCAATGAAATCAGCCGACCAGTGCCTTATCTCATGAGTTTGGCGATTTGACAGAGCCTGGATGGTCTTCAACTCATCCCGAGCAATAATCAGGTTTGAGATACTCTCATATGATGGGGCTGATTCTTGGACGTGGTCGATAGAGATCAGCACTAGAATAATATTAGTGTCGTTGTGACGATGTTTAAGAGAAACAGATGAGCCTACTCCAGTGCTTGTTTCTTAGTCCATACGCTAGAGCTTCAGGGAAAGACAGAAGAGTTGATGCTCGGCGAGTTGTTTATCAACGGAACCACCAGCATGAGTGCGAATAGTTTCCGGGGAACTATGCTCGACATCGTTGAGCTGTACCTGCAATCCCTCCTGGTTCATCACGATGTCGTTGCTGTTGGGTGGTCTAGACTTTCGGTTCGTGAGACGGTTTTGAGTATCTTGTGTCGTGTAGAAGGACCTGTAGTTGTTGATGAGAATCCCATCGTACTCTTTGAACCGGTCTGAATAATCGTGGACTTGTGGGGAAAGGCTGCAGGAGATATTTGATCCCGCTCGTCCTCTTCGATGGTCAATGACCACCTTGACCGTATACTATGGATGCGTCAGTGGCAATGGAAAAATTTCCATGCAAACACATGTCTTACATATTGGGCGGTATTTTTGATTGGGCCATTGTACTCCGCGAGGGAGATTCCCCCGCTGAAGCGCCTTGAGGAAAGCTGCAGCCCGATGTAAAAGTCTCCCACGTCGCTCGCCACCGTTATGCAAATCCCAAATGGAAACTGGACATATTTGAAGACTAGCGACGTCTCGGAGTCCAAAGTAAGGGGTTATCAGTGTAGAGAAAAAGCCTCTTCGGAGTCTTGAACCATTAGTCTCAAGTCGCCAGAGATCGACCAGCCCCGCCCCGTCACTATCAGCACCGCAAAGCTTGGATACAGAGATATCAGATCTCCTGACGCCCACAACAACTGTAGCATGAGTGGATCCATCGACTTGTGCATAGACATTTGTCCTGGGTTTGAGAAGATACCACATCATGCCAAACTCGACCTGTTCGACGGCGGTGGAAAGGTGCTTTTGACAGGTTAAGATGGACTCAGTGTAAATGGGCTTAAGGAAATCCATGAAATGCGTTTTATGGGGTACCATCAAGTGATTATGTTGACCCCTACTTCCAACCTCAGTTTGGTAGTCCGTTGTGGTGTTACCTCAGTCTTGGTAGTCCGTTGTGGTGTTACCTCAAGTCGGCCAAGCCTGCGATGGCATCAAAATGGTGGAATAGAACTGCAAACGGCTCCTCAATCCTCAGCCCCCCCCTTTTGAATCATCTAACAACATCTGATGGAATGACGGATAATATTGAACGAGGTCCTTAAGGCTTTCGACGAGGAACGGGGATTCAACCACGAGATGTCGCCGGGAGACATGCTTCGGATCAAGTAAATCAAGACAAGGCGAACTCACTTTTTCCGGTTGCTCCTTCATTCTCGACAGCTTATACTGATCAATGCCTGCCTCGACAAATGTTTCAATGGTTAAGACGGGTCCTGTCCACTTCTCGGGCTCTGACACACCCCTCATCTGTCTCAGGTGGCGGCTTCATGGAAGAAAGACCAATGGAAAACTCGATAGGCCGATCGTCGACGTAGGTCAGATCGGGTCGGTATAAGCGGATACCCTCACCACGAGGTTCTTTTAGGATCTGGTAGACTCTGGCGGTCCAAATAATGGCCGGCTCGGCAGATGGATGCTCTGCATCTGAGTCCTCGTATTGTCGGAGCTTGGGCAGATCAATCACAAGGTCTCTTGTGATCTCACTCTGAGGGAGCATTCTTCTTGCAGAATCATTTTCGAAGCTCCAATACGAGCTTTTACGACGATCTTCGATGTCTGCGCCAATCGCGGGTGGGCAAGAGGACACTTTGGACGGACTGACAGACTCTTCTGTGGCGCTCGTATTGAACCTGAATATCGATGCCATTTGCGCTGCGATTTGACAGCAGAAATTGAGTTGTATCTTAGATAGAGAAGAAGAACGAACATGGCTAGTTAATACTTGACTGATGCTCTTGCGCTGATATCCATAGAAGAGCGGTGGAGAGGGGCAGACGATAGTTATGGTAATTGACTCGACTGTAGCTACTCAGCCAAGCCTATTACACCTTATTTAGTGTTACCATGGACACGTCAGCAAGATAAGGGGACGCTCAGAAAAAGAAGACTCACCTATGGGTATTGGAATCGACGTATCTGGCCTTTATTTTGTGTGAGTAAGGAGTACAAGAAAGCAAATTTTTGCAATGCTAGGAGGAAACACCTGATGGAAAGGTAACATACAACGGAGGGGCTGACAGTGTTTACACAACAGGGCGAACCGGTGAAGGACCAATTTACGTAACCTTGTAGGCCTGAGAAAGAAAGGCGGTGAATCTGGTGAGAAGGAAGATCATCTTGCCCCCGTGTCCCTACCCTTGGACCTATGCAAGTCATGAGTAGATTCACGAAATCTGACCCTAGTAAGGGGATTACCAGAGGATTCAGCGATGATGTTGTGACGTCCAAGCCAGAAGAACCCCTTGGCCGGGCACTGGGAGCCAAGGCGGCGTTTGACAGGAATCGAGAAAGACAGCGCCTGTTGCGAGATGAATGGGCACGGCTTCTGTTGGAGGGGCGGGAAGTGGCGAGTGTTTATGTTCCAGACGAAGAAGTCGTTCTCTTCGAACAGAGTCGAAGGCTGCATTCGACATGGGACAAATTCCGACGTGACCTCCCTCAGGAGTGAGGACTAGCAGATGATACTTGAGCCAAGTGACCGACCAGACGTCAGCTATCTCTTCGCAACGGTCACCAAGGCCTCAGGAACATGGAAGTTGGATCGTCATGAAAGCAAGTTACGCAAGCTCAAATCCAAATTTCACAACATTTGTCAGAGTTGCCACGATTACAGCTCGCTGCTTGCCATCATTCCCAAAGACGACAAGTATGCCAGTTTACTGACGGGGTCCCTCTCAGCCATCGTTCAAACTACCATCAACCATCAGAAAATCGCTGAAGGAGTGGCCGATACACTGGACGATCTGAGACATTGTATTCATTTCTGGAACCGGCAAATGACGGAGCATGGAGAGATTCCATCTCTTCGTCAGTACATACAAGAGCTTTACGTGATAGTATTCGAGTTCTTCACCGAGGTCTTCAACAAATGGTCCAAGTCTGGCTAGAAAGGTTTCCTCATCAGCTTCGACGACGGGGCATTTAGCAGGCTTCTCACTATGAAGAAAGAACGAATGCTGGCTGGCGAACGACGCATGGAACGCCACGTCAACCTGGACTTTCGACACCGAACCACTGAGTGTTTAGAGATGGTGATTCAGAGTCAAAAAGAACTCTTGTATCGCTTGCCATACTAAATGAATAGCAAAGACTATTTCTCGGCGAGTCGCTTCAACAATTGCTGGAGCAACATCAAATCTTCGTCCTTAATAGACCCCGGCCAGCCTTAGCCACAAGCATGATTGAAGGAACGACGGAAGGATGTTCTGATGCGGTGGTCGGTGATGGAACTGGACGCTCTCCCGAGCCCATAAGCACATTACAGGTACAACCGCGCAGAGATTCAGGCAGAGCTAGCTAACTTCATCACCCAATGGAAGAATCAGACTGAACTTCTCATAGAGGCTGCCAAACAAGCGTCACTTCTGCAGATCGATGGACAGGTTCACCATCGCTTGCAAACATGGCTTCGTGATCTGAGCCCAACCAATTTCCGGATTCAGGGTCCTTATGACGTCTCACGACCAATCTAAAATTCCATGACGGCTGTATCTCTAACGGCGCTGGCAAAAACCCATAACATACCTCTTATCGCCTACTTTTGTACATTCACAGATCATGACGCTTTGGGAATGCCAAAGAGAGCCGGACTTGAGGCGTTCGTAGCCTCCATTATTATGCAACTAGTCCAACTGATCCCGGAGAGGGGCTTTTCCCGGGCAGACCTATCTCCCGCACGCTTCGCTGCCATTGCGCAAGGAGCCTTGAGTATGGGCGAGACACTCCAGCTGGTCCACGATGTTCTTGAGCTCGGCCCGAGATTGGTGTATGTCTTTATAGACAACCTGTAAGCACTGGAGGACCGGTCCAACCAAGGGTACACAAGAGACTTTTTAAGCACCATCGCGGTATTGTGTCGTTTGAAGGGTGGGTACCGGCTCTCACAGAGTGCTAACGTGCCTGATACGAGCGAGTTGGAGTTTGGAACCAAGATTTGCTTCACTACAGAGGGATACGTGGATGGTCTGGCGCAGGTTGTAGAGCCGCAGTTACTCGGCAAGGTTGAGTTTGATCTAGAAACCAATGAGGCCAAGGCGATGGAGGTTGGTGAAGCACTGGAATGCGGTTCCTGAGAAGCGAAGCCTTGCCATCAATGTAGTCGAAAGACCTCCTCAAGGCTCATGTCTTATTCAATCCTCCAGCAAAGATAGCTTGACTTAATACCATATAACCCCAGATCCTTGAAATGGGGGCTCCAATAAGAGAAGCCTTTTATCAACAGGATCCCAGCCAAAAGTCGTGGAGGTCGTATTTGGCCTTAAGACATCCCATTTCAGTATCTAGCTACAGAAACGATAGTATAGCCATACTATAATAACTTCCGTGTCAGTCTTATTAAGGTTATGCCAAAAGTATTATATCTCATTATAAAGAACATAGTCATGTACTAAGGTAAGTTCAGGACTAATTTACAAATAGTTCTCCTGTAATTGAGGATTCGCGTTGAATTTGATTCTTCACATCGTAGCCTTACTTCTCCTCAGCCCCAGATGGCTTCCTCCACCACCGCCATGAAGGAAATTTCTGCCAAAGACCTCTTTTTACGCCTCGCTTCCAATGTTCGAGAAAATATCATAACAAACATGGGCTGCTACGTATTGTACGGCAATCTTTGTGAAGCTTCAGTGGTTATGAATCACGAGCGGCATACTACCAGTCACTCAATCAAAACCCCATTAGCTATAACCTCCTTAACCATCTGGAGCTATGTATCTGAAGGCTGGTTTGTAAGAAAGTGTCTGCTTCAAACCCGTAGAGAATCACTTTGACTTTGGTGAATGAGCTAACTTTGACAAGACATAGGGTTAAACTTCAGTCAGTATAGGCTTCTAATTTGCATACAGATATTTGCCACGATATGAAGTTCTTGATCGCACAAGCATAAATAAGTCCAATGTGTGAAAATCCCTTCCTCCAAACTCTTCATTTTTAAGCTCGCAAGATCAAAAGCCTAGCATGTCCCAGGGCGCACCTATGTCTCAAGGCGTCGGGGACCCTTTCCAACACCTCGCTTCCGAAATACGAGTAATGATTATAACCTATCTCGACTGTTATGAAATTTCGATAGTTTGTGTCTGGCTTCACCTGTCATGAGACAGGAGCGGCAGACAAGCACACTGCTGTTAACAGCGGAATCATTGGAACGAGTCTTCGGCGACACCGATGATGGCGCTTTCATTGAGGCTCACATGTACTCGTTGCTTTCCAAAGATGGACTTTCCGACGAGAACTTCGCGCTCTGGAAAAAGAGGAAGCTTCCACATCCGCTTTTTTCAAGCCGACCTGACATCGTGTTCCGAATGAACGCTCTATACTATCGCCTGATGGACTGTTTCAACTTTGGCCCCGAAATTGTCCCGTGGTTCATCAAAAAGTTGCCTTACAGTGTGTTCTCTCACTACGCTGCGTCAGCGTTCGGTAGAAACGGAGAAAGATTTCCAACATCACTACATGATGCAACAGACGTCAAGAAGGGACAGGTCTTTTTCTTTTTGCTCGCAGTAAACATGGTGGGAAACCCATACGTATGCGAGTATGAAGCTACCCGTCGGCAGTACTGTGAGGAGTCTATGGAATTAAAGGGAGAGATGATTGTCGCTTGCAAGCCCAAGCTTCCCATCTCGACTAAGGAAGGAGACAATGCTCGGAACTTTATGCAGGACCTTATGTGCGACGCCTACAGAGTGGATGTTTATGGAAGCAGAGTCCAGTCTTTACTTGATCGACGTCGATTTAGGCATGACGAAGTCCAATAAATTGAGTACGATACAGCCCAATTCCAACTGGCTTCTTCTGAAAGTTAACATAATCTAGCAGCCCTTGCCAAGCTCAACACGCGATACCGGGGTCAACCTAGCCTCAAGGAGCAAGAGAACATGAGATTTTATAAGAGAATACTATACTTCCCTAATCTCAGACCAAATGGCAAGTTTTCTCGTCATTTAGGATAAAGATCTCAAAATTTCTTGCCTCCTCCTGCCTATTTAAGCAGGAACATCCACGCATTCACCCCATACTCTACACTGCCGAGCCGAATCCAAACACCCCTTATTACAAATGATTTTAGCAACCAATCGTCGAATCCGTCTTGCAAAGTAGGGTGACAACGTTTGGACTAACGCAACATCAGCCGTTGGATAATTGGTTGGTGTTGAGCTACCCCGCGTTTCTGACGTTGATGGCACAGCAAATCAGTTGGTTATAGTTTATCTTATACCGGAATAGGCAATTCGCAATGTGATCTAATGGAGAGCTGACAAACAATCTGTATCATGTCCTCAAGATGACGGTTGGTCACAAGGTCGTGTGCTTGCTGTAACATAAGAACCCATTTCCCCTCTTTTGTGATTGCGAGGTTTCTCCTTTATTCCTTTTGTATTTCCTATCTTTTCAACATTCTGAACTATCAAGATCTTTCAGGATAATAAACTGAACCAAAAATAAATCAAAATGGCACCTCAGACCCTTGCGGAGAAAGCCAAGGCCAAGCTCCAGGCTGTTCTAGAGGACCCCAATAGGAACGATTCGTCGTGTATGTGCTCGCCTCTGAGTCCCTTTCGTTTTGATCACTGCTAACAGGTAACAAACAGCCTATAAGCAGAGAGTAATGACTACTACGACTCCTGCGACCGGGTCGGACTGGACCAACACCTGGGTCCGACGAAATAGTAACGATCGTCGGGCTAGCGTTGGAAGTGAGGGTTCAACTGGATCACCTGTTCGCCGCAGGTCAAGCTTCCAAGAGTGGCTATATCCTTCAGCTCGTTAGTGATGTATATGATAATGGTACTTCAGATTGTCGGTTCATTGAATCAATTACTTTAGTGCTTGGGGTTGGAATATTTTCGGACAACTTTATCTCTCTCCAGTCTCCATGGAGCTCATTCGTTGGTAGGTTGTCTCATTTAACAGGAATCAGATTGTACTAGCTTGGGAGTGGACTACATGAAATGCCTTCAAGTTTTGACTACGGGAGCTTGGAACCTACCGGAATGATATCGTGGCCATAATAGAAAACATGAGGCTGCCAACAAAGATAATGAGGACACAATATCTTTTTTCACAATACGGATTTCTTTGACGAAAAGCTTCCGCGATGACTAAAGATTCTGCATTAGACCTAGCCATTGGACAATTTAACACCTAGATTGGGACAGCTAATCACGTTCATCTTGTGACCGCCATACCGCAGCGGTTCTCAGTCGGAGTCAAATTAGCCACCAGGCCCGACTGAGTAATTCACATGTGTGGAACACAAAACCCTACTGCCGAACCGCCTCAGTCCTCTCGCTGGGCATTACTTCCCGGACTCATTTATCAAATGAGTAGGTTGATGGCTTAATGGACGGAAGTCAGATCTTGCCACATGTCAATGATATGCTACAGGTAACTTTACAGGGTCTCTGAGAGAGGCTTGGGGAGTGTCCTGTCTCTTTCAAGCTAGCAAACAACAGCGAGGGCGATACCAGAACTCTCAGGTTGGTCAGAGACCAAAGAAGGCAGCTGAGAGAGCAAGTCTGGAGGGCTGAAAAGAAGGAAGGAAATTCAAAGGATCGAGTTTGATGCCGAGGAAAAACAAATTGCAGAGAAGTTTTCAGCCATAGTCACATTTGACATCATCCCAGAATAAGCACGAAAAGCTTGATCGTACCTATGTCAAGACAGAGAAAGTTTTATGGCGACAAGGTTACTTTGTCGTGGCAGGCTTGATGAACTCTTTTTCGCCCGCTAAAGTAGGATCCTGGGTCTTTTTTGGTGTTGAACCTATGTGAGGAAGGGCAAGCCACTTGTGCGTGTTCGAGTAAACGTCAGCCAAGCCTGCGTACATTTCGAGTGATGTTATAGTGAGATGTATCAAAGATTAGATTGACAATTTGACGAAAATAACACAATATATACTATCTCTCCAAGCAGACACCCACATGTGATTAGATACGAGTGTGAAGAACAGTATCACAGAATCTGAAATGCAGGATTCTCTTAATCAGTCATATGAGTGACTGTCTCAATGTTCGACATTTCCATGCCTTGACTAGCTTCGGAATACAAGCCGCACCCACGATATCAATATCAGAACTTGGTCATTTGTGAGGCGAGCACGGCTTAAGGTATGGGTTCATTTTATGATAGAATAATGCATTAATAGTAACCAGGGTTTTTAAATGATAAAATCAACGGTCTTTTGTATCCTTTCATAACTTTGATCCTAAAGTTATTCCTTATTTCTGTTGAAGAACTTTTCATAGTCATCCCTAACAGTAGTTGGAATGATAAATAACCAGGTAGAAGCAAGCCGACGGAGACGCTCCTCTCTTACGGATAGTTGTTTCGCTGGCTCGCTGGGGCTTGTGGCAAAGGCTGATGGGCATTGGTCCATCGTCTCAATAGCTAGGAGAATATAAAATATTCGGTACCGGATTCCAGACCTAATTGAAGGCATCGTAGAAGGAAGATGTTCCCCACGTTTTCCAAGCGATATGGCGAGGTAATCACTGAAATTACCATCGCAGAAGTCGGGATATTTAGCTCTATAGAGAGGCACTAATTGAGGGCCTAAAGCAAAGCATTTGGTCATGCGTTGGTGGATGGCGTCCATCTCAAAGATCAAGTGTTGCTCTGGTGTAAACAGCGGATCTGATAAGTCTTTGAATATATGTTCAAACTCCGGAATTGGTTCCTTTTCCTTCGGATACTTCACAAGTAATAAGATACGTTGAAACATTTCATAGTCCAGCTCTTTGTTGAGGGCGCTCCAGGTTTTCAGTAATTTGTTTGTGTTAAGCTGGTGCCTGAAAACGGGTGATGCTTGACAGAGATTCATGAGAACAAAGTCGACCACTAAATTTGATATAATTCTTTCCCGTATTTCCAAAGGAAGAAGTCCAAAGGGGTCCATGATGAGAATTTGAAGTCGGCGTTGTAGTATGGATGGTTGATCGGATCTTGTGCTTGTAATCGTTGAGAAATTAGGAGTTGTTAGTTGAAATGTCTGCGAGCGGGGGCGCTCTTTTTATAGGCAGAAGAGGGATAGATTAGTTTTCGTGGCCCACATATTATAGGCTGCCAAAGTTTGGGAACATAAAGACACATAAGATTTTGACTTCAGCATTAAATTTTTAAGTTCTGTCTGCTGATCTAAGCTCCCAGCCACAAGTCTCAATTGCAAATACTACTCACATTTGCAAAGGCGATCGGTGGTGTTTTTAGTGCGTTATCGAACTCGCTGTTGAGAGCCACAGTAACCTCGAACCACGAATTGGGCTTGGGCGACCAGAGTGAGCTTTGTGTTGGAGGTGCCTCAGGCACTACCTCATATATCAGCCGGACCACCCGGCCTGAGACCTTAGTTAGCTACAGCCAACACACACACATCCCTCTTAACACATTAGCCTAGGCAGTGGTAGGCTGGGGCGACCTGGGGAAGCTTTGGCCCAGTAGTGGGCTAGGGCAACCTGGGGAAGCTTTGGCCCAGGCAGTGGTAGGCTGGGGTGGCCTGGGTAACCTGGGGAAGCTTTAGCCTAGGCAGTAGTAGGCTGGCTCTGGCATAGCATCAACGCGAAGTGTTTGAACTTCTCTGAAAGGTTGTTCATGGACCTCTTAAATCACGGAAGAGGAGGAAAGAAAACCCAGGACCTTAATCCTAAGTAAAAAAAGACTTAGGTAACTCGAACCCAAGTTTAGGGCACTCTTTACTAAGTTTATATTAGTACCCTCTTCTAAAGTCTTATATTTGCTTGCTCCCTAAGGTCCGGGCAACATGCTTTGCCAGATAGTGATTGGCTAAGTCGTGTACCTAGAGGCGCAGAAGACTTGGAAATTCAGTTGCTGACGATTTTAGAATTGGGATACTTTTGAGTTTAGGTTGGATATGAAGCTTTATATTAACTTAAAACTGCCTAAATAACTGATTGACTTTGGTATGCTCTTGCCAAAGTCATCCTGAGCTCAAAACGCTCTAGCCCCCACAAGAACTTGTATGACAATCTTTATCACCAGTGCCATTATGTGTCAAGAGATAATAGATAAATAGGGCGCTATGAGTTCGATTGTGTGACAAAGGCGCTGTCCTGCTTTAGCCACGCTCTAACATCCTTAATGTGCGGATGGAGGCTTCTAGCGAGCTGCATGTCCACGTTATAGCCCTCTTCCTTGAACCAATCCAACATCAGACCGACTTCCTTGACCCCTGCCTTGAGTGCCTTGTCTAACAGTCCCACCGTCGTGCCGACGCCGTTACCTGTCACGCTCCTGAACCTATGGTCCAATTCCTCGAAAGTAAGCTCCTCTCCGCCCAGTCCTATAGCTTTCTTATCAAATCTATCAGGGCCGGCAAACGTCTCAGCTGCAAAGACGCCAATATCCGAAGTAGCAACCCATTGTAATGGCTTATCTTTCATGGCAATGCGGAGGCTCGTCATGAATACCTTGGACTGGAAGTCTGGGGAGATATTATCTAAGAATATGACAGGGCGTAGGATTGTCCATCCCATAGCAGACTTCTTGTTTTCGACACTATCGCGGAGAAATTGCTCGATCTGATGCTTTGATTTGAAATGCGGGATTGGCGTTGGGTTAGTCCAGGACCGCTCGTTGCCACCACGATCAACGCTGCTGTAGACGAAATGCTTCACGTCGTTCTTGATGGACTCTTCGATGAGTGCTTTGCCTTGGCGTATTTCTCCCTCGAAAGTGGTTCCCTTGGTGACAGCGGCTTGAACTGAATAGACACCCCAGATGGGGCCAGAGGAAACCTTTTTCGCAGCTCGAAAAAGGGAGGGTACGTCGTCAAGGTTTCCCTCGACGAGTTTGACGGCTGATGACTTCCTGGCCAAACGTAGGGCTGAGGGCGATTGTGCATTTCGGGTAACCGCGAGAATAGTGAATTCTTTAGAGAAACGAGAGAGGACAGCTTCCACGACACTGCCACCTTGCTTTCCGGTGGCACCAGTGATTAAAAGACTGCGGGGCATGATTCTGATGATTAGAGGTAAATGAAGATATGTGAGTCAGTTTGTGAGTGAGACAACAAAATAAAGAGGATCTGTGATTGTATTTGAATGAGAGTGATACCAATGCTTGAGCAGAAGATTTTGATCAAAAGCAAACTCTTCACCAGATTGCGCGTCGCACAGAGGTTCCTCCGCCTTTGTCAGCACACAACAAGCGGTGTTACAGCAACACCGAAAGACCGGCCACTTCAGTTGAGAAATTTTTCAAGTGAATTGACTCCTTTCAGATCAAAACCAGCTTCAGGCCGATCTCCACCCATATAGCTAGCACTGAATTTGTCAGCGATCTAATTACCTCCCTTTTTCTCCTTATTGCGGAAGGTGGACAACTTCCTTCGACTGGGGCTAGCCTCGGTCATTTCTACAATACGCTTCTATGCTCTTTTCTCTGAGTACGCTCGTCAAGAGAGGCGGATTCCATTCAAGAGAGGACCTCGCCCTGATCATTGAAGCTGAAGATTACTTGTCGCTCCAACCTCGCCACTCTCTTTTGGCTCTTTTACTCCGCTCTCTACAAGCATGTTGATTTCTGCCTTTTTTGTCATCGCTAGCAGCATTGGGGCGGCCGCAGCGACTGAGGCTTCAACCCTAACGTACCTCTTCCGCATGAACCTTACCCTCAGTGCAACCATCAATACTGGTCCAGGTCCAGCAGGAACCAGACTAGCCATACTCATCACTGGCGGAACATTATCCGGCCCCAAGGGCGAAGGTAGAATAAAACTGAAAAGAAACGAAACATAGGCTCGACCTAACTATTCACAGGAGATACCCTAGCCGTCGGTGCTGATTTCGGTGCAATCGATGCTTTGGGGAACTTCAACGTCGATGCACACTCTGTGGTACAGATGGATGATGGTTCCTACGTTTACAGTCATTCCGCGGGTCCTCTGATCTCTGGAACTACTGCTTTGGACAGAGTCAAATTTGAGACTGGAAGCAACAAGTATTCTTGGCTGAATGAGATTCTCGCTGTAGCTGTGACTGATTTCCCTGGCCCTTGGGTATCCCTTGATGTTTGGCAATTGAACCCCCCTGCGCATAATGGATTACAGCTCGTTTTGGATCACATCCAAAGTTAGATATGAGGTCTGCTTTGGTTCAATAAAACATTTTATTCCGAAATAGCTGCAGTTAGTGCTTAGATTAACTACATTAAACAAGATATTTCTTTATGAAAGGCTGTTCTTTTACAGATGCATTAGAATTTCCCTTTGACGTGAGCTGGATTTTATCAAGTTAAAAGCTAATATCAGGAACTTTGCGAGTAATTAAGACAGTGAATAAAGGAATGGTTTAGTGAAGCTGTGCCGAATTCGATGTCTTCTTCATAAAGGGGCATGGTCCTGTGGGTCCATCGGATGGATCGCGGCCCGCCGGTTTTATGCTCAAGACCGGTCGGACCAACTACGGCCCAGCGATAACACCGCTCAGACTGGTCTCACCAGGCCTCTCGCCGCATCGGACTCTCTCGGTGGTGCGGCCGTGTCCGAACCAGCTTGCTGACCAACCCGCCATGTCTCCTAGTGTATTGCAACTCCAACTCAACCCTTACCATTACTTTATACCAGAGACACCTATCTACTTCCTGAATCTAAATCTTCCGGGTGCCCTCGATACCATTGAACGCATAAGAATATCCTCCTCTGTTTTCTCAAAGCCAACAGCCTTGTCCTTCTACGTTTTTCGGCAATGGTGTTCCACGTCCGAGCCACTACGTCTACCTCTTCGATCCCCGAAGGCGATTCCGCGAACGAGCCGAAAAGGGATCCTAGCCCCTCGTCTGACACTATCATGGGTGACGGGCCTGGTCAAACAGGTACCATACGCGATCCTGATAGCACAATTATCGGCTAGGATGGCCCAGACGACCCGGATAATCCCAAGAACTGGCCGAACCGGAGGAAATGGATGATCACAGTCTCATTAGGCATGCTGACATGGGTTGTGACTTTTGCAAGCAGCATCTTTAGCACTGCAACTCGACCTGCTGCCGAGGAGTTCGGCGTCTCGGTCGAAGTTATGACTCTCGGTACGAGCTTGTTTGTCCTCGTACGTTTGCAATTCCTAGCGACACTTGAAAGGCTTTGACTTGTGACTAATCCATCTGTAGGGTTTCGCCTTTGGCCCCTTGATATTTGGTCCCATGTCAGAGGTATACGGCCGGAAATACCCACTCTTCGTTGGGTATTTCGTCTTTGCAATATTCCAAATTCCTGTGGTGACTGCCGAAAATGTCTAGACCGTCCTTGTATGTCGATTTCTGAGTGGTCTTTTTGGCTCCTCTCCCCTCAGCGTTGTTGGCGGCGCGCTTGTCGACCTTTGGCCACCCGTCGAGCTTGGCATTGCCATGAGCATTTTTGCAGGTGCAAACTTCATTGTCAGTTCAATCTACTCCGCCAAAATAAATGACCTTGACACTCATCTGACTCATTGCAGGGCCCTGTTGCCGGCCCCATCATGGGCGGGTTCATCACCCAGAGTTCACTTGGCTGGCGGTGGACAGCTTACATCACAGCGATTATGGCAGCTCTATTCGGCCCCATAGCTTTCATGCTGGTTCCGGAGACGCTTGAGTCTACCCTTCTGTCTAGGAAAGCTCGCTGCGTCCGTCTCGTGACCCGTGATTGGGCTATGCATGCTGTTGCAGAAGAAACGCCTGTTGATATCTCCGAAATGGCGGGCAGAATCCTCGTCCGACCCCTCGCCATGCTAGTACTTGAGCCCGTGATCATTCTCGTAACACTTTACATGTCCTTTGTGTACGGTCTTATATATCTTTGCTTCGAAGCCTATCCAGTATCTTTCCAAGAGGATCGCGGTTGGACGAGTGGTGTTGGATCTCTTCCGTTCCTTGCCATAATACTTGGAGTTGTCATTGGAGTTGTCTTCATTACCATATTCTCCAAGACCCGGCTCACGCGCATTATTAAGACCAAAGGTTATCTTCCCCCTGAGCAGCGGCTTCTGCCAATGATGGTTGGTGGGGCATGCTTTCCCGTTGGACTCTTGTGGTTCGCATGGACTTCCGATCCTAGCATCTCATGGGTAGTACAAACCATTTCAGGAGTTCCTTTAGGAGCTGGTATCATGCTGTAAGTGGCATTGGACGTCTAGATTTCCAAGTTAAGGGCTAACTCTTCTCACTTAGAATATTTCTCCAAGGCCAAACCTATATCATAGATAATTATCGAACGAATGCAAATAGTGCTCTAGCTGCTAACGCCGTAGTACGGGCACTATTTGGCGCAGGATTTCCAATGTTTGCGGCTGCTATGTATAGGAGGCTAGGGGTTAACTGGGCCACTAGCGTTCTTGGCTTTATAGCCGTTGGGCTTTTCCCAGTTCCTGTACTCTTTTATATCTTTGGCGAGAGAGTTAGAAAGCTCAGCCGATACGCACCAACTGGTGGCCCCCCGCGATAGACACAGGCTAGGGCAGTGTCGAGAACTCCCAATACAGCTCGGACCGTATCGATGCATTTCTAAGACTAGACAATATTCCCTCGATAGGCGGCCTCACTTTTGAACGACGCTTTTTGTTCCATTCACAAGATGGGCTGGGCTTTCAGCTCCGCATTGGCATGAAATAGCTTATTATAATATTCATCTCACCATTATAAGGCATTACCACGAATAGGTGCCCTCCTTATACCATAGAAGTATGGCCGTTTTCATGTAGGAAATCTTAAGTTCTAACGCCGGGCCTCAACATCCGGCATACTATCAATTTTATGACTCAAGGGAACATTCACATGCCACGATAATATCCCCTGTTGGTCAGATCCAGTAATCATCCGATTTGGTGGGCAGAATCGAACAGAAAGTGATGTGTGATGAGGCCTTGTCTTGTTTGACAAGAATGGGTATCGACACAGGTGTTGGTGGAAGGTGTTGTACCTAGATTCGCGTTGTTAGCAACTCCAAAATGATAAACGGCCATTGCGTGAGATTTCTTACTTTGTCTATAGTTCTCGAATCCATTCCGACGTGCTTCATCCCTGATGCGAGCTGAATTGCTAACGAACGTGAGAACAGGTCTTTCTCACCAGCTTGGGCCATTGCATTCAGAATGTAATGTAGATTTTGCTCAGTCTTCAAAAGGTTGGTTTCCATGTAGCCCTCTGGAAAGATCAAGGCCGCAAGATAGGCCGAAAAGACCAAGAAATGATCGGCCATGGCGCCCTCGGCGTCGTCAGTCGACTTAAGAGCGTTTAGTATTTGCTCTGCTGAAGGTAGAAGCCGAAGCCTGCTATTTGCAAATAAGTCTGTAGGGAGACTGAACTCTCGTATCTTCGCCAGTGCCGCTCTGTATATGCATATAACGGAAGTGTGAAGGCCTACATTGACGACTATGGCATTCCGGTTCGACCCGCACTGCGGTAGACGCAAATTCTCTGGGAGGTACAAGATCATATTAGAAAGATCAGCGTCAATCTCTCGATGTCTAATCCAGTATGGACCATTTTCAATATCCCCTATGCCATCACTTGGGAGGGACGGAATGTGTGCTCCAGAGTTGTGTGGAACGTACGGGCGGTAAGCACCTTGCCAGCGAAGGCAGAATATAGAATGACGCCCTGAAGGGCATCTGCAAACCAGGGCGCTGCTTCATCGGTGCCCTTATCAAAAGCATCGTCAGAGGCAGGTAGTCGGGTTTCGATCTAGATACGATTGATACATCAGTCCTAAGGCTCCAAGTGTTTTCCCAAGCTTTTGTAGTGCAATGAGGTACTCACATCCTTCTCATTCACTAAAGCAGGCCAACCTGTGATCCCACTCACAAAACGATCGGAGCAGAATATAACCCACCAGGTTCTTCTCCGCTCTTCAACTTCGAAGAGATTTCTCGGGGGAGGGAGCGGAGGGTCCGTTGGTTGTTTTTGGCTATCGGAACGGTGTAGGCCCAGCATCTGGGCAATCCGGACACTTTTAGAGAGGCTGACAGATGCCCGAGAGAAGAGGAGTTGGTGGGACTCGTAAGCGGAGATTAAGCACCAACATTGCGCATGGGCTATTGTGGTGAAGTATTCACCTCGGCCCTGGTCCACAAGGTTATCATTGCTTTGTCCTATGCGTTTCAGTCCATGTACTCACCTTCATCTCATCTGCCTCCGCATATCGCCTGGACCGATGATAGAAAGGCATTGCGAGATGTGCGAATTCCTGACGCCTGGTTGCGGCTAGAGCCAAGATGGCATATTGTAAAGACATGGGCGGACGCATATGAGCAGGCCGATGAAGGGATGCTATATAGCGTGTATGGTGCAACATGGGGAGGTCTTGGCTCAATTCATCGAAATAAATACTGACACTAAAACTATTGATTAGCAAAGTCTGATGCATCAGAATCAATGGGAAAGGGCAGTCAGTGTAATAAGGGCAGGCTTGACGAACGAAGGGGGAGAACAAGGGAACTCACAGTCGATCAGTCAAGTGTCTGGGCGGAAGCTGCTCAAACTGGCCAAGACTCATCAGATCGCCCATCATGAATGGCTCTTGCTGATATGGTGTGGTGGTTTGTTGGATGAAGGGAATTCCATTGGACGAGCACTCATAGGCAGTCGACTGATTCATGTCGGCTGCACCCTGGTTCCAGTCCATATCAAGTCCGGCTTCATCACCAAGGGATGCAGGATCATTCAATACGATATCTGGCAGGCCACTCTGTGTAATCATCTTTCCAGTCGAGCTTGGAGATAAGAGTTAGTTGACGCTGGTCATTGCTAAGCACGCAAGGGTCACCAACCTACTCGGATTTCCAACGTGGCAGCAGGGTTTATCTTCCGAACGAGTCGCCTCTGTCGTGAGTTTGGAAACACGCATTCGTCTCCCAGTCGCACGCATCGACTGCAATTGGGCTTCAATCGGTCGCATTTTGCCTTTCGAGCCCGGCACTGGAAGCAAGAGAGCGTGGTGGTGACTATGCTAACGCGTTGGCTGGTCTGATCGCGATCGCGTTCTTCTTCCAATGTTGAATCCTGGCTGCTCGCTGCGTTCGAATGCATATACTCATGCTCATTGCCGCTTAATGACAAGCTGTTCCTGAAAGGGGATCTGGTGGGCCATATCAGCAGCTCGTCAAGGCGGTCAAGCTGCGACAAACTCGATGCCAGTGTAGAATAAAACAAGCCGATCAATCCGGGCAGTATATTGGGGTAAGAAAAGCGACAGCTTTCCCAAACATAACGATGAGTTCTCTTGAACAATAGCCACCAGCAGTTTAGTCTATGTATTACTCATCAGGTTAAAATGGCCACTCAACCGCGCGGGTATTACTCAGCCACGACTGGTGATGTTGTCTAACTCCATGGCAAACGCGAAGCATGGAGTGATTCTCACTTCTATTTGTCGTTTACATGGCTTGGAAGCTCAAGGTTTGGCAAACTATACTACGAGCAATTTCTCCTACAAGGACACTCAAGCCATAGGCTCGCAAGCGAAGCATGATGAGCCAACGTGTGGTCGGTGGAGAGCAGCTTGAAACGCCTCGGTAATGGGTACTAGAAACAGCGTTATTTCCCCCGTCGTGATGTGCTCGCAAGTCGGCTTAAATATAAGCTCGAGCCCATGAGGCCTTGGTATGAGGATAGTGAGGCCTTACATTCATGCTTAATTATCGTAAATAGACCGTCCTACCCTGTATAAGTGTCATGAGTCGGCGATTTCTTCTTTTGGTCTGCCCGACGCCAAGAACATCGCTTCAGCTAGGATCCGCAGCCCTGTCACTTTAGCTCCCCAAGCCCAACACTCGTTGGCTGACGTCCATAATCCTAGCCAGCATTGAGGCACAGATCCTTGTATGATGCCTAAATCGTTCCATATTTAACTCAAGGGCAGCCAACGAGAGTCTAGAATGTCCTCGTGTAAAATTAGACCGGCCGCTGATGACAGGAACATAAACACCACCTCATTCCCGGCCCCAACGGTTCCTTCTTGTTCTTTGATGCCATTCACTCTTTTCCCATGGCGACGTTCAGTTTATTACAAGCCACTCTTCTTTTCTGGGTGGCTCTGGCAGCTGCCCAGGGTTCTGACCTGACATCTCTCAAACATAAGGGCTGCTATTGGTCGAGACCGACGAATTTTGCTGTCGGTGGATTTTCGAGGACTGAAGTTCAGCGCCAGAACTGTCTCGAGACATGTACCCGACGTGGTCAGCAATGGATTGCGTTCGGTTCCGTCAAATGCTTCTGCAGTAAAACCGCCCCGAGTTATCATCAAGTAGATAATAACCGCTGCAATGCGCAGTGTGTCGGTATCCTGGATGGTGACTGCGTCAAGCAGCCAAGAAACAACTATGCCTCCCCGGAAGATGACGAACTTTACGCCGTTTTTTCCATCCCTTCCATCGCTAATGGCGAAGAAAATCGACTGCCATCGCATCACAGACAGGGACTATCTATGAAGACAACCGAATCTAAGCAGCTCGCGACGAACCGAGGCAAGGTTGGCCAGATCACGGTGCAGGGATGCTATTATATCTCAACACGTCCAACAACACGGAGGAAGCTGTTCATTCGAGACGATGACTCCCGTCGTCAATGCGCCAAGGTCTGCGCCCAAGATGGAAAGCCTCTTGCTCTTGTCAGCGGGAACACTTGCTCCTGCGGTTCCATGTATCCTGCAACAGATGCCACTGCTGATTCTGATAAGTGCTACATGCCATGTTTGAGCGACGGTGATGATAGGTGTCAGCGCCATTCTGAGTACAGCTTTACTCGTCATGGTCCTTATACCACCATTTATGACACCGGTCTTGGTGTTGATGTTGACACCGAACCTTCTATTGCTACCAAGTTACTAAATTATGAGAAAACATCTGCGAAGCACACTGAGCCGAATGGACATCCGGGATATGCTTGCTACAGCGAAGTCCGCACAGCCATTACTCAAGTGTTTGTCCGCAATAGTCCTATGCTATGCCATCGCTTCTGTCAGCTAAAGGGCCGTATGTATGCGTTCACCCGAGATCAGACCTGCTACTGCAGCAACGAGTATCCCGACAAGAAAGACGAACTTCCAGATTCTCAATGTGACGTTCAATGTCCTGGAACAAACCTTTTCAGCTGTGGTGGCTACAATGTCGCGTACAGTGTTTACAACCTCGGCCGTGAGAGGAGGCCTGCCATCAAGCCTAACCCCATCAGACAAATTGAGCGATGCTTCTACGATATCCCCAGGACCGCAAGCCGCATACCCCTAGACGCAGGCGCGGTCTCAAGGCTCCCCTCATCCTGTATCGAGTCATGCAAAGCTGCAGGTAAAGGTGTTGCGTTCATCAAAGGCTCGCAATGTCACTGTGCCCAAGGCTATCCTCGCTCTAGCTCCACAACAGATCTTCGCGAATGTCAGATCCCTTGCGGCGGCGACTCTAAGTTCTCTTGTGGAGGCTTCGCTGTTACTAGAGACACCTTTTCGGCATACAGGACTGGATACGCCGGCGGGAGACACCGCATCCAACACGAATCCAACAACATGGACCATATACAAAGGCCTTACGAGGAGCCCAGCTTAGGCTATGTCACATCGCATGGCTGCTACAATATGCAATCTGCTACCTTGAGACGCAAGAAGCTTGAAAGCAGGAATTCCCTTGAACAATGCGCTCGCTATTGCCAGCGTGAGGATAAGCCTGTCGCAGCTGTCCAGCGTGGCTGGTGCTTGTGCTCTGATACATATCCTGCGAAGAGCGCACGGGTTAATGATAGTCAGTGTGCGAGCTGGTGTCCCGGCTGGTCCCGTGACGCTTGTGGTGGGAGGAGAACTTGGAGTGTTTTGAACACAGGAATTAGCACTGACGTGGCTGACGATGAGATGAAGACTGAAGAAGTCGAGCGACCTGCTAGGATACCTAATCATCCAGCAGAGAAGGAACTATCTAAGCTAAAGCCCTATGGCTGCTTTAGTCTTCCTGACTTCACCTCTTCGTATCCTCCACGCGTCGATATCAGAGGACCTTATCGAAGCTCCAACGGGGATTCTTGCAATCGCCAGTGCACTATTAAGGGATGTTCTGTCGCACTTCGCCATGGCTCTAGATGCTTCTGTTCCAACAAGGTTCCAGAGGAAACTGCGCGAGTTGCCGACGACAAATGTTGGTTCACTTCTATCTTTGACACACGTGAGCAGTGTGGCGGACCAGATGATGCTTACTCTGTGTACCGTCTTTATTATGACTTGTCGGAGATGGAGGACAAGGAAGTGTCTAAGGGGGATAACCCCAGTAACTCTCCTGCGAAGAGGCCACAATGTCTGCATCACGGTATGGAGCGCATCTACGAGACCTCATCGTGGGCCATCACCAAGATTCGCGAGTTTGCGCAGAACGCCCGAGAAGGCTTGGCTGGATTTCTTGACAAGGCTCAAAATGTCTTCGATGCTTGTCTTTGGAGGGTAATGGTTACGTTCTCAGATGTTATGTATAGTTTGGGATGGAGATCGAGCTCAGGTGATGTCGATCTATAGAATATAGCCATATATAATCTCTTATGTTATTTCACGATTTTAACAGTCCATATGGTCTACATGTCAATATTTTACTGAGGGTGACGTGTACCCATTGAGGGCAATGTAAGGACTACTGACATTGGCCTACGTCGAAAATAAGTATACAAATGTATGAAGCGCAATGGATGTTGTCCTGTGGCCCTTATGGTGGCACATAAACAACTCTTTCATCACCTCCTATAGTGAAGAAGAGAACAGTGCATCCATCTGGCACTGCATTTTCCATATTGTAGGAGAATTGCTCAGACTTGGCATCGGCAAGATTCTGTACAGCTATAGTGGCTGACTTCCCTCCATTGGACTGGAAGTAACGCATGAAAACTGACTCGGGGTTGGAAAGATCGTAAGCCCTGAGAATGACCATGAAGTGAGTGACGACGTCGTCCCCATCCACAACACACCAGTCGATATTGACCGCGCGATAGTCAGCATCATCGTACACTCTGTACGTGATTTCGTAGCCAGCATTCCCTTTTATGCGCAAGTTATCCCAGTAAGCCGCGATGGCCACTGATGGTAAGCCATTATCCGGAAAGGGATTGTTGGAGGATTGTGCGATGGAGTTGTCAAACAGGCTTATCAGTCCGTTGACGCCGACGTAGATGGTTTCACTGGACTCGGTATATATCCCGACTGGGAACGGAAGAGTAAGCTCCTCAACTCCATCTTCGTTGTCTTCGTCACCGCTGAATAATACTGTTGGGTTGACGAGGTAGGACTCGCACGCACGAGACGGTGGACTAGTGGTGGTAGTAGTCTCGGCTTCCGAGGTTGTTGTAGAGATTTCTGTTGTTATGTCTAACGTGCTCGCAGATTCCAAAGTTGCTGTAGTACTGGTAGTCTCACTACTGATGGTATTCTCAATGCTGATGGTAGTCTCCATGTCGATAGTCGTCTCTATGTCTACGGTAGTACTAGTGCCAGAAGTGCTGACACTAGACTCCGAGGTGGGGGTACCTATCTCAGGCACTGTCGATGTTGTCACCTCTGGGAGGCTGGATGTTGCGTCATCCGTGGGACGCTGTGATTCCGAAGATATCACATCGGTGGGCAAGGCATCAGCTGTTGTCGCTTCATCTAATGGCGTGAAGGTAACACCAGGAATGTTTGGAAAAGAAAAGTCTTCAGATGTCTCAATTGGTACGGTAGGAAAGACGACCGTTGAAGTATTAGAAAAGCGAAAGGAACTTATTTGCGCAGGTCGTGTCTGTGTAGGTTCTAGAGATGGAGGAACAAGAGTCGTAAAGCCCACGAGTGATGTGGCTTCGGAGAGATCAGTAGAAACAATAGGAATTGCTGTACTCAAGGAAAGAGATGTGGCGACAGAGTCCACTGTAGACTGCATGGTCTGGAGATCGGTTGACGTCGGAGCAGCGCTTGCAGACGTTTGTCCATCTTCGCACTCTTCGACTATTGTCAACAATTAGCTTCTGGCGATACCAAAAATATATAGAAACATACCTCCAACAACGGATAACCTGACTGATACGCAGCTTGGAGGAGAGGATGTAAAGGTTATGTATACCAGACCAGTTCCTGGGCTCTGACAGAAGCCTGCTTCACCACTGGGTAGTTCAGGGCTGCGAAATCGGAGAAATCCACCATCACCAGAAAATGTTGCAGCTACAGCCCCACGAGGAACTGTCGCCTGTTGACCGCCCAGTTCCTTGAATTCTTCGCCATTGTAATAAATAGGGTTTGCGCCATCAAACAGGCGCCCGTCAGAGAGGCTAAACGCAGAAGCATCTTGGCATATCTCTGAAGTAGAGCCTACGAAGCCCCCAATCGCTCTCCTAAGACGCCTTCGCCTTGAGTTATCAGTGTCTGGAACGATGCGGAAGACAACGAGCTGGTCGCCAGGCCCGGGTGCTGTCGTAGGATCGGAGTTTGCAGTATTCGTATCGGTCGTGACCGAAGTAATGATTAGCTGACTGGTGCCATCAGAAAGAGACAGAGTAGTTTGAAGAGTCTCGGTCAGGTCCAAGGATGGACCAGTTCCGGACCCGAATGTGGTAGAAGCTGACAAGGCAGCATCAAAAGTTTGCGATGTGCTGTTCGCGCCATCCATCGGCACAGAACCTGTGACATTCGAGGAGACAGGGACGAGGTAGGTTGACAAGTACGTTACACAGACCGTATCCGGTTCGTTGACAACATGTTGAGCGCCAGTTTGTGCAATCAGACCTGAAAGCAGTAGTGAACCGAGTCGTCGTGACATTTTGCTGGGTACCAAGACAATCAGCTTGCCGACAGAGTGTCAACGAAGAGGGACGTCATGTTTAATGTCCTTTCTAGAATATGTACCATGAAAGGAGAGTTATCTCCGGTCTACGATCCGAGGAATGGAAACATCTGGTCGCTCAGGAGGTGAGAGTTGCTAGTCGGTGTGTATGGCTGCAAGGGAGCATCGACTGTCGATGTCTCAGCGTGGACCCAACTCAAACTAGGGAGTGTTATGGATCGCATCTGGATAAAATATGCTTGTCTACCAAGCGAGACATTGTGTTGTAGTCTTTATTGGTTAGTAAACGGATTCCTTGGCCTTACCTGTCTCCCCGCATCTAAGGTATGTAATTTCGAGGCTCAAATGCCTCGAAGTCTGTCACATGACGTTCAAGCAGGGGCATTCTTTGATGGAAATTCGGTTTGAATTGAGGTTACATATACTAATTGAGTTTGGTGCATGCTTCTCTAGTGAAAATGGTGAAGCCAGACGTTTGAGTGTCTCAAGAGAGCTAGGGGGAGACACGTTGGCGCGTGGGATTGTATCAAGCCGTAATTACGTCTTTGCCATCAGTTGGGCACTGGGTAATTTGCTTTAAAGAGTTTCTTGATATTCATGAGTTCTCTGGTTCTCATCTTTATACAGTGTCAAGCGGTATGAAGTCCCGATTGACATACATGGCCAACAGAATTAGTAACAATGATGAATGAATTAACATGAGTATCTATAGCCAGCAAACTCCTGCATTATTTCTTTTTTAAATCTTTATAAGTTCGACCAGTGAGAACGCAAAGTAGTGCGCCCACCCAATAGCTTTTGATCCGATCCAAATTTCCGTAGGTACACAAAATCCACGAAAGACAACTATTGAAAAAGTTCCGACATAACAGAATTGCATGAAATCTTGCGAAGTGACTTCCGAAGTTGCTCATACAACATGTTATAGAGTCTTCAGTCATTCTTCAACTTAGTGACCCGTTCCATATCCATTCTGGGCATCTGACAAGAGTCGTTCTCTTTCACCGTCGGCCTCCATCTCAACCTTCTTCTCGACAAAAACTCTACCCTTGACCGTGATGAAGAGGGTCAAAACAAGACCTACCAGGGCTCCAGTGGCGCCCAAAGTAGCGTTGACGGGTGTTGGGTCATCGTGAAGTGGACCATGCGTGAGAGCATCGAGTCCGGACTGAATGAGCTGCGTGATTCCAGAGATGCAAGTCACTGTTCCGTAAATGCGCCCGAACGTAGCGAAACCAAAGACTTTCGTAGCGTAGTCACTAAAGAGCGAGTCAGTAGCTATACTTGATAGGGTGTTTGAAATGGTACTTACGAGACTGCGGAATAATAGAGAGGACGGAAGAAGACGAAAGCAACGACAGTGAAGTATCCAGCTATCATGCTCGGAATACAGTTCAGAACGCCAATCACGATGATAAACACCGTCAAAACAGAAAAGGTAGCGGGAACACTCAGGTTGTTGAGCAGGATTCCAATAAATGGCGTCGCAGCAACGCCCCCGATGGGGAGAGCAGCATCGAAAAACTCATTAATGCGCTCAGCAGCATCGTCGGATCCCAACATGTATCGGTACTGCGATCTGACGCCAGCGATGAAGTAGTTCATGCGAATCATCTGGAGGATCGTCAAAACAAGAATGAGGATGAACCAAGGCGTCATCATCTGCTTGTGAGCCGGCATTCCGTGAAGCACACCCCAGACACCGCTAGCTTCCTGTCGACCCTCCTCTTCTTTGACGCGCTCGCCTCGTTCTTGACTATCGCCGGCGAGTTCCTCAATCTTCTCAAGCTTGGCCTTTCTCTGGTCGGCCCGGGCACTTCGAACGCGAGTAAGTTCATTTGTATTGTCGATCTCTTCGTCCGATTGATGAACATCGCGGGTGCGGTCTTGGGCGTGCTCAATCTTCTTCTCGAGTTGTGGAAGGGTATGGTACGAATGCGCTGGCATCCACAGGAATTCAGCCAGTAAAATGGCGATCGGAACGCAAATATAGCCGTAGAAGAACTTGTCGAGTGAAAATGAACCACCAGATGCTTCATAAGCCATGCGATAGAACAAAAACACTGCAGCCGATGCATCGAAGGCCCCGGTGACGAGCGCGACGATGAGTCCAGAATATTTTGGAAACGCGTTCGAGAGTTGGTAACTAGAGATGAAGATAAATGTACCACCGAAAGCAAGAAGGATGTTACCGATGAGGTATCCGTGGAAGCCGGGATGCGAGAATGAGATGGCCATCATCAACGAACCGAGGGTGAGCAGAACACTCGATACCAGCCAACACACTCGTCGACCGAAGCGATCAAGGACAGAGCCAGCCAAAAGAGAAGAAACATTCGCGGAGATTGAAGCTGAGATGAACAAAAGGTTCAAGCGCATGTCTTGCTCAGCGCATGGGATCCTGTAGTCCACCACCGGGCAGAGTTCGGAATAGATGCCCTCCTTGATGAGAATTGGCTTGAGGGCAGCGAAACCGAAGACGATGCCCGCTGCAAACCAACAAGCAATTATACCAGTCGCTACCTGAACTGCAAAAAGTTAGCGATGCGTCTCAATTGATGCGGTGCTGTATTGCTTACCGTAGCGCTTGAGGTTGGAGACCTTGTAAGCAGCAATGTTGGGCAATTTCTTAGCAACCTCAACAGGCGCAAAGCTCAATCGTCGCCATTCTGATCGATCACCGCTTTGATCGCACTCATCCCCAGGAACAAGAATATTTCCCGTGCCAAAACCAGGGGAGACATTCGGGTGACTCGGGCCTTCGTAGTTGGGATTCGCTGGGCCTTCGTAGTCGAAGCCCTCAGTCTGGGTTACATGCTGAGCGAGAGACATTTGCGCAACCGTCAAAAAAGGCCACTACCCAAACACAACGTAAACAAAAAAAGGAAAAGACGAATTGAGCTGATAAATAAGTAAGTAATTAAATCCGAAAGAGTAATATTTACTTCCAGATGCTTGAGAAAATGCGGTCAGGATCACCATGTTTCGGTGACTTTCTTCCGTGTACCGTTGCAGGTGACGTCAACCAGATCTCATTGTCAGAGCATGTCGTTATCGGACGATAAGACTATTCTAGTCTTGGGGATACAAGCGAGGGTATTTGCAGACTGTGAGACTGTGGAATCGTGTCGAATTGAGGGGCCTCAGGCATTTTTTGTTTGACGCGACACGCAATCCATGTTGCTTGGCTGTTGCTTGCCGACGTGAAGTTTCGTGAAGTTTCGCGAAGCTTCCCCGCCAGGGCCACTAACTACAGGGGGCATCGTACCATTGATATTACCCTACACGACGGGAGCCGCATCATATTGGCCGCCGTGATTGAGCAACCAATTGTGAGTTCTGAATGGTCAATCGCATTCAAAACATTCGTAACTGATTGGCCTGAAACCCTCCATTTTTGCTCCCTCGGACGACTGGTAGAGAATGATGCCCTGCGTAAGGTGGTTTTGGGGGCAATCATCAATCAAGATTTCCCGTATAAAACATCACCGCTGGCAAAATTCTGACAGAGGGAAGGTCATTTGCCAAGCTCAAAGCATTGGTGTCACATGGAAGCATTTTGGTAGATAGCAACGAAGATCGAGTCAGAGATTCCTGTGTTTGCATGTCAAGCTTTTCGATGAAAGCGATGCCTAAAAATTGAACTCATTTACTCTGTATTATGTATAACATTACCCTCCATCGTAGGTCGAAGCGGCTTTCCATGAATAATCGAAATGAATATTCCATTACTAGCAGTGTCCGATTAGCCTAAATGGCTTACATTGTCCTTGTCATGACGATGTAGTCTATTTTCTGGGTCGTTGAATCAGCCTATTTTACAGAATCAGCATGGTTGAGTTGCATCAAGACCCCTCATTCTGCAGGTTCAATGCGCTCTTCGACAAGATCGTCATGCTACCAACAAGGGTCAAGATCTAGCGCTCGAATCGGCATCATCAGTCGCCAACAGTTTGTTTCCGGGGATCGTAATTCAGCCGTTTTCTCCCCCGCATTTGCCTGAATCTATCTCATGATCGACGGTTCAAATGCGCATATATAATGAGGAGAAGCTCTGGCGATTGAAGTGATGTCTGATGTGACCAGGACGATATTACTTGAGAGGGCTCAAAATGCGCTTCTCTTGGCTATTGTGCCCGCTTCTCGCGATGGGAAGTGCTCTTCCCGAACCGAAGACAGATATTTCGACATACACCAACCCGGTCCTTCCGGGATGGCACTCAGACCCGTCATGCATCCAGAAAGACGGCCTCTTTCTCTGTGTCACTTCAACTTTCATCTCGTTCCCAGGTCTTCCCGTCTATGCTTCAAGGGATCTAGTCAACTGGCGTCTCATCAGCCATGTCTGGAACCGCGAGAAACAGTTGCCTGGCATTAGCTGGAAGACCGCGGGACAGCAGCAAGGAATGTATGCACCAACCATTCGATACCACAAGGGAACATACTACGTCATCTGCGAATACTTAGGCGTTGGAGATATCATTGGCGTCATTTTCAAGACCACCAATCCCTGGGACGAGAGCAGCTGGAGTGACCCTGTTACCTTCAAGCCAACTCACATTGACCCCGACCTCTTCTGGGACGACGATGGAAAGGTTTACTGTGCTACCCATGGCATCACCCTACAGGAGCTTGATTTGGAGACCGGGGAGCTTAGCCCAGAGCTCAATATCTGGAACGGTACAGGTGGTGTATGGCCTGAAGGGCCCCATATCTACAAGCGTGACGGTTACTACTATCTCATGATTGCTGAAGGTGGAACTGCTGAAGACCACGCTATCACGATCGCTCGAGCCCGCAAAATCACCGGCCCCTATGAAGCATACAAGAACAACCCAATTTTGACCAACCGCGGAACATCTGAGTACTTCCAGACTGTCGGTCATGGTGACTTGTTCCAAGATACCAAGGGCAACTGGTGGGGTCTCTGTCTTGCTACTCGAATCACAGCTCCCGGTATTTCTCCCATGGGCCGTGAAGCAGTTCTGTTCAATGGTACATGGAACAAAGGCGAATGGCCCAAGTTGCAACCAGTGCGAGGTCGCATGCCTGGAAATCTTCTCCCCAAGCCGACGCGAAACGTGCCCGGAGATGGACCTTTCAACGCTGACCCAGACAACTACAACCTGAAAAAAACTAAGATGATTCCTCCTCACTTTGTGCACCATAGAGTCCCAAGGGACGGCGCCTTCTCTTTGTCCTCCAAGGGTCTACATATTGTGCCCAGTCGCAATAATGTGACCGGCAGTGTGTTGGCTGGAGATAAGATTGAGCTCTCAGGACAGCGAGGTCTAGCCTTCATCGGACGTCGCCAGACTCACACTCTGTTCAAATACAGTGTTGAAATCGACTTCAAGCCCAAGTCCGACGACCAAGAAGCTGGAGTCACCGTTTTCCGCACGCAGTTTGACCATATCGACCTTGGCATCGTTCGTCTTCCTACAAAGCAAGGCAGCAACAAGAAGTCCAAACTCGCGTTCCGGTTCCGAGCCACAGGAGCACAGAATGTCCCTGCACCAAAAGTGGTACCGGTCCCTGATGGCTGGGAGAAGGGCGTAATCAGCCTGCATATCGAGGCAGTCAACGCGACGCACTACAACCTTGGAGCTTCAAGCCACAGAGGGAAGACTCTCAACATCGCGACAGCATCGGCGAGTCTTGTGAGTGGAGGTACGGGCTCATTTGTTGGTAGCTTGCTTGGACCTTATGCTACCTGTAACGGCAAAGGATCTGGAGTGGACTGTCCAAAGGGAGGCGATGTTTATGTGAGCCAATGGACTTACAAGCCCGTGGCTCAAGAGATTGATCACGGCGTGTTTGTCAAATCAGAACTGTAGTTTAGGTATGTAGCTGAACCTCGAAGAACACTGTTGTTTGTCGAAGCGCGATCGAAGCTCAGCATGTAGCTCAGTCTGCCGTGCTATTATTAGTGACACGTGTGACAGGAACCAATCTCACTGGAGGGATTATCCCTAACTTTCAGGTGGCCCCTCTCCACTCAGATCTGGGATGCAAGGGCGAACGGTTATTGCAATGCCGATTTAACGGGGCGACAAAATCGCCGAACATTGACATAAAAGCCACAAAGAATTTGTTTTTCTTGTGAAGTTTCTGACTTTTTTCTCTGTCCAATATACACCGTACCGTCTAAAAAGTTGACAGCTCATTGTCATGTGGCGTTGATGGTGAAAAGCATATTCCTTCGTCCACGTCAAGCTTGGAGCTTATCACAAATGTACCTTTCTTACAGTGGCACAATGTCAAACCTCAAAATACATACCGCCTTTTTGATAAAGTTATACAGCAATTGGCTTTAAGCCGCAAAAGGTTACGCCGAAATGATACCCTTATCTCTGTGGCGATGGTGTCTTAGTGGCCTCCTCTTCTAACCGTATTCGATCATTCCCAGGGTCCAGAACACAAATGCTCAGTAGCGACTTTGCCAGCAAATTCTTTTTCCCATTCATTTTAATTCCCATCTCGTGAATTGGAGTTTCTTATCCGTCACTCTCTGGGCCCTTTATCTTTCACCCAGCTCTTTATTCGGCAACAATGGAGTTCCAAAAACCCGGACTGCCCCCAAAGGCACCACGAAGTACACTAAAATCTTCAAATGTCGTCACTCACGATCTGGACTTTTATGTACATCCGAATCTGGTGCCGGACCAAGATCCCTGCAAGGGTAGATTACTTCGAGCCACGGGTCCTATTCGAGAAGGAACTGTTCTTCTGGTAGACATACCATATGCCATCGTCCCTTCTGTGACGTCAAACGAACCGCTTATCTGCAGCAATTTGTCGTGTTCTCGCCGTGTCCCGCAGAATGGTCGCGCCGTCCGCTGTGAGCACGCTTGTTTCAAAGATGTTGTATGGTGTAATGTCGCATGCCGAGCGACTGATAAGAGCCGACATGATTTCGAGTGCTCTTGGTTAAAGAAACACGCAGAAGCACTTCGCCAGAAAGAGGGAGAGTACAATTTCGCTACGGTCTGGCATGTTGTTCGCCTGCTTGCCACGTGGAATGCCGAGTTACACAGCGGTAACACCCTCACACATCAGCGGCATCCATGGGAGGCCCATTTCCTACGTGGCTGGAAAGCTGTGGACATGTGTTGTGCGTATCTTGACTCGTGGCCTGAGGTGCAGGTTACACATTGGAAACGACTGGTCTATGAGTATCTGAGTGATACCACTGTTTTACCGCCCCTGCTAAGTGCCGAACAAATGCTTTTGCTATTATGCAAGGAAGAGACGAATACTTTCGGTTTGTATCCGAGGGCTACTGGCTCTCAGCCTGTGAACGACCAGGATGCACCAAGAGGTGAATCTTACGGAATGGCGCTATATCCCCGTGCTGCCCAATTTAACCATTCTTGCCTACCAAATGTGAGCAGATAGAGATTACGAAACGAACCGTGAATGTGCTACTAATAGGTCTCACAGGTCACTCACAAACCCGACGGCCAAGCGCGGATGGTCTATACAGCAGCCCGTGACATCATAAAGGGCGAAGAATGCATGATCACCTACTTTGATCTCACAACGCATAAAGATCTCTCCAGCAGGCAATATCATACCCAAGAGCAGTTTCAGTTCAAATGTACTTGCGAAAGATGTCTGAAGGAAGAGGCAGAAGAAAACATCGAGAGTATGGACTCATTGCCATTTGGTTTTTAAGAGGACTTGCATGGAAAGGCGTTTGGAATTTGGGAAATGAGTAGACAAGGGAATGTGACTGCAGGACAACTAAAAGCATCTTATATGGGACCACGATGTGTTGTATAATGTTGATTGTGCCTCAGAGCTGAAAATTAACCATCCTGCTGCTTATGTGTTCTGCCTTAGCTTATTTGCCCTTCAAGGACTGGGGGTAGACTTAGATATACTTGTAGCTACGACCTATGCGCAAAGTCGGACATTGAGCGAACCCCGATGCGAAATTGAACCTAGATGTCATATTAATCATCAATTGGGCGATAGGTCCAGTCTGCACTTTAATTCGCTGCGGGGTTTTGTTTCGTGGGTTACGGAGCGGACCAAATGACGTTACAACGTTATCTCGGGTTCGCGGACGAAGAACGGACAAAATTAATAAAAAAAGACATGGGATTACAGCTTACTACCCATGAGCAGGTGTCCACTTGCCATGGCCATGATCGACCTCTAGCTGATCATCTACAGACTGTCGGGTATGAAGTTGACCCGCCTGAGCTATGGTAGGCTAGACTCAACTCGATCGGACTCGTTTTTATCCGATCATGCCATGATAGCTTTCTTGGCAGAAGATCTTTCGACTATAGTGGAGCAAGTCGTCTATATATAAAGTCCAAAAGAATAAGACAAAACGGACTGATAAGCACGAATCATCACACCTTTTCATCAGCATGAAAGTTCTCGTTGTCCTTGCTCATCCTGAGCCCCGATCCTTCAATGGCTCTCTCTTCCAAGTCTCTATCAACGAGCTCAAAGCTCAAGGTCATCAAGTCAAGACCTCAGACCTATACTCAATGAAATGGAAAGCCGAGATCGATCGCACAGACTTTCCTGATCTAGCAACCGATGCCCGTCTCAAGGTTGCATACGCATCAAGAGATTCATACACCTCAGGAAACCTTACCGAGGACGTCAGAACCGAACAAGAAAAGCTACTCTGGGCAGATGTCGTGCTATTTCACTTTCCCCTCTGGTGGTATACCATGCCTGCTATTCTCAAGGGGTGGGTCGAAAGAGTCTTCGCTATGGGTTTCGCTTATGGATGTGGCGAACATAGCGATAAGCATTATGGCGACAGATATGGCGAGGGGGTTTTCGCTGGAAAGCGGGCGATGCTTATCGTTACTGCTGGGGGCCAAAGAGAGCACTTCTCGACACGCGGAATTGCGGGACACATTGACGACTTACTCTTTCCTATCAACCATGGAGTCCTATACTATGCCGGGTTTCAGGTTCTTCCATCTCACGTCGTTTATCAGACAGATAGACTGGATCAAGCTGGCTTTGAGAAAGAGGCGGAGACGCTTCGTGAAAAGCTGAGGCATTTGGATACCATAGAACCTATTGCTTACAGGCCTCAAAATGGCGGTGGTTATGAGATACCTGCCTTGACCCTCAAGACAGGGCTGGAGGGGAACGCCACAGGGTACTCAATGCATATTCGTAACGGCGGAGTAGCCGAGACAAGTGATGGGAAGTCTTAATGGACTCAGAACAAGACACATGCAGGAGGTAGATAAGCAACAGAATAGGAAAATCAGATACATATGATTATAGAAGCTACTTGGAAGTATTGGGTGAATCCACCAAGGCTTTTGAATAGGGATATAGCAAAACCTGCTGACCCCAAGCCATAGCCGTCTCTGCAACAGTGACCGCCTTCTCCCATTCTTCCATAGCGAATCCCTTCTCGACAATCTCGTGCCCAGCTTCCTGACCCAGTTTGACAACTCCCGTTTCAATCATCTTGACCAAAGATACCAACTCCTGGCGCGTGTACATGAACTGCGCTTTGATCGTGATATTGCGAAGCATGAGGCTAGCATAGTTGATCTTGATATCGAACATCAAACCCAAAAAGACAACACGTCCGTAGGGTGCTAGGGAGTTGATGGAAATATTGAGGTGCTGATGTGAAGCTGTCGCTGCGGGCGGAGAAACGTCAATGTAAGCATCAGCGCCTCCGGGTACAAGTGCGCCAATGGCCTCGGCATCTTTCTTCTCATCACCAGTCAGTTCAACAGCGGCAACCCGATGGTAGCGAGACGTGAGAGGATTAAGCTTAGAGGCTGAGCGCGAAAGTGCAATGACGCGACAGCCCATCTGGGCTGCCAGTTCGACGACCGCGCCGGAAAAGTGTCCTGTAGCAGGAGCAACAATAACAGTTTCGCCAGCTTGAAGATTGGCGGCTCTGATTCCGCCGTATGCGACAGAGAGGCGCTGGATGTAGTTCAGGTCTCCAAAGGAGTAACCCATCTCATTGATGAGAATCTTCTCATTCAGAGGGATGACATTCTCCGCGGCAACAACAGCAAAGTCTCTCCAAAAGCCTTTCCAGAGATTGAAAAGCTTCAAGTCAGCTTCGGGACCACCGCCATCATGAAGACCCAGTAGGACTCGGATGTTAGGATCATCTCTTGCCGTGATGGTGGTGTTCATGTAGACAAGCTCACCAGGTGTGAGAGCGACAGCGTCGGGCCCGACGGATACGACGCGGCCAACGCCCCCGTCTCCAGGGTTATATGGGGGTTTGAAGGAAAGCGGGCTATTCCCTTTGAAGCCTTCGCGCTGATGAGGGCGTACCGGGGTGCTTAGGACACGGACAATAACTGACCCAGGAGAAACAGGCTTGGGAAGAGGGGTCTTCTCGAGCTTTAGGGGCTCGTTGAAGGCGGGAAGGACAAGAGAGGTTGAGAACTCGGGGGTAGCTTGGTCGCCCATTTTGACGATGTGTTGGTGATAGATATCGAAATGTGGAATGAGTTGCTGGTTGGATGCAGAACGGTTGCTGAGAGGGGGAGGGAGACACTCCTCTTATACTCGTCCCAGATATTGATCATCTTCCTCTTGGAGTCGTGCGAAACCGAAAGAGTCTCGTTTAAGGAATTGCTTTCGTGAATATCGACCGTTGGGCGTCTTGATGCAGCGTCGGATCTAAAGTCGGACATGTCAATTACCCAAAACAGTAACTCTTACAACCGACAACTCCGACGCCCCACTATCTCTCACCATTCATGCAGCACAGATCCTAAGCGCCGATGATTGACTCTCCTGTGATCGATCTGTCGAATTCCTCGTAATTAGTCAACAAGTTCACCGAGCCCTACGTATCGTCAGTGGCGCATCTCTCCATGTGGATACGTGTACAAACCCAATCCGGCGTTACAGTGGTGTTCCATAGGAAATTGTCCAATTCATAGACATCGCCGTTTCTTGACTCATATGTACCAAAGTATTGCAGTAGGGCACTCTCCTGGTTTGAATCAGAGACATTTGGGTACATAGGACGCTCAATCGAGGTTGACGAGTAGATATCTGTCAGGATGACCTGAAGCAGTCGGGAGCTTTCGAGGGCGTATGAAGAGACACATGATCTTGCGGGCCACAGCTGTGCTGCCGTTTTGAGAGTATTGATGATATAGCCCTTCTTGCTTTGCCTGCAATCCTTCAGTCTCGGTTATCGGTCTCCTTATCGAGACAAACTTACGGTAAGTCGGGACAGCCGAAGAACTCAAGCGGTGCCATGATCATATTTATAAAGAAATCATTGACAGGTAAGTTAGCTTTTACTTGAGGGTCGTTGTAGAGTCTGCCCCCTCTCTGCATCTGCTGATCAACCTCTATGTACACTTCGATAGATCTTAGTGCATTCAAGCGAGACGCGTCGAGCGCAGTTTTGCAATATCTATTCTCAAGGCTCATGATATCGAGGAACGGACGATATATCAGCGCGACTCCGGTGTTATAAATGAGCTGAAATAAGACGCCTTGCAAAGCAGTGAAAGCAGTGTTTGTCAAGGAAGTATCCCTAACGGAATGCACGAGGAGGCAGGTCGGAATCGATCTGTACCATGTCTCAAGCTGCAATTTGAGCAACAGAGCGTCCGTATAGTTGTAGGTCTTGAAACCAAGGGCATGGCAAATGATGCGTCTCAGAATTGGCAACAGTTGGGACATGTACACGCAAGGGAGCGCGGTATAAAGCTCTGTCGCTGGACTGGAGAAGAAAAAGTTCGATTCCTCATCAAACTCATCATCACTTACGTTTGTTGGGTGGCTCATAGAGTATGTATCTTCGTGTATAACCGGCGGCAATCCATGCTCAAGAGAGAGCAAAACGTCGTAGTATTGGAGATAATACCAAACGCGCCGTCTCATTTCGACTTGGAAAGGCGTCAGAGCCTGCAAGGAGTTGTCCCCGTCCACATGATATGCCCGCTGTTGTGCGACACGAACAGTTAACGCATGCAGCTGGGAGAGATTGATGTCCCTCTCATCGTGATGGAAACACCGTGCATGAAGATGCATAGCTAAGGCTTCCACAGAGAATTCGATTGCTGTTCTGTACTGTCCGGATACAAGACATTTAGCTGACATAGAAACAAATGTCGCAGACTGGTGGTGATTTCTCCTGTCATCAGATATGATGATACCAACGGCAAGGACTGAGAACAGGATGCTTGCCCATAGCAGGTTTGCAGATTCAGGGTTGTCCCAAAAGGCTTCACACTGTCTGCGGAATTGGTGGATATGGATGAACGGTACTGCAATATGTCTTGAGTTGAGGTATGTCGAGACTATCTTGTCAGATTGCTGGCGGGATGGCAAAGCCGCTAGAACATCTTGTGAGGTAACTTTGGCGAGATATCCAAACACGATGTCTGGGGTTTGGTCCACCTCGGGAGCCACAACAGTGGTGTCATTGATAGCCTGCCGAATCCGATCCACACCCGCGGCTAGTTTATCGCAGGATGTGGCCGCTTGGCCATGGTTAGGCTGGCTGAGGAGACTCTGGAGAAGGCTCTGCATCTGCCTAAGCTCATTCTGGACTCGACTATCACCACGATTAACCAGCGAAGCAGGCGGTGGTCGCGGAGTTGAGTCTAGGTGACATGAGTCCTCAACACCACGCTTCAGACATGGGCCGCATGGTTGTTGTCTGTCGCATTTCTGCTTGCGTGCACGACACGTTGAGCAAGATACCGCGGGTCGGTTCCGCTTGATCCGTGGGGTTCGGGATACCCGGAACTTGGTAATATGACCTGCCAGACTCTGATTCGTCATTTTTAAGGAAACGGTTGGTCTTCTTAGGCAGTGTCAAGGTCATGGAAGACCAAAGAGATCATGACACGGTCAAAGTCGATTTCTAGGAGACTATGGCCTCGTCTGCTCATGCTACGGTTCACGAGATGGTGGGGTTCTGGTCAATCCCTGCCCTCTGGTTGGCTGTAGGGATACACTAAACTGCTTGGAGAAAACGGAGATGGCACCAAGAAAACGTCCATAGAACCCTTCATTCTGAGTATTGAGAAAGTTTATGTAAAACTTGGTAAATTTGAGTGTTGATATCCTGACTTAAGGTCAGAAATCATCTGGCTTCCAGAAAAATGCATATTCATCGCAACGTGTGTCCTAAGGAGCCTTACAGGTAATACCCAAAACATCAGAGCTAATATTCTCACACAAAACCTGCCCAGCACCAGTTCCAGACTTTACAGTCCAGTTGGTAAACTCAATATCGCAATTCTTTCCCTCAACAGGACAGTATACATGGCCAGTGGTAGGAGAATACTTGGTGCTAGTCTTTCCGGAGAAGTTCTTGACATAAATCTCTGTCACCTGTGCGGTACTGGGGTGCTGCTCACAGTAAGACTCGTCTTCGTTGTAGCAAGCATCAAACTCGAATGCAGCACCGCAGTCATCAACGATAACACCATCCCAGGTAACGTTGTGGACAACTGCTGTGCCATGATCAGGACCGCCAGGGTAGATTTTGATTCCAGCCGCTTTCGTAGCGCCTATCATGGTGGCATTTCTGACGTAGACGTTGGTGACTGTATCGGTGTTTGTCTTGGCCAGAGAACCGACTGATAGCCCGTGGGATCCTTGGCAGGTAATGTCGGTGACGGTGACTTGATCACAGCCTGCCTTGAAAGCAACGCAATCATCGTCGTTCTGGATGAAGATGTTCGAAAGAGTCGTGTACTTGGATGCTCCGATATCGAATCCGTCAGTATTTTTTGGCGGATAGCTTGACTTGCTGATGGCAGTCAAGTCCATGTTGAGGAACTTGACTCTCTCACTGTTGGATCCGATATCAACAAAGACGTTCTGCGCGTTCTTCATAAGAAAACTATTAACCTCAACATCAGTGGAGCTTTCCACTGCGAACATTACAGGTCTCTTCAAATCCCCGACTGATCCAAAACGATCCCACGCAGCTTGTCCGTTACCATCAATCTGCCCAGTACCAGCAGGACTATGAAACTTCAGCCCGTTAATTCCACGAATGTCGATCTGAGTACGAGAGTTGTTACAAAAGGTGTAATCGTCTGACAGTTTGAGTCGGCCCTCGAGTTGGACTTCGCAATTTGTACAACCGGTGAAACTGAGTTTGCTTCTAATCATATAGGTGGTATCTTTGGGAAACACAATGACTCCTCCATTCTCGCATTGCTTCAGTGCGGCGACGATGGCGGGGACATCATCTGTTGAAACTGAGCCGGCTGATTTGGGAGTACAAGTCGCTCGCTTGTGCTGCGCGAGAGAATGGTCGTGTGAGGTAAGAGTGCCTGCAACTCCTTGGGTGACCAGTAAAAGGAGCGGAGCAAAGAAGACTGATTGGAAGAGCATCGTTGCAGTTGCGAGGCACTGTGATCTACGATTCGGTGTATGTTTCCTCTTGTGCGATTCCCATCATTTAAATACACTTCTTCCACCAACACTCCTTGATGAGTAGTTCATTGATGTGCTGGGACATAGGACACACCTGGTGACTTCACCCTGCCTAAGTCATGAGTTTACTTGAACCCCTTAATTTGTATGCCTACCGACGATCTGAGTTCGTATCTCCAGCTCAAACTTAACAGTAGAACCGTTTCAATAAAACTTCCACCAATCAATCCCTTCGGCCGTTTGAAAATACGACCCCTCGTTTGCTAACCAAACACATTGAACCAAAATGGACTCTAGCGTCTCTGAAGATTGGGAAGGATTGTACGGAGTAGATTCGTCCAGTTTGAATGGGTAAATTGGGTGACCCCTGTCGCTTTGGGCCGAACCCGAGTAAGTCTCCGACTTTCAAACGAATACGCGCCAAGTCCCCGCATTCTACCCTACCTGTTGTGTATATTGCATTGTTTTCCGGGGTCGATCGAAGTCTGATTGTCAACAGTCATGATAATTATGTTTCTGAGCATAGCAAGGGCAAGCATTTAGCCTGATACCCCAAAGTCAACCTCAAACTACCCCCAATTTCAATCCCAGACTAGACCCCAGGTTTCGTTTCCCGATTTCTTCCTTGGCCAATTTGGAATGGTTTTTGTATTTAAGCAATTCTTATTCGATAGCGTACGGACAAAGAAGAGGCATGAATGACTTCCACATGATCTCAATACTCCGATATAGATATTGAACGGCAGAAAGTTGCCGAATGCTTGTCTTGTGGTCCGATTAACTGCATGACTAATGTGTTACTTCAGCCTGATATCGAACTGTGATTTTCCATGAAAGGGATAAGCTTCTGGATGACCTTAGCTCAGACAAATGACAATCAACTCAGTCTGAAAACAACTCAATTGCCTGTTTCTATCTCCATTCTCGGGCTATCATCATTTGGTTGAACAGTGCATCCATACAGGATCTCTACTCTCACCATCAGCATGTCGTTCCCCAAGAGCTTTTTCCACTTGGCCCAACTGGCCCTTTTGCTCGGTCAAGGTCCATCTTCCGGTGAAGCAGCCAGTCTTCCAACTCGGGCGGATAATAGTCGCACTGTTGCCCCTGCAAACTGCATCGTGGTAAAGTCTAGTGGTGCTACTGCATCAGAGTTTACCAGTCTACAAGCTGCCGTCAACTCTATCAGCTCATCTACGGAGCCTACGTGTATCTTCCTCAACTCGGGAACTTATAATGAGCGAGTCGAGATTAAGGTCAAAGCACCCTTGACCCTCTATGGGTCAACCGCCGAGTAAGACATTTTCCATTCGGTGAATTCGAAAGCACTAACGCAGTTTCTTAGTACTGGAAGTTATAAGAAGAATACCGTTGTCATCCAAAACACCCTTGGCTCACAAGATGCGGGCTCTTTGGACGCAAGCTCAACCATAAATCTTAGGTCCAACGACTTCGCCGCGTACAACATTGACTTTGTCAACGGATATACAGCTGGACAGGTAATCTCATCGCATATTACGAGTAGAAAACATGCTAAATACAGAAAGGCTGTTGCGTTGACGGCAAATGGTAACAAAACCGGATTTTACGGCTGCTCTTTCAAGTCGTACCAGGACACCCTGTATGTCAAGGCCGGGTGGATGTATTACTCCAATTGTTATATCGAGGGTAAGTACTTGCCCATGGTCAGAGGGCTATATTTCTGAGCAACAGCTATAGGCGCAGTCGATTACATCTTCGGCAACGGCCATGCATGGATAGGTGAATGTAAGGTTACCAATGTTCCCCAACCGACCGTCTCTAATCTTGCTCAGCTACTATTGCCTCTAATGGACCGAGCTACATCACTGCATCATTTCGAACTGAGCCAACCGATACCTCACGCTACATCATCGATCACAGCACCGTAAGTGCTATAATTGTTTAAACTCATGATAATGACTTAACAGAACATAGATCACATCTACAGGAACTCAAGATCTTACCAACAAAGTATACCTCGGACGTCCCTGGAGAGTCAACGCACGAGTGATGTACCAGTACAGCACACTGACAAACGTCGTGAGACCAGAGGGCTACTCACCCATGACCGAAGGCGCAACACCGTAAGTCTACAAGATCCCAAAGGCGACCAAAATCTAACTTTATCAGTGTCTCTCAAGAGTTCGGAAACACCGGTGCTGGTGCCGATACTTTGCAGAGAAATTACTCCACCCCATCAGACAAGGCTCTGACGAAGCAGGATCTTTGGGGCGCTGACTTCAAGTTGTATGATACGAGCTACTAGTGCTTGAGTTCTACATTTAGATATGAGAGACAAGTAATAGTACTATGCAAGAATTCCCAGCCCACTTGTATTGCTATTCATAATCTATTCGCATGGAGTTGAAGGAGTGACACTGGGGTTCCTCCTTTGTGATATCTAACGGCATTCCATAAGCTGTTTTGGCTCCACCCATAACATCAGCCAAGGCTCCTCCCCAGGTCTTGCACTACTGAGATGAAGATAGGCGTCATCTCCTAACTTCCAAGTCAAATCACCTGGAGAGCCTTCTTTGACAACCACGACATCGGGCTCTTCTTCCTCAACCACTGGCTTAGTGTGCAGCGCATATAAATGTCTGAACTCTTTCATAGCAAGCTCATTAGCCACTTGAATCCCCTTAGATGCTGTGGCGACACTGAAGCCAGAATTAGCCTCTGCACCCTTCTGATAGACAATGATAAGGTAAATGTTCTTTCCACTGCCATCGATGGCGGAACAGTTGACTTTGTCAACAGCTTCCAACAAATCAGTGGGGAACATACTGGAATCACCGTCTTCGTCGCGGTTCTCTGTTCTGAGCTTCGATAGATCGAGATGCGCAGACAGATCATCCTCCTTGGCGACCGGCTGACTCGACGGCTCTACCAGAAAGTCAGATAGCCCAGGCATGCGGTGGCAACAAAGGCAACGAATATGTCAAGTATGTGGTCAAGGTTGATCTTACCTTCTTGGTTCGTTTCTTCGTTCATATCCACGTCACTCGACTTTTCATCAGTCGCCGACTCTGAAATGTCCGCCATGTTGTTTTCAGCGGGGGGGTTGGGACTGAGCTGCTCTTTCGTTGACCCTTCATTGACGATAGCCTGAGCTTCTGGCTCAGATTCCAGGTCCAGCAGCTTGCTGGGCTGTTCACAACGGTTTTCTGTAGACTTTCCCTCGGACAAATGCCAAATTTGCTCAGAGTCGAGAAACGGGACGATGTATTTGTTAACAAATGATTTCGATATCCCCAGTGATACCGCATCGTTGACGGCGTTCTGCATCCTCGCGATATACTCCTCTCTGATGGAGCCATCGGTAACGTAGTCCTCGCTAACATACACCAATGTTTTGACTTGCTCAGTGCGTGCATGGCGCCCTGAACTGTCATCGCTGTCCATGTAGGACAGAGGATCAATGTAAGGCGGTGCATTGAACCTCACTTTGCGATTGGAATTGCTAGGAAAATGAGTCCCATCGCCGCTCATCGAGTCCCGGCGCTGCTCGAGTAAATGGGACAATCGGCCAGTCTTGAAGTTAGCGTACTGTTGATGAGGTTCGAAAGAAACTCTCATCAGATACTTCTGGTAGAAGCCTTTTGACACGCCTTCTGAGCGGTCCAGAGTCCTTTCATCTTTGGGACCGATCATGTAGAGAAGGCCTTCGACTGAGTGATCGCTTCCAGATTCAACGACGTTGGCCACTCCGCGCTCATTGATCTGCCAGCGATAAGACTCGAGAGTAGCTTTTCCTTTGAAGACACTTCCAGGACATCGATGGGCCATTTGCGCGAGGTGCAAGTTGCTACCATACGCGAAGTACAGAGTGCTGGCTGCTCTGATCATCCTTGACCCGGGCGCGTCAACTGTAGCAGACTGCTCGTAAGTTGGACCCGACGGATTGAATGCATACATGACTCTCTGTTGTTAATACAAGAAAAAGTTGTTTTGAGACGAAGGGTCAGAACACGAGAGAAGAAAGATGAAGAGTCTGGTAATTGGGATGGCGGGGCAGACCGGTCGCATGAACTCACAGCCTGATAAGGGAAACAGAGCCTCAATCAGGCTGCGCTCCTACCACTGTATAATTCTGACTGTGAACATCACAGTAAAGGACTCATCAATATGCATCTGGCCCAAATCGTCGCCACCCACAGCGTTTTCAATCCTTTAATGACACCCATGCGGCTCTTGCAATACAAACTCCATTTCAAAGTTACTCTAGGACCTACCAAAAGGACTTGCACTTTATGCTCGCCCGGCCTAACCGCTGATTCATGACATGATTTGGTGATGATGACTGCATAATCGGTCACCAATCAAAGTTAGTGAAATGGCGTTATGTGTTACCCTGCCTGTGCCTGTCTGACTCTCATGTGAAATTGCACTTTGGACCATTTCTATTTTTGCTGTATCATGATGGAAAAAGGAATTTCGGACCGCCAGCCCAGGCCACCATCAATGCCACGGATGTGGACAGTGTAGGCATCAGGGGAGCATGACTACTGTCAAGGTGTCAAACATGGGATGAGGCGGCTGAGTCTTGCTGGAGGGCAGTGAAATGTCACATATCTAGCCATGAAACGGACGACGAAGGCTGCTCGTCTATAGCGCCTGTTGACAGTCTCGATTACTGCTTTTCGTCTCATCTAGTCATGGCTGATTATCATTTCGGCATCGAGATAGAGGTCATTGTCGAACCCCACAAGATTCGGACACCGCTTAGCACCAAGCATGCTTTGTACTATAGCAAACTGGCTGCATCTCTACGAAAGCGAGGCCTCAAGGCTAAAGCCGATGATCTGCAGCAAGGCTATAACAAAAGACCAGAACACTACGACAAATGGTGGATCACCAAGGACGGGTCTCTTGGGTCCCATACCGACAAGAGTAAGAAAACCCATCAATCTCAATCACAGTCGATGTTGACGAGTTATAGTTCCAATGGAGGCTGTCTCCCCGGTCCTCAGCCTGAGGGCAAATTGGGAACATAACTGGGAGCATGAAATCGATGTCTTCTGGACCGCAATGCGTGTTGTTTTCCATATGCCCGACCGATCACTTCTTTGCGGTAGTCACATCCACGTATCAAAGGGTCTCAACCAAACCTTCTCCCTTCCTCAAGTCAAGAAGATCGCATTCGGCGTCGTCTACTATGAGCGCCTCATTCTACAGCTTCTCATGCGAGAACGAGCCAACAACCGATACTGCAAGCAAAACACTCTGAACTCGACGCAGTTGATTCGCTGCAACGGCAACTATAACGCCATAGCAGAGCTCATCAAGAGTGCAAAGAGCACCACGGCCTTGAAGAATATTATGCAGAACGATAGGTACGTTTTGTGGAATTTCGACAACATCGTTCCCGGAAGCTCTGGGACCATTGAGTTTAGGGGCGGGAGGTGCCTGAGGGGAGAGGTCAGAACTAAACGATGGATTGCTTTCACGATTGCCTTGATCCAAACTCTACTCAACATGGTATGTTACATCAAGTATTTCTAACGCTTTTCACTACTGACGGATCTAGAATAACATCGCAAATCCAAATGTTTCCACTCTAGAGTCATGGACACCGGAGGGTCTGTACACTATGATCAAGAAAGCCGGCAGTCAGCTGTCCCTGAGAGACTCGTTGCCAGAAGACTGGAAGGTCTTGAACGAATCACAGAGATGAGATATTGTTATAGTCATTCGTGTTCTTATTTTACTTTTAGATGGCTGCCAATCAATTTGTTTCTTTGACTTCATGCGGCTCTGCAAACCGGTTGTATTGAATTGCCCCGTGACCCAAGCGTTAGGCAAGTATTGACAGGCAGTTAGGCTTCGTAAGCTTGCTGCATCAAGTGAAGGAACGTTATCTGTGCTGTTTGTTTCGTATCAACAATCGGCTAATGTACAGGTAACCTATACAAACACTCAAGAAGGGACTTCATAAGGTGCAGCCTTATCATGCAGGCTCCGCCGCTTTGGGCTGCCATGGTCTCGGACAAGTGCTCGTATACGGACAGTAATATTCGGCTTAAATCACCTAATTTAGGTGAGCAACCTTAGCTTCCAAGCAGGAGACCACTTGGAATCGTGTATTCAGCAGCCATCGTTGATCAGGATTCGAGGGTGTTTCGGAATGACTAGGCTCAGGAGACCAGAGTCACGGTGACTCACATGTACAGCTTACAACCACTTCACATTAATTGTTTGCTTCTGATGGTATTTATCTTGGCAATGGATTCTCAAACCAACAGGGAAACCTAATCGGGGTCGTTGCATTGAGGTTATGGCAATACCATCGACGGTGACTCAGTCATCGAGCAGGCGCACTGCGCAGCCTGAGACCTGGCTTGCATGCGGCTGACCAGCTTGTTAAGGCTCACATTAGCAGGAGCATTGAAAGCAATGTATTGCTTGGATATGTATTGAAAGCAATGTATTGCTTGGATATGTATGCATGACAAATCACAAGTTTCGGCAGGCTGAAGTAAATACGATGAACGTGACATGAGAGACCTCCATCACCACCCCCGCGTCCAGGAGGTTGAAAGCGAAAATGGTCTTGAAACTCTCTGAGAGGTGCGTACGCCATGCCCCAGGGTTGAAGCCTGGCGCTGAAATGCACTACCCCAGGCTCTGCGTTGCGGAGACGAGCTCCTGCGTCTTCTTCGCCGAGGCTCTTCGGGGTCCGAGCTATGTCTGCGATGACGACTTTGACGCCCCTCTCCTCTCGCCTGCCCTTCCCGTTGAGATCTTCTTGAGGCTGACCTCGGTGGAATGGACGGTCTAACAGTGTTCTCGAAGAAGTCACTGGGGATACCCAAAGTGACAGCATCCCTTATACCACAGTTCATGCGATCAACGTATTCGTCCCGTGCGGTACCCCACTGAGAGTGACGACTGCTGAGATAAACCAGAACGTTGCTCCTGATCCTGCCTTGATGCTCGGGCTCATGGGATCGCGATCCTGACCGCACTGCATTGACAGCCTTATCTATTCCACCATCTTGCACAAGGTATCGTGTTGGAAGCTGGAGATCCTCAACAGCTTCGTGTAGCACGACGCTATGATATGACTTGGTGTAAGCGCCGGAATGAACACCTTCATTCCTGTCGAGGCGAGCTTCATCGTCGACGCTTACTTGGTAGACCAATCCATGCACATTGTAGCCGCTGCAAGGGAGTACATTCGCGAAGCCTCGACTGTTGATCTGCCATCGATGATCCATTAGAACCGCCCTCCCAACGTAGTAACTCTCGGGACAGCGGCTGGCCATTTGCTGCAGCCAAAGGTTACTACCATAAGCGAAGTAGAGCTGCGCCGGTAGGTCCGGCATGGCGCGAATGTGCATGCACCCAACAAAGGAACCCTGTTAGAGTCGTCCTAGGGGCTAATAAGGTATACCCAATGATTGACAGAACGACTATATGAGGCTCTATGCGAGTTGGAGTGAAGGATTTTGGTTGGAACCTGACAATTGACAGTCAATAGTTTACATACGTTAGGCTGCGACGAGCGAGGCAATTTATGGTGGCTTTCTAAATGAGCTGATTAATTTCCTTGGTCACGCTCGCTGTCATGCAACCATGGATGATGGTTGCGATGCTTGTATCTCCATGTTTGTAATTCTCATCTACGCGTCAAGCGGTCAAAGCCACGTCCAAAGGTGCAAAAAGTTCCAAATTCGGAGCGAGAGGGTCCTTAGCTGCTACATAAATAAAATGGCGCTTTTATCAGATCAGTCCCTCATTATGCGGGCGTTTTCAATCATAAGTGTGTAATACAAGGCTCAAACAAACCGGGATGATGGATGAGGATGCAACCCTCTTAGACAGTGCGAGCCTGATTGTGTACTTGAATAGATACGCAACAACGCGTATTCTGACTTGTGAGTGCAGAGCCTGATTTATTCTGATTGCCTCGTCCAATTTCTGATGTTGCGGCTGATATCTTGATAATGAATATGGCTTCCCCAATTGCTTGCGATGGGCGACTCGGTCATCTTCTACTTGTTTCACGTGAGCCACCATGTCGTCGTTTGGCTCATACAACTTTGGGGTCGAGTTAGAGCTCATTGCGGAGCCAAAACGAGTACGGCACCCTCTACTTCGTGCTGTCTACTACGAAGAGCTGGCAACATCATTGAGATACGATGGCGCGGCAGCAGAAGCAGACAAGCTCAACCAGCGATACCGAAAGCGTCCAGAGCACTACGATAAGTGGTGGATTACAAAGGATGGATCGTTGGGAGATCCTGAGCATCCGTGCAGTGAGTCTCTCAAATTTCTGTTGTGATTGCCTACTAATATCTGGTCCTGCTCATAGTTCCCCTGGAGGCTGTCTCATCTATACTCTCCACTGACTACACATGGGAGAACGATGTGGACACTTTCTGGAACGCTTGGGACCGTGTGTTCCATATGCCAGAGTCATCCATTGCTTGCGGTAGCCATGTCCACGTATCGCCATCACCAGAGATGGAATTCGACCTGAGCCAACTTCGTAATATTGCCTTTGGTGTCGTCTACTATGAGCCGCTGGTCATTCGCTTGCTTCCATCCCATCGTCAGAACAGGAAGTACTGCAGGCCTAACACGCTGCGATCCGGACCACTATATGACCTCATGTCAAGTTTCCACGAGGAAGCAGCACTCAGAGAGCTATGGGATGCGCTCAATGATGACATTGACGAAGAAGACATCAGAGACCTTATGCAGTCTGGCCCAGAGCCGAAAGATGAGAGATATGTTCTCTGGAACTTTGACAACATCTTTGGGAATCGTTCTGGCAGCATCGAATTTCGAGGAGCGCCAGGTTTGAGAGGCCCTGTTAAGACGAAGAGGTGGATATCCTTTGTTGTCGCTTTCATCCATATGTGCACGAATCTGGTACGCTCCTCACTCAACCCTTCGTTCCGGTGCTTCTCCAGGCACTAACTTACAACACAGGATGCCGCATCATGGAGCTACTTCACAAGGCCAAGTATGGATAGGTTCTGGAGGGACTTGCGTAGGTCTGCGCAGGCAGTCAGTGTTAAAGAGAACCTTCCATCGGACTGGAGAGTCATGGCAGGGTTGGTCAGGTCAGTATTGGCGTCCCATTTCATGACCTGTGACTGACCATTTGCAGCGGTAGGTCCTACGAAGAATCTGCTGTTGATAACTTCAGCGATTCAGGCTATGGTGATGACTCATCTATCATGGGCAAGTCGGACTCTGAATATTCCGACTCTGAGTACAGTGACGGAGAATATGAAGCCCTGCAGCAGGAGTTAATCCGGGAGAGGGAGCATCGTTGCACAATTCTTTAGAGGGATGGGCGATATCATAGCGCCATTTTATGATTGGCAATAAATTGCTGACTGCATATTTGCGGCTGAGAAGAGTACCAATCAGAATGACACGGATTGATCGTGGTGGAATGCTGTTGGTGAGATTCCGGCCATGCATTTTCAGGCTTTCCTTATCACCAGCGATCAGTCTTGGAAATCAGGCTCTGAGATAAGCATTTGATTGATAATATCTCAGACACATTCTACCATTCTGCAGGGTGTGTCGTCGGGTGACAAATGCAATGAAACCGAAAGCCTTGAGATCGCTCTTCATCATTGCGCTCAAGACTTAGTGACTACTCCTCTCTCTACCTGTCCAAAAGACCTCAATTCCACTTGATACTTAGAAGGCTTGGGGCATCCGAGAATAGCGATGCATCGATTAGGTCCAGAAGCAGAGCTAGCCCAGCCAACAGCTTCAGCCTCAGCGTGCATGCATATTTGGCCCCCAAGCCCTCTTCTATGGGCGCCGATCATGGGGGCGAGAGGCATCCTCAATGCTTCCCAAACCTTTGGCGATGCAACAGCCCCTCGTCTTACCAAGAGTAAGAACTGGGCTGTATCTCACGCCAATTGCTTCTTCGATAGAACGAAAGCGTATGGACATGCATAAGTTTCGCAACCATCTCCATTAGCAATAGGTTGGCCATGGCTGGCGAGACTTGCTCACCTAACCACTATGATGTTAAAGATGTCGAGAGTTGTTGTCGGCATCTTGGATTCCGTGAGTGTGTCTCAGCCGCTTGCGAGCCAGAGAGGTGATCTCTCACCGGCAGCAAGCAGCTTCATGCAAGTGGCCCGTCTGGTGCCGTGGCTTGCTCACATCGCAGCAGCCATATCACTCTGCAGGCAGTCGAGTTGTTGGGGGCAAAATGAGGCTCTTCTGCTCAAATCTTGCTATACAGCTTCTTCTCTCCAGTCCAATGCTCCCACTCCTCCATCGCGTCGCCTCGCTTCGTTTGATGCTTTGTCCAGGATCCATTTTCTGAAACATTACTATTGTTCAACATGGAAATAACCATGCTGTCGTGGTTGGTTTTACTAGTCTTGGTCCATACCAGCTACTGTTCCGCTCTGTATGCCTTTTTCACCGACCTCACCATATAGGTTGGCGCGCAAGACCCTACTACGGGGAAGCTCCTCTACAGTACCTGCAATAGCCAGGATATCGCAATCTTCCCAATCGAAAAGCCTAATATCCTCGATACAAGAGAAACCCCGCGGAATGGCACTGCGCTTACAGCCGTAGGCTGGGGGGACTTGAACTTTATCACTGTACATGCTAGCTCTCCAAACTGATCGTGGTATAAAACTCACAGCATGTCCAGGCACAAGTCTTCTGGCAGACCGAAGACAACACGATCGTGCAGGGGCTATACATCTGTAACATGACGACGGGAAAGCTTGTGCGCGACCGCGAGTTCCAAATCTCAGCGGCGGCTGGTGTCGACTCCATCCACAACGAAACGGGCCTCTCAATCGTCAACCTTGGCGAGAAAGATGGATATCGTCTTTTCTACCATGACGAAGACAGGAAAGTCAAGATGCTTTGGTATACTGATGACGATGGATGGAATGATGGGGGCGCCATCTCACAGGACACTGCTGGAGGCATGGCGTTAGGGTCAACGATATATGATTTGAAGAACATCACAGTGCCTTTCCCGAAGGACTCTGAGAATGTCGAGCTGTCGCGCCTGGATAAGTCTGGGCTCTGGACGCTAGGTACGCCCCACGGCGCTGTCGCGCTGGTAGCACTGAAGAAACAGTGACTGACAAGTAATAGACGCGTTCCCTAACACGTTCCTCGGACCCTACACTAACAACACACTGCCTTCGGATATGTTCTGGAGCCTGGAAGACGAGGCTAACTTCTCTCTTCCAGCCTGGAACTCATCCCTCGAAGCCATCGGCGCAGCAGTGGACCGATCGCGAACACGAAGTGTCTTTTATATCGGCGACGATAAGAAGATACACGAAGTCAAAACGACGAAGAATGGTTGGCAGCTTGGCTCAAACCAAACAGAGCGCGCATGGCCCGTCGCCGATAACGCGAGCTCCGGTCTAGCGGTGGTCTCTCAACAGAGCGAAGGCAAAGCCTGGCTTTACTACTGGGCCAACGAGACGATCGTACAGGCATTCAAGGACTACGACGGTGACTGGATTGAATCAGAAGCGTTACCGCAAAAGCTTCCGACAAATGGAACAAATGACAAGAAGCCCGAAGACAGACCAGCACAAGAGGATGAGCCTGAGCCAGAGGGTTCTAAAGGCCTCAGCTCGGGGGCAAAGGCTGGAATTGGTGCTGGGGTTGGCATTGGAGTCGGCGCGCTGCTGGTCGGTGTTCTTGCTTGGCTATGGATGAAGCGACGCAGGGAACGTGCTCATAAAGAGAAGGTCTCGGGGATAGTGGAAGTGGGAGGAAGCCCTCTAGAGCCGCGTTTATCAGTGTTCAAAGAGGACTTGCCCAGGGAAAATGAGCATGTCGAGCCATCAGAGATGGCCGGCCAAGGACGACCAGCTGAGCTGAGCCACCACGATTCGGCGGTTTATGAGATGCCAGAGCATCATACAAGAGGATAGCGGGTGGGTATCGGTTGAATGAGCAGGGAGCGATAAGATTGTCAATTTGAAGCATGAGCATAAATAGCATTGAAGTTTCTCCGTTTACATTATTGCAAATGAATGAGCGCAGACTGGAAGCTTGATCTCGGAGTGACTTTGCCAACCCCGACTTCCCGGTACTCGCGCCGTGCGTGCTGGAAGTCGGCAAGTACAAGTGGAGGGCTCCAGCAGTGCCTTTCAGTGGTGCAGTAGCCTATCAAATAGCGTAACAGCCCCCAACCCTAGGCCCTCGACTGATCCCGCGAACCGTGTCTAGACGGGGCTCGACCGGTTGGGCCTCAAATTTTAGCCTACTCTTCGCATTGTGAGCAGAGTCCGATTGAAAGGACGCATGGATGGCTTTTACTCCGAGGGATCAAAAGAGGGGACTCAGACAAACCCTGAGCTGGGGATAAAGGCACGCAAACCAAGAAGAGCTCATCAAAATCCCGCGACCGCTCAACAGTAAAATTAATGGCTACGTTAAAAGATAGAAATGAAGAAAAGCTGGGGAGAAACGGTGTCGCCAACGCCGGGGCCGTGCGAAAGGGGCTTCCAGCGCCAGCCACTTTAGCATCTCAGCCAGCCACTGGGCCATATTTTGGCCAGGGTAATTTGAAGCTATCGATTTCCCAGGGTGCGGCCCGTACCATTCAACGAATCACAACTAAAACGGGGCAAGTCCGTTTACAGGCCCGACCAATTAATCCACGGGTGATTAATTTTGGAACAGGCAATCTGAAGAGAGAATGCTGAGCGAAAGCCACAGCTGACCCCCGAAACGCTATTGAATGCTGAGGCTGCCTGGTTCCCAAACTTGTCTCAGCTCCTGAGTCTATTGACCCGGTCATCCCCCAAAAGGGTTGAAGCTCAGGGCAGGGTCGTATCTATAGTTCGAAATGTCTGAAGCTGATCGGGAAAGATGCCAATTAAACGAGTGATCATTGGAACGGTGGATTGGAATGGGAAAGGCGCCATCGTCTGAAGCTGCAATATAAAGATACAAAGCCCGTATTCTGGTCCTCAACTTCTTAAGCCTTTTGAACTCCGCCTGATACTACTCAAAATCACCATGATCTTCAAGTCCTTCCTCCTCTCCTCACTCTTAGCCACTGGCCTCGCTTTATACATCCCTCAAGAGGACATCACGAGCAAAGAATGCGATTGCTCGGGTAAGAATGTTCGCAAGAATGACAACCTCAGACACATTTATATATGCGGCGATGAACGTCTGGGGCCTACAGACCTCCCCACGAAGCTTCCCCTCAGCACTTATATCAGCGGTTACGACCGCTTCGGAGGCTTGACTCCTAATGAATTTCTCGGGAAGTGGTACGATAACACGACCAGAGCTGATGGTAAAAAGCCAATTGGCTGGAAGTATCCGTTGAAGAATGGGTTTGAGTTGGACGACGACGAGCGTCCCATCAGAGCAAACGTGAACCTCACGCCAGGAACATTGGTAGACAGGTTTGGAGAACCGACAGGTATTTTCTACCCGACAACCTATTCCAAGATCCAATGCTAACATGATGATGAAGGACGGTACATCTCCCCTGCTACAGCTCCCTTCTCGCAACGAGCTCTCCACCCGGGGAACCTTAATACTGGGGAAAACCAAGAATTCCCCAGCAATTATCACGTCTACAACGTGACCAAGTCATTCACTGTTCAGGCTGGACCCATCAGACCGTGGTTTGGGCAGCCGGGTTATGGAGTACAGTTCTTCCTTGGCGTTGGTATCACGGTGAACGACTACTTAGACAACGGTAGTCTAGTTCAACTCAACGCTTCGGCCTTAATTAGAGAGTCAAGGCAGTGTGCACTGAATGGAGGGAATGTTGAATTAGACTCGGAAGAGCTATAGAAGACTAGCTGGAGATACAGGCATTAACCCAAGACGGTTCTCATGATATAAAACCACTTGATCGCGTTGACGCCCAAAACAGAAATTGGTCTTAAACGTGTAATATGCACTACAACGATCCCAAAAATGGGCTTACTCAGAGACCTCAGCCCACGATCAGCACCGACTCAAGAAGACAGAATTGGGTTTCAAAGATGGTCAGGCCCCATCTTCGCGTTGTGTAGTATTGTGCTTAGGCTTCATTTATTTGACTGAACAGTTGTCCATCCTTTCATGCCATTATTCCATATAAGCCCGCAAAGCCTCGCCCTTCGAAAAAAGTTCCACTTCATTGTTGTGCCTACAGCGGCTCGGGACTGGTATACTCCCAGTGCTCTGTCAGATCGAGAGCCAGGTGATACAATCTTCCAATCGAAGACCCATCGGCGGCAAGGGCTTCATCATCGGTCTGTCGCCTATTTTCACATCTACTGCAATCAATGTCGCTCATCTCGTTGACAGTGTCGCAGGGCTTTCCCGAGATGTTTTTGTTGCACTTCCACTTCTTGTGGTCTTTGCGTATAGTTGTTGTCGTGGCCATTATGGAATTCGTCTGTTTATAATATAGTTGGGTTTTGCTTCGTATAGATCTATTCAAGTGAGTTTTTGATGAATGCTTTGCGTTGTATAGTGAAAATCCCAAAAGGTTTGTTTCGGGGAATCCAGGACCGTATATGTACCTGCCCTTCATTCACGATTATTCACTCCAAAAAGCAACCTCACTGTGAGTCTCTCAACTCACATTTCAGGCAGGTACGCCATGTTGATATCATGAATCAGATAAGGCACCTTTGCGTTACATCAGGGTGGTAAAAGTTGCAAGCCCACTGATGAGGGGGCCTCAGCTTGTGTGACGCATATCCTCCAATCCTTGAATCATCCTAAACTACTTGCTGAAACACAGGGTCGATGCTTACCGTGATTGAATGGCTTCTGACTTCCGTGATGCGTTGCCATGTGGGAGATGGGAGATCATAGGCTTCTCCGGAACTCTATATCAGCTCACTTACCGACGGCCATGTTCATTCCAAGCCCCAGCACAGTTTCCAGCGGTCAAACTTCCTCATCAGCCACCATCAACTGTCAAATTCAGCTATTACATCAATCTATCATGACATTCGGACGAGTTACGAAAGAAGTCAGCAGCCACCACGTTGCCTGGCAGTGCAAGTCAGAGACCTGCGGTGAAATCAACGACATGGCACTCAAGCAATGTAAAGGGTGCAAAAAGACACGGCAAAGCGGCGATGCAGCCCTGCCCGCATCGGCCCAGGACCCTCTTTCAGGCACAATAGACGAAATTGGATATTTGCACCGCGTCGATGAGAAAGGCGAAGAGCACTGGTATTACTACGATCCGAACGCAAAAAGGCAAGAACAGCTTGTCTAATCACTAAGACACGGGTGAGAAGGAAAAAGGAAACGATATAGCTCCTGGTTCATAACATCAATGCGGGCTAGACTAAGTACACTAGACAATTTCTCCATCATCAAATTCTAGTCGAGGTGCTTCACTTCAACCTTCTCAATCACTTGCTTCGTTTCCAGCTCATCTGAATAAAGTCCTTCTGGTGCATCGCCAAAGATGACCGAAATTTCCTCCAGCGTACGTCCGCGTGTCTCGGGATAGAAGAAGAAAATCACGAAACCGTAGGACACCAGAAGAGCCACATACACGATGTAGTACTTCCAGCCAATAGCCGACAAGGCAATCGGGTTGACAAAGACGTTGAAAATGAGGGCCAAGATCATAATCATCCAGGCTGCAGAGATTCCGCGGCCACGTAGCTGGAACGGCCAAAGCTCGAGAGGGTAAGCAACCTGAAGGGGAGTTCTATGAAGAGCTGTGTTAGTGTTGTGATTCAGAGTATACGTGGTTGAAATGGAGTTGACTAACATAGCAATAGCATAACCAGCATTGAATAAGAACACAAATGGAATCATTGTGACTCCAACTGATCGTGATCCCGTTTGCGCGAAGCTCCCTGACATAGCAGTGATAAGGATAAAGCTGACAAGCATGACTGCGCAAGAGATCATGAGGAGAACTCGTCGTCCCAGTCTCTCAACGCACGAAGCACCAGCAACTGCAGCCAAGAAACTCCAGATCTGGAGACATCCCATGATCAGAGTCTGATCAGTGACGCTGGTGATGCCGACGGTGGCAAGCACTGTGGAGAGGTAGTAGCTGACGACTCCGTTACCGACCCACTGACTGTAAATTGCCAGTGATGCTGTGATGAAGAGTCGGCGACGATGGGCTGGAGTGGATACTAGCGATGCCCAGGAGCTTGACTTCTCGGCTTGTTTCTCGGACTCGATGGCGGTCGTAATTTCGTGAAGTTCGAAGTCGACAAGAGGGTGGTTCGCATCACCGCCCTGCAAAGAAGTACTCAGCAAATTGTTCAAATGGCGTCCATCATGTTAATTTGACTTACCGCGTGGAGCTTTCCAAGAGTTTCGCGCGCTGCGTCTTCTCGTCCCACAGATACCAGCCATCGAGGACTCTCAGGCACCATGATCAGAGCAGGAAGCGCAACAAGAGGCAAGGCGATCTGGAGAATTGTTGGTATCCTCCAGGCCCAATCAGTATAGTTCCTGGTGCCATAGCACGTCCAAGCTGCAATGATACCACCGATGAAATAATTGGTGTTGGTCAAAGCAGTGATGACACTTCGGTGGCTGGGGTAAGCGATCTCCGTAATGAGAAGAGGGATTGAGGTCGCGAACATGGCAGTCGGGATGCCGAGGATGAAACGGCCAGCGATCCACTCTGCCTCAGTCTTAGCACCTGTCTGAAGACCAGTACCAATTGCAAGCGGAATGAAGCCCAGTAAAGCTGGTAGACGACGACCGTATTTGTTTGCGAGCCATGAGCTGGGAGGGCATGCTACAAAGAATCCGATGAAGTAGATGGCATTGATGAAGCCGGACCATTCGCCAGAAGGATGGTCCATGAAGTCGCTCCATTGGGGAAGAGATTGGAGACCGTTGAGGAGACTTCCGTCATATCCGATTGCGGATTCTTGTCCAAGTCAGTTCTCGCGAGCCATTGACAGTCCTCATACAACTCACGAAAGCATACCAAGCCCAGTATCAAACTATTAAGTTTGAGCAAGTGGGCTTGCTTGTACCACGGTGTAGTCTGGTTCGGTAGAACAGCCTCAAGACCCCCAGACGGAGGCTGGATCTTGGAGTCCACAGCCATGGTTCTCAATTGACTCGGTGGATAGTTAATTTGTGGAGTTGGTCGATAGCCGCTATCTGAAGAGTCAAACCGCAAAACGGGGGCGATCAACGACCATTATAAGCTACCACGGCATGAAGCTGCACGGGCACCAACAGCACGGGACTGTTCCCGCGCGGGTCAACACAAAACGTCGCGGGGTCTCCAGGCTTTTTCGCGACGCCCCCAGATCTCTAGATTATAGGATGATATGAACAAGGGATAGACAATTCGATACCACCTCGTTCCACTTAGCTGAGATACCGGCCAGGGTACATGACAGGAAAGGAACTCGGCAACCCCGCAGTTGTCTAATTGATCTCTCCATCTTTGCGAAGTTTGCCGGATATTGCCTGTTCAAAGCGTCACTTGCACGAGTCAGGCACTTGTCCAGATATGATTCAATTGCTGGATGAACTGCGGTTAACTCGGTTAAGGTCCGGTTATAGGCTTTAGCGTCGGTAGAAGCTGGAGGAACTTCGTTTATGAGTCGGATAGCAATTATCAGACATGGTCTTGGTTCAATATGAAGATCTGGAGCTGTCGGCAGTTGAGCTATCTAAGAATAACACAATATGGGGTCAGCAAGCTGAAGGATATCCTGGAATGAGACCATAAAAATGCTCAACGATAAGATTTTGATGTAAACCGACCCCGTATCTCATCTTCAAAGTCCTTCAACTTCATATCAGTTGTTAGACTGTGAAGCTGTTGAGCAATCCCGCCGGTAGTTTTTCTGATCCCGTGAGCAGTCTCGGGCCCGTGAAGTGGGATACTGTCCAGGGACCCCTGCATTCAACACTTGTTTCGGACACGTAAATGACTGGCTCTCCAAGTCTCCTCCTCCTCAATCACCAATCCCCAGGCTTTCCGAAAACACTAGTCCCGCCTCCACGCGATATCCCAGCCCGTCAAATGTAGCCAAGGCCGTGAATAGGACCGAGTCGGCTCCGTCCAATCGGGCTCAGAGCAAGACCATGGTAATGTGATACGGCAGTTGCATGAGTATCGGGTCATGACATCCAGAAGAAACAAATGCACGTTTGTAATGATCATGTAATGCTCAATATGCATCGAGATCTTGAACGGGGGAAAGGATCGTTTCATGGATGGTAACATGGAAAGAGACGATCGATGGAAGGGCCGATGCATTCTCCTGTAGATCGACTTGCTCCGCGGTTGATCACCATAAGCACTTGGTTCCGGGCAACTTTCCTAGTGCGCTTGTAACCAAGTCCGCGCTATTTCCCCAGATTGATGTTCCCTTGGCTCACGCACCAAGTGTAGGGTATTGCTCACGATAGTAACGTCCAGCGGTACGCACTATATGTTATGAGAACTATCTTGCGACTGTCTTATACCAGCATTATAGTGGACTTTCGAGACTCGTCCGCACTAATCAGTGCAACACCTCCTCCAGATTCAGGCAAGGTCGCAACAAGGCCGAAGAAGCTGGCATTGTCCACTGAAACCAAGACAAAGTGACCGACGCGCTTATAAGTGCTTCCAGTTCCATAAACCGCTTGGAGAATAAGCCCCTCAATTATCACAAAGGCTTCCTCAACTGGATTCATATCTGGATCATTTACCTGCCGCCGTAACGTCGACCTCAAGGGCAGAAACGAAAGCAATCCCCCGCCCTGAAAAGTCGTCTCTAGAGTATCTGGGTAGGCGTAGATCGTTGACGACATTTCGAGAAGCTTCAAAACGACGTGTTCCGAGCCTGTCCTCCTACTGCTCTCGCTAACAGTGCCTCCGCAGATACACCCTCGTAGTTGGATCGACCCCTTCACTTGCTGAGACCGGGAGCAAGCTTGAGCAAGATGACTTCTAACGTCAATGATTTCAATCAGGTCTTCATCTCGCGGTAAATTTGTCCTTTGAGGCAGAACGCATGAGTCAACAGCTGCCCATGACCATGATGGAACACGCTCGGGATTTTGGGGTCCGGGCCCAGGTTCTAAGACAACCCAGTTGAGTCCTTCAACGATCCTTGACCTCCAAAGACCTGCTAGGTATTCATCGCCAGAGTTCTTCTTGAACATCTCGGCTATACCAGCTATAGCCATCAGTCGGTCATCAGGACAGGTTAGACTGCACTTGGAGTATGTCTTGACCAGATTTACCCACTGCTGATAGACGTCCACGGTCATTTTCTTGTTTTCTTCCTTTGGCCAGGCTGTTCGACGATGACCGTCGTCAAAGAAGGCATCAATAGCTTTCAGGTCAGTCGTGTACACTGCGTCAGCAGGCCGAGGTGACCACCGGGGAAACATCTCGCTCTTGTTCATCTCAAAGCATTCCCATACCGCCTGGGTCTTGGTGAAATGTAGCACTCTTGGCGAAAGAATACGCTCCTGGAATACCCATCCGCGATCGGTAAGTGGACCTTGTGTTAGTCGCTGCATGTGATGCTGGTCCCAAAGGTCAAACCTTCTCGGTTTGCCATCGGTGAACGAAACCTTGATGTGCCCTACAAGTGTTTCCTGAGCAGTGCGTGAACGAAATAGCCCCTCATCAGGTCCTCCAGAAGCGGTTGCGGAGATGGTGCAGGCGGAGTTGGCATAGACCAGGTGCATCTGGAGGGATCCTCGGGCCCAATCCTCGGGCGAATCTTGAATGATGCATAGCGAATCAATCCAGAGGTACCTAATAGAGAATCGGTGCGCAACAGTGATGGCTTCCCTGAATGTCTTGGGGAGTTGAGACGTTTGTGCGCCCTTCCGGAAGACTTCAAAATTCGAGCTCAAAAGTCGAATTGAAGGGGTTTTGGCCCATCGGTAACTCAGAGTCATATACTCCGGAGGATCTGTAATATCCTGTGGGTAAAGACAAAGCTTCCAGGTATCGTCGGAGCCAATGTCGATAAGCCGCGATGGAGCAAACTTTGGCGAAGACCGTAATCGTCGACACATTTCATGCGAGTCGCTACATGCTTCGTACCACTCGGAAACCATCTGGTGTACTTTTTCTGATGAGGAGCTGGTTTGGAAATCTACCGCCCATTCCTGCAGCATCGAAGACTCATTATCTAAGCACCTTAGTGTATATACCAAGCAGGCTTTAAAATACCCAGCCTACAGGTATCTATAGGTACCTATTTAACAGGGGTAAGTACCTAAAGATACCTATTCTAGATACCTACCTATAGGCAGGTACCTAAATAATATAATTATATAGGTATAGGTACTTATAGGT